AGAAGATTTCATATGTGGAGAAGTCATCCTTCAAAGTGTAATCTGTAGCCAGTGTCATATGAGGCCTGGTAGAGAATTCATGCCGTCTATTGTGGTCCGTTTCTCGGCAAATATCGTGCGCTAGTTTCGAAAATTCACAAAATTCTGACACCACAATCGAAGCATTAGAAGTTTTTGGTTTGGTGGGCGTCCCTTAATTTCTAGTGATTGACAATAGTTCTTAATCTTCTGCCGACACAGTCATTACTCGAATGAATAATAAAAAGTACAGACATCTGTTCACTGCTTCTATGCACCATCGTTTCAATAGTCAGACAGAATATTGTGCCAAACACTGGAAACTGCCATTAATTCCATTAATGGAAGGAAGGATTCTTCGTTCGAATATGAATTGTTTAGATTCTACGGACGTATTATCTTCGACCAGCCGCTGAGTTTATGATGAAGATTGTTGGAAAGTCCATATTTAATTCCAGATATCAATAATTTAAGTGCACACAACCGACATGTTGACCAGATACAATTCCAGGAACTAGGTGGGTTCATTGTGATTTCGATTATTAGTTTCAATACTGATAAATACATTCTAGAAATAGTGCTATTTAAGGCAGGTAGAATTAGATGAGCATAAATGGACGTATTATATTTGGGATTCGTAATCAACAGGCAATCAAATACGAAAGAGTCATTCGTTCGTATAAATATCACAACCGTCACAACTTAAATGAGAATCCAAATTTTTCTAATCGATTGTACCTCATCTGGTTAGGTTCATCGCTTGTCTGTCCAAATGTGTATTTAATATATACTCTGTATTATCTAGAATGTAGTCATTAGTGTCAGAATGAATAACCGAAATTGGAACAGAGTCACATGGTTCCTGGAATTGTTTCTGATCAACATGTCGATTGTGTATATTTGAATCAATGTTATCTAGAATTTGAATCATAGATTCGCAGAATTATGGTCTAGGTTTGTTGTTAGAACTACTTTAATTATAGACCTAATCCTAAAATTGTGGTATTGCCATGATGTGAAAACCTAATTTATAAGATCTTACGTGAAAGTCATATCATTGTTTTTTCTGACTCGTATAGTAAGAATCAAGAATATGTTTAGGGTTTCTAAAGAATAAATTTAGGCTGGATTTAGAACAATATATTCAACATGAACAAAAGAGATTAGTTGCACAAGAATGATCATGCCTACGAGACTAAGCCACGCCATCCGATTGAATGATGAAATATTCCCACCTTCTCCCTTGTTGGCCCTTTATTTGAGTTAGATGTTGAATATTCGTTTTCCTAGTTGTCTCATGTTTAGCTTTGAGCATTGTGCGGTTATGACCGATACCACTACAGATTTTACGACCCTGTCCTCCCACTCGAAGTAACGTTGGATCTTCATGTTTTTAAAATGCAACAGATGTGTATTTATTTAAAACATATTTATCACATTGATTAAATGACCTACTGAGAGTGACTTCATAGTGAGGCCTCCTTTCTTCGGTACCGTGATCGGTCGTCCTCTTTTCAATATGATTGCACTTGTTCCTACTCTCAAATCTTCCTGAGCAAGACGTGGAGCATGTGTGCAGTTACCTCTATATCTGACTTCATTGTTTAAGCTGGTATGTTGTCAGGTCCTTCTGATTTATCGATTACAACGTGTTTGATGGTCATCCTGATTTTTTTCGATCGTTGGTGGAATAACGTCGATAGGAAGGTCTATGTGTGCTGCTTCTAGGTCTTGCTGATCCGGTGAAGCTGGTCTGCTCAAAAGTTCCTTGAAGTGTTCCACTCTTCCCTGGTTTTGGAATATCGGTGATTGTCTTGCCTTCTTTGTACTCGATTGATAATTCTGGTTTACCATATTTCCAAATCGGTTTCGTCGTTGGTCTCATATTTCCTTCTCTTGCAACTTTATCCTCTGTCCTTGCTAGATTTTCCGCACATTACTGCGTATCAGGCCCTAATGCTCCTCTTCAATTGGTTATTTACTTCTGTTTATTAAGCTTGACTTACTCTGTTCTTGTTCGGCTGTTGTTAATTGCTATCTTCTTGTTCTTGATTTTATGAATCTTGCCTATGGTTTCGATGGAGATCCATTGCTTGTGATGATGCTTTTGTGGCCAAGCACCTCTTGTTATGTTGAGGATAGTGGTTTCTTGATCCCTTCTCATTTTTTATCTATGGTAGTTTCTTCTGTGGGTAGGTTTTGTAAAGCTTGGGACTTGTTGCTGAGAGTTTCCTTGATTTCGTTGAAACTGTAGCGTGGCGTCGAGTCGAGATTGACTATGAACACCGCTACCACCGCTACTCAAATGACTCCATAAAATCCCCGAGAAGCCAAATATCAGAAGGCAGAAAATGGACCAAGTCAAAATTTATTCACTGGCGATCTCGTGGTATCGAAAGGATACCGAGATCGTGCCAGGATACAAGCTTGGTTACAGAAGGCAACCGAATTCGCGCGAAGTTACAATCGAAGTGTGTGGACAAGAATGGAAGCCCAATATAGCTTTCATTAGCACAGTCAAACAAAAGCACATTAAAACAAACACTGGTACAACTGCTTATAATAATAATTGTTTTTATTAAATCAGTCGTGTTCTCGTGATAAATGTAAGTCACTACAAGACTGTCAGTATTTCGGATGAATGCCCTATTGAACCTTTGTACCGTTGTTTGTCCAGTTGTCCAATGCTTCTATAGCTTCAGCGTCATCATGGCAACCACCAGAAAGTGATCTGAAGATATTTTAGCTCCTCTCTTGATTCTCACATATTTCTTTGGCCTTGTGAATATTTTAGTGATACAAATATGATCTGTTTGGTTCTCTGCAGTGTGATCCGGTGAGACACATGTAGCTTTGTATATGCATTTGTGGGAGAGAATATTGTGCCGCTTATAACCAACTAGTTAAATGCATATAAATTTACAAATCTCTCTTCATTCTTTTTCTTTTCTCTGAATCCATATCATTCGATGACATCTTCATACTCAGTGTTGTCCATTCCGACTTTAGTGTTTAGGTCTCACATTGTTGAGTTTTTTTCCTAAGCACGTCGCTATGTTTGATTGCAGCCTCGTGTAGAACTCATCTTTATCGTCGTCATTACTATCACTGGTTAGTGCATGACATCAGATAACATTATGATTTCCTTCTTATTTGCTTTGAAAGATGCTTTCATGATCTTGGAACCATGAGATTCTCATTCTTAAAGTACGTTTTTGCTTCTTTGGACAGTATTAGAGCAACTCTTTGAGTGTGTGGAACATTTTTCTATTTTTGACCGGAGTACAGAAACATCTTTCTCGAATCTAACATTTTTGTTCTGTTTCGGTCCACTGTGTTTCACTAATCCCGAGCACAGTCATGTTATATCTCCTCATTCTCGCACCTATTCGACTGGTTTTATCGCTCTCTCACATTGTTCGGACACTCTAATTAGAAGAGCTATAAGCCTAGTAACTTCAAAAGAATCTTGACTATCACCATGAGGCGCCATAATTATTTTCAGTGAAGATCCTGGAGCCCCTAGGGCAGAGTTCACATGGAGTAAATTATTTATTCTTTCTAAGAATTTTTGCAAGGTTATTTCTTATGGGCTGAGGTTGCTGATAACATATCCAGTTTTCAGCTTAGGACTGAAAGTAACCGTAGTAAAGCTACAGGGAGAGTTGTAATTCAGACAGTCGCTCATATATTTGCTCAAAATTGACTTTCGAATCTCCATCTAGTGTCCACTTGTCGGTTATCTAAATAAACATTCGGACGCTTAACTCTATAAGTAGTAAAATGACATTGAATTCAAAATTTATTTTTAATTTTCAATAATGTTATAGTTTTAGAACAACCTTGCCTCACTTTTTTCATCTTTTATTGTTTAGCTCACTTCGTTTCTTTTCCAAACAATCTTCATAATCAGAAATGATAACATGTTTTAGTGAATAACCGATGTGTTTTTTGTACTGTCAAATATTTTATGTTATTTTTAAATCTACCATAATAATACAATACAACTTCATGCTGAGTCCTTCAAAGTTGAATTCTTGATTTGTCTTGTTGAAGTTCTAGACTTCCTGGGATTAGTTCTGCTTCGATAATCAAAGATGGGTAGTTGCTAGCAGTGGAATCCAGGACGCGCGTTTCGTCCTATTTGGAACCCATCAGCTGAATGTTCCTGCATCCCGGAGTTGATGTTCACTCCAGGACTAGAACCCAATACAACTCACTTGTGAATTAAGGCAATGTCGAAGCAGTACGCACAGTATACCCATATGCCAATAACAGACTGATCGATTGCAGTAATAAACATCAATGGGAAGATTCAAGCAAACAATACTACGTGAATTTAGTTCGACTTCTTTTATATTATTGAAACTTCACACCATAAAAGTATGGTTACAAGGACCTATTTTGACAAACAGAGTAAATAAAGCTTTTTTATTTTAAATACTTGTTACTTTTACACTTAATATCAAGTGAAATCTCCAATATCTTTATTTTGGTACAAATTTGTCTATTTTGGGTAAATTTTGAGGAAGCTGTAATAGAAAGCTTTAGGGAAATTTCTGGATTCTTGTGACATTTTCCCGAAATTTTCCCCAAATTTTTGGGAAAACTACCAAGCATCTTACAACGTTTTTAGGGAAACACCAAAACTTACCTAAAGTCCCCCCAAGTTTCACCAAAATAGAGAGATTGTTTATTTTTTTATGTGGTACAGAGTTGTTTTCTTTGTTTAACTGTGAAGATCAGAATAAATAAAGAACTGAGATGTTTGTGGACTCAAGCTTTTTGCAACTGTAATATGCTTCAAAAAGAAGCAATCAAATCAAATGTAAATATATTAATCAACCAATAGAATGTTAGTGTATTATTAACCAATCACAGTCATTGAGATGTTACAAAGCAAAATAATTTCATTGGTAGATCTGATAGAAGACAAATTTCATTGGTTGACATATCTCTTAATTCATAAATTCAATATAAAACCACGATTTTGATTGAGATCACGTATCTGGGCTTCAGTTTTGTCGCTAAGGGTTAGTTGTCATTGTTTTTAATAGGTTTCATTTCTGTGAGTGGTGATTTTGTTTGTATTATAAGTTACATAGGTTGCAATGTGCATAATTGCGTAGTAATTAACTTAAATGCATTATTATCAAATTTATTGACTCTTGCATTGCCAGCTAGGTTTATGCTAGCAGTTAATTTCAGCGAGACTATAATTTATGAACGACCTTTGAGCGACTCTGAAGTGACTTTGAGAGTGTCCACTTAATAACTAGGATCTAATGAGGGTTACAAACCTGTGTGAGTGATTAGAATTATGATTTACATTTGATCGTTAGGGTTAGATATTAGATTTAGGGTTTTATAAAAATCACGAATTGACATCAGCTATAATGCCATAATGGCATTTAAACCAATCGCTAAATGAATTTCGCACCAAAACCCAACACTTGTTATCTTAAATCTGATTGGTTTGTTCACAAATTATAGTTTCACTTAATTTTCAAGCTCCACCATGACTTCGGTACTATATCACATTATTTAATTGAAATGATAAATTGTTTTATAATTTAAGAATAGTGTAGTGATTGTTCTTTTATCAACTGGCTTATGTGCAACAACAATCAACTGTGTACACAAATATTTTATTATCAGAAAGTGGTTTTGTGGAGATTGTAGTAATTCAATAGTTAGATTCATGAGTCGATTAAAGCTAGACCACCATGGGAAAGCTGAAAGCACTGGATAACTATTTCGTATTAGTATGGGACTCTTAGCTAGTGGAAGCTTAATCTCTAGACCATTGAGCAGGTGTCCAACGGTATTAATGTCTAACTTCAACCAACCCGTAAAATTGCACCACCGTCCACCATTGTCTTCAGTGAAACCGAAGATTCAGGGTTCGAATCCCGCGAGTGCTGAGGAGTCCAATACTAGGATGAAACGGCCATCTAGTGTATCCAGGTTCTCTATGTTGGTCTAGCTTTAATCGACTCATTAATTCAATAATTAAATTACAAATAGTTTAGTTAATTACAGTATAATTGTAAAATATTTCATCATGATAGCATAGGATCTTCAATAAGAATTTAGTTATATGATATCCTCAATAAATTATAATACATCATCAAAAACAATTATGTTAATGCTAGTGATAGACAATGTAAGAAGGGTATGGAAAACATATAAATCATAAGATATATCATACAGAATACAAAGGTTCTTTAGGGTTATATAAAAAAAAGTAAAACTAGATAGTAACTAGTAGTGAAGTATAAGACTCAAACTTCATTCTTCTTGGGATATATCAATTAGATGAACCTAAATTTCAGCGTTGATGCTCAAACGTGGTACCTTTTATTACAAATCAATGAGTTAACTACTCAACTATGGAGTTCATCTAACCACTTACTTATTCAACAGAAAAATATGAACCCTTTTAAATAAAATAGAGATCAACATTTATGAAAATAACTGAATTCTCATTCTATTCTTACAGAGAGTCGTCTATTTATAGTATTCACTTTTTTAAATACAGAAACATTGGTACAAGGAGGCACAAAAATATATATGCGCCACATAAATCATTTGATTTGTGTGCTGGCTGGGATACTACCCGGCTGCTCAAACCGAAGCAGGTGGTCTTCTTATAGTTCCACACCCCGAAAACTTGACCTAAATATCCAATCCACTATGCAGTAGAAAAACGTTAGGTGATGCAGTCCCATGGTAGCCTGTGACTAATAATAGTCTCATACACCATTTGTTTCCTTAAGATCCTGGAGTCCATGTGCACCATTGTTGTTTTCCAACTCCCATAAGTAAATACTTCATACCCAACAACCCGGTTGAAGCACCGGACATTCGCTTTTTATTCTCTCAATTTCGTAAACAACATCCGTGATGCGAGAAGGCAGTGACTAGAACTACTCTGGCAGTGGTTGTATGTACGTGGCCACTTGAGAGCACTCTCAGCTGTAGCAGGGCATTTAGGGGCCATAGACTAATTAGTTATTCTGAGGTTAATTATTGTCCTCTCTCATTTAGAACTTATAAATTAGTTATGTCGCAGATCTACTATTACGTTCTTATCTAAAAGTATGAACAAAACATTAAACAGAACTTGTTCAAAAAGTAAATTAAATTATAATTTCCAATTGAAGATGATATTTATTTCGAAAGTATATACCAAATCTAGAAAGCTAGAGAGTGTTAAGTTCGCCAATTGATTAACGCAGAATACGGTTTAGGACCATTAGACTTAAACGTTGAACTTCACTGTAGCAAATTAGAACACAGAAGAAAAACTGAAGAAGTGTTTATTTGGTAAGAATCAAAGTGTACAGAAAATTACGGGTATTTATAGATATTAGCATTTGTTAAATCAACATTATATTTTGGCCAATCCGCTAAGAGACATATTATGCTACTGAACAATAATAGCATCATGCCACGTTGATAATCTAGAAAGCTCCATCTTGTTCTGATTGACTGGAAGTGTTCAGCTTCTTTAGGGCCTCTGGAGGCTCCGTTGTAGTTCTCGGAAGCCGATTCAACAGAGAGCGACAGAGGGAGAGAGTCTTCCACTTGTAATATTCACTTAATTTCGTACAAGTGACATAAATTTGAGTTTTGAACAGAATATTAGTCGTAGACGTAATGTTTGTTTACTGAAAGATATTATATACCCTGGGATATTCTTAATTTACTAGTCATTCATTGAAATAATGAAGTTAAAATATAATTTTCGTTGAATTATAAATAGTTGTAAGTGAATATCAAATCGAGTGTTATAAACATATAGGCTTCCTTACAAATGTGTAATGTCTGTCAGTCAGTCCGTCAGTCAGCTACAACGTAGGACTAGGGATATATATATATATATATATATATATATATATATATATATATATATATATATATATATATATAGCATCGGTCCAAGTTGCCACAGCTTATTAGCACAACAAGATGAACACCACATTCATAGATGTCGTTAATTCAATGGTGGTAATATATAAAAGAAAGACTGCATATAAGGATATAGTACAGAAACAAAGGATTGGTTCGTAGAAAGAAAGATCTAAAGCGATTTTAATCTCATAGTTTAAAGGCGGACAGAGAGTGTATACACCTACGCCATTGTGATCGATTCTGAGCCATGTCACCCAGAGTCTCCGACCATTGATTACAATAGTCACCTACTTCAGACAGACGCTATAAAGATTCAAGCTGACAACATTAGATTTTGTATTCAAACAAGGGTTCTTAATGTTTTTATCGTTTTCTTTATCAGAAATCAAACCTAACAGACAACAATGATCAATTAAATCTATTATGTGTTAGTTCCTTTTCTCTTCTTTACCATTTCTATGCGTAAAATTGATTGTGTTGTTTCTTTAAACTTTGATCTACTTATTATGTAAGTAGATTTATTCATACGTACTATCATATTATTCATTCACAATCAACACATTTGTTATTCACTATCAACGTGTACTTGCCAATTATGATGATGAATCATGTATTCTATTTCATTGTTATCATTGACTTCTGAATGACTTTGGTTAGTTTGTTATTTTGCAAATATGCATATATATTCACTTAGTATGATTTGCTTGTATCTTATCAATAGACCAGTCTCTTATTGGCATATATACATCCTATGCGGATTGTCTTGATATTGTCGTAAGTCACAAGCATTATATACACAAAGATGGATTGTGGTTAGCAGTGGAATCCATGGAGCAGGTTTCGTTCTAGTCTCTACAAACTAAACAACTATGTTCTTTATGTCAGCACTAATAGTCGGAATTTAATTCACTTGGAAATGAAATAGAATAGAGTAATCTACCAAAAATGCATCTTATAAGAATCCGTTAAGTAATTACTCCCTCAAGCGGGATCGTGGATGTGCACTACTGAGGAGTTCAACGATAAGACGAAAAGGTTGTACAGTGCTTTCAAGTTTTCAATGGTGGTCTTACATTAATCGCTTCATGATCTCAATTAAATATTCTATGATTATTGTTTGATTATTGTAAATTATATACATATTATGATAAAGCCATAATGAAAAACTAAGAAAGAAATTTCTTCGATCTATCCATTTTTTCACTAAAAACAATCCATTTTGAAACCATCGTTTCGTGCAATTATCATGGTTTTAAAAGTAATCTGAATTATGAATCACATAAGGGCCACGTGTCAAGTATGCCTGAACACCAACTAGTGTTAGGAATGGTTGGAAGTACGTTGGGAACGGCCAAACCAAAACGTGTCATCAGTGCTTGAAGTCACTAACTTCTAGTCTGAGACATGTTGGTGAATTCAGACAATTTGGTTGGGATCCGCATGACTATTATAATCAACAGTTGAAGACTCTGAATGACATGGCTCAGAATCGATCACAATGGCGTTGGTGTATACACTCTCTGTCTTCCCTTAAGTTATGAGATTAAAATCGCTTCATATCTTTCTTTCTACGTACTAAATCTTTCTTTCTATACTATATCCTTATATGCAATCTTTCTTTTATATATAACCATCATTGACTGAACTACTTCTATGAATCCGGTGTTGATCTCGTTGTGCTAATAAGGTGTGGCAACTTGGACCGATGTATATATGTGCTTGATCCCACGTTGTAGCTGACTGACTGACTTATTCAAAGTTTAATCCATGATAATACTAGAAGAAATCTTCAAGTTTTACTATTTATAAATAATCTGAATTTTAGAGTAAAGTTTAAGTATAGTAGTAAACTGATCAATTTTAAGATTATTTCAAGGTCAAGGCTAATAATTAAACAAAAAGGATCCTAACGTTTTTATAGGATAAAGATTATACTATGGGAATTATTTTTTTTGCAATTGAGAACAATAAAATTTGTCTAAGACTTATAAAGAACATTATGAATAAAATCAATTAAGTGTTCTACTTATACTTACACGAATCTTAGATGAATAGTACTACTAGTTATATATTGGATTATACCCCCGAATGCCCTGGTACGGCTGAGAGTGAGGAGAGTCAACTCTCTATATCGAAATGCTCTCACATGGACACACGTATAAAGCCTTTGCCAGGGAAGTCCTAATCACTGCCTTCCCGCACCACCGATGTTGTTTACGAAATTGAGAGGATAAAAAGCGAATGCCCGACACTTTAAATAGGTTGGTGAATACGGAGAGTCCACTTAAGGGATTTGGAAAACCCTTATTCCAAACCAATGATGCACATGGACTCCAGTATTCTGAGGGAATTAATGGTGTATAAACCAATTAATTAGTCACAAGCTACCATGGGAATGCATCTTCTGACATTGCTGTACTGCCTTGTGTATTAGACATTTAAGTCAATTTTTCGGGGTGTGGCAACCTAAGAGGACCACCTGCACCGGTTTGAGCACCCGGGTAGTATCTCAGCCTGCACACAAATCAAATAATTTATGTGGCGCATATATATATTTGTGCCTCCTTGTATAAATGTTTATGTGTTTAAATAAATAAATAAATACTTTATAAAAGCTAAGAACCATATAATGAATACTTCATTCGCAAAGTGTCAATCAATTGTAATATGATGAAGATTTGTAGCTCAAGTGAATCATTTTGGTGGCTTTTTTTTACCTATCCCTAACCATTCGACTCAAATAACACAACTCTACTAAACTCAATCAATCGTTTCAGACTTCATTATTACTTCGTTTCCACAGTATTTATTCGTGGTTTTCATTCTCTTTTCTTCAATCTTCTTGACCATCTGCCTTCATGCATTTTACTTTCCGTTGATGATACACATACTACTTATATAAATCAGTTGATGAGGTTGTAAATCTTCATCGAATGAGATGGTTGGGCCACGTGTTGCGTATGCCTGAACTCCGATTACTACGACGTACAATGCTAACCGGTGTTAGGGATGGTTGGAAGAAAATTAGGGGTGCTTAAACTAAAACGTAGTATCAGTGCTTGAAGTCACTAACTTCTGATCTGAACCATGTTAGTAGACTACTTAGTTTGGGGTCCGCGAGACTACCGTAATCAATGATTGCAGATTCTGTGTGGTATGGCTCAGAATCAATCACAATGGCGTAGGTGTATACACTCCGTCTTCCCTTACACTATGAGATTAAAATCGCCTCATTTCTTTCTTTTTATGAACTAATTCTTTCTTCCTGTACTATATCCTTATATTCAATATTTCCTTTATATATTACCACCATTGACCTAACTACTATTATGAATACGGTGTTCATCTTGTTGTGCTAATGAGGTATGGCAACTTGGACAGATGTATATATGTACGTGATCCTACGTTGTAGTTGACTGACTACTTATATCTATTGATATCAGTAGTATACACTACACATAACTATTAAGATATTATTTGTGCGAAAATACATGTTTAAACAGGTATTTCAATTCATTTACATTAGTTACATATGTACATATTTTGTTTATGCCAGAAGAAAAAATTATTATGGCATAGAAACATTGAATTACCATTTAATTGTGCAAATAACATCATCATATGTGAAATTAGATAATAATTAAAATAAATATTTACTATTCATTTGCCTACGCTCTTGTTTTAAATATCAACATTTATGTGTTTACTATGTAATCAATAAACAACACCAACCCTTCCTTTCTTCTAATAGCCAATTAGAATCAAATGACTGGTATCAGATCTTGATTTGATCATGATTTGATTTAAGTTAGATAATCATCGAAATCAAGAAACGTAAGATAGTCATATCATCCTAGCATAGACTCTTGAATGATGCGCATCTATGACTTCATCAGTAGGTATTTAAACCAAGATATGCGGTATGGTGCGCGGATACTTAACTTCTAGATCATTATATTTATTCGAGTTGTAACCAACATGATTATTAATAGCTAAAATATAAGATTACAAGGTATGTAGTTTTTAATATATACGAACTTGGGAAGGATCATCAATGAAAAAGGAGGATCGAATACAGACGTAAAGACAAGGATTGGCAAAACAAGGACATCATTTCTACAATTAAAGAACATATGGGATTCAAAACAACTTTCAACCAATATCAAAGACACAATCTTTAATACAAACGTCAAGACAGTTCTACTGTACGGAGCTGAAACTTCGAGAACTAATACAACTATCATCAGCAAAGTACAAGTATTTACAAATAGTTGTCTACACATGATACTCAACATTCATTGGCTGTATACCATCAGCAACTCCATTCGATGGGAGAGAACAAACCAGATTCCAGCTGAAGGGGGAAGCAGGCAAAGATGTTGGAAGTGGATAGGACATACAATACGGAAATCACCAAACTGAATCACAAGGTAAACCCTAACTTGGAATGTCGAAGGGAATTGGAAAAGAGAAATGTCAAAGAACACATTACATCGGGAAATAGAAGCAGATATGAAAAGGATGAATGACAACTGGAAAGGATTGTGCAAGACAGATTTGGATGGAGAGTTCTGATGGGTGGCCTATGCTTCTCCACGAGAAGTAGCTACATAATACTCAAATTTCATAAAGCCCACTTGTTGAACAATATTTATTTAATGTATTGGTATTAATGTGATTTTATTCACATAACAACAGCTTCAGGAGGACTATTGAAAATTAGAAAACATTAGAAATCGCTCCATCTTTGTCGTAAAAATCTCAAGAATTGGAATGAAACCATGAACCGATCGATGTTAGATCACGATTAAAAACCTGGAAGCACTGAAAGGCCGTTTAGTCCTATTGTGGGACTCCTTAGCAGTGCGCATCGACGATCCCATTCGTGAGAATCGAACCCAGGGCCTTCAGTCTCGCACGTCAACGCTTAACGTACTGGACCACTGAGCCGGTATCCAATGTTAATGTCTAACCGCAACCAATCCACGAAATTGCGTGACCATCTTCGATTGTACTGAGGTAGATAACTGTCTCTACTCGACACGGATTAGCTCAAGAATTCGTCATTACGACTTCATTCAATTGGAAGTTGTATGACTATCTAGAGTTCGTTCTTAGTGTGTACACACTTTAAAAGTTACAACTGTTATCAATCCAATTCATTTATCCTTTTAACACTGCCTGCTAAACGGTTCTGACAATGTATTTTATATCAAATACTTATGAATTCAGTACTAAGAGGTTACCATTCATTCTATGCATTTGGTATAATTGTAATTTACACATATGAATTTTAATTATCCTTATTCGTTTTTCTTGAATAAATAGTTTTCAGTGTTTGGTTATGAATGTTAGTACCACCTAATATCAAATTAATGACAAAACCAATACTTCCTTTCTTCAAATAGCGAACCAGAACATCACAAAGCCAATTCAATGATATCAGATCCTGTTATATTCTCTTGAGATCTTAATTAGAACTAAAGTTTAAATATACAACTATAGTGAAGGAGAACATAAATAGAGACAATTGAATGTATTTGAATAGAAAATTAGAGAACATTTTAGTGAAATTTGCCCCAAAATGCCGTGCTATGGAAAAGAGTGGAGAGTCCACTCTCCCTCTCGAAATGCTCTCACATGGACACGTGCATATAACCCCTGCCAGGGAAATCCGACTTAGTGCATTCTCGCACCACTGGTGTTGTTTACAAAATTGAGAGGATGAAAAGCGAATGTCCGACACCTTACCAGGTTGGTGGGTACGGAGAGTCCACCTAGGGAAGTTGGAAAACCCTCGTTTTAAACCGATGATGCACATGGACTCCAATATCCTGAGGGAACAAATGGCATATGAACCAATAGTTGTCACCGGATACCATGAGACTGCATCTTCTGACGTTTTTCCACTGCCTTGTGTATCAGGCTTTTAAGTCAAAGGATGTGGCCTTCTAAGAAAACCACCTGTTTGGTGTGAACACCTAGACAGTATCATAGCTCAAACACAAGCCAAGTGACTTGTGTGGTGTATATCTATTCGGTACCCCTTTATACCGATATTTCGGTGTCCATCAAATTAATAATAATAAAACACCCTTGTTCATGACACTTATAATCTCAGCTACTTGTTGTTTTAAATAGTCAACTATTACATAATCATCAGTGCTTGAAGTCACTAACTCCTAATCTTAGCCATGTTGACAGATGCAGACAACTTGGTTGGGGTCCGCATGACTATCGTAACTAATAGTTGAAGACTCTGGGTGACTTGGCTCAGAATCGATCACAATGGCGTCGGTGTATACACTCTCTGTCGCTTCATATCTTTCTTTCTACGAACTAACTCTTTCTTCCTGTTCTATCTCCTTACATGTAATCTTTCTTTTATATATTACCACAACTGAGTTAAATACTTTTATGAATCCGGTGTTCATCTTGTTGTGCTGATGAGGTATGGGAACTTGGACCAATGTATATATGTGCCTGATCCTACGTTGTAGCTGACTGACATGATCATCAATGCTTATTTAATTTTTGATTTTTTTATTCTGTTATTTAGCAAGTTTATTCCTATACATTCTATTCTAATAATGGGAAGAAGTAAATTACAAATATATGGTCCAAATGGTGAAATTTATCAACCTACATTAAAACTTCAATCAAATACTAATCCTGAAAAAGATGCTGAAGAGCTTTATCAAGCAATGAAAGGATGGGGTAAATTATTGTTATAACTTGTGACCTGTATGCCCTATTAATGTATAACGTAATGATACTGCCAATTAGAGAGCAGTGAATTATCCATTGGACCAATGATGTGTAAAACACGTACGTACAGTCTAGAGTCCTTATTGGTCCTGCTTCCCGCCTAGCCCAGCCAGTTAACACTAGAAAACCAATCTCAGCCTCTGTGATATGAATCATTTCTTTTCAAACATACAGGGTTTATATACCAACCAGACAGACTACAAAGTACCATAAAATATGAAACAACATTTCTACAAGATTTAACCAAAAGTGGCTATGTATGTAGGATGTAATAATTTACAGACAGGGCATAATTCAAGAATGGTAAATCGTATAGTAACAACTTATAGATCAAAATAGAGCTTATAATAAGAGGAACACGAATATGTATAGTTTAGTTATATAACAATTATGCGACAAAAATATACGTTTAGTATTAGTCCACAAATGGGTCCCTAAAGTTACCATTCATTATTCTCGTCGGTACATAACAATTATACAGAGTTTGTTTGTTTGTTTTAATTCCCATCAAACATTATTGTTCATGTAACTGGTGGTGTAATTTATTCTATTTGGAAACCCTTAATTGAATGTACCTACATCCTAGATTTGATATTCATTTCCGGACTCGAACATTAGTACGCTTCACTTCAGATGTCAATCTATTCTTTACTAATTTATTTCACGATGGTTACATTCAGGTAATCCTTATAGGATGTATTACAGCAAATTAAGATTGATCAAATTTCAGTTAGAAATATCAACCATCGAAAAATTCAAATTATTTCAATGGTTAAGATCACGAGTCAGTTGAAGCTAGACCATCATGGAAAACCTGGAAGCAGTAAACGGCCGTTTCGTCCTATTGTGGGATCATTGAAATTACTATAATATCCACAAAAACCCATTATAATATGAATCAACATATGCTCATTAGTGACTGGCTTCAAGAGGTATATCCTGGAGTTCTAGTGAGAAGTAATGACCAGTGGAGTTCAACCAGGTTTTTTTGTGAGATAGTAACTCACTGAAGACGATAGTGGATGTGTCGCTCAATTTCGTGGATTAATTGAAGTTAGACATTAACACCGTCGGATGCCGGATCAGTGATCGCGCGTGGATACGCACTGCCGTGGAGTCTCATACTAAAATAAAATGGTCGTCCAGTGCTTCCAAGTGTTCCTTGGTGGACTAGGTTTCACTGACTCATGAATTCCACTATTCATCTATTATAATATCCATAAAACCTCTTTCTGATTATGATTTATCAGTTATCTGCACTCTAATGAATCACAACAAAGTTATATAACGATATCGTTTTCTTAGTTTATGAAACTAATGAATCTAATTAATAACAATGAATGTGGAATGTTACCTTTTAATAAAGATTTTTTTCAATGATTTGAACTTTTAGTACTTTTTTTTAATGAAGGTCATTCAATGTTCAATGATAACTAGTACGATGTGGGCTGATTGTACAAACTATAAATTCAGACACACACACACACTTACTCTCTCCATATATATAAAAATCAGTGAATTTTGATTTAATAATGTAAGCTAACTTGATGTTGTTTAAGTATTTGGCACCATCGTTTATACAATGAACCTTAAATAAGCATTAGTCATTAGTAACACAATGCGTTATCTTGATTTTAGTAACTATGTAAATGCATGTTACAGTGCAAATGAACAGAATATTGTTTTCATGAATCATTTTGGTTTAATTAAACCATTGTTTACTGGAATGTTCTTGAATGATGTTTTTTTTCTAACAAATTAGTAGTATTGTAGTGAATGAGAACAAACAAGGGGGGGGTAACCAAATGTACTTGAACATACAATTGTAGAATGTCTTAGTACAATTTAAGAACTATACAGTATAATAATTCATTTGCAAAATGTCAATCAATCGTCTTAGACTTCATTGTTCGTTCGTGTTCATTCTCTTTTCTCATTCTCTTTTCTTCGATCTCCTTAACCATCTACCTCCAAGCATTTCGCTTTCGATTGACGATACACATACTACTTATATAAGTCGGCATCAGTAGCACACGCCAAAATATGAGTATCTATATTAATAACTTCAGCTAATGTAATTGTTGATGTTAAGAATTGAATTTCGATCATAAAATTTATTCCATTGGATAAGCTCGAGAACGGGTAGCTTGATAGTAAAGATACTAGGTTCGAGTCTCGTAGTGAGTATTGACTATTGAGATGCAGGTATCCATTTCACTTTCGATTAGCGATACAAATACTACTTATATCTACTGATATTAGTAACACACACCACAATATTTTTTGTTTATCTAGTTGAACTTTTGTATGAGTATTAAATAAAAATTGTGTTTGATGTTCAATACTTTTTTCTTGTCTGGTTAAATATCTAAGTCAACAAATATTTTAAGGAAACAATACAAGTTGTAGAGCATGATTAGAAACACAATTTGTCGCTATATAAGCAGAGATGGGTAGTCACTAGGAATAAAATCCATGACTCGCGTTTCGTCCCACTTGAGACTCTTCAGCCAGATGCATCTGAATCCCAGAGTTGATTTTCACTCGAGGACTCGAGCTCAGTACCGTTTGCTTTAATAATAAATAAGAGACTAACCCATTACAGTCTTAAACATCAATGTGAAGATTCAAACAACCAATATAAAAATGGATTCATTTGTCATTTTGTGTAGAATAAAATTCTGATCTGGTAACTTGTGTACATTTTGCACAATCGATCCCATTTTCAGATGGAACATCGAGCAGGGTTGATGGTAATGATATTCATACAAACTTCACGTTCTTCCATTACTGTTGTTATTCAAACTGCTTCTGTTTTTCTGTATCTTCTCTTTATATTTCTCTTCTTTTGTTAAGAATCGTACCTCCAATTCTTGATACATACTACTTATATGTGCCCGTACAAGTAGCACACACCCAAATGCACACAAAATATGTGTACATTAAAAAGATAGAAAGCTTGATATTGATATAGTTTATAAAAATATACATCCAAATCATTTACATCTTAGATATTGAAAAAGAAGTATCCATAATTTGATTACATGTCCTACTTTTGGTCTTCTCTTGAGCTTTGACTTTCAAAATTATTCTAAAATTTGTAGCTCCTTCTAATGCTACAAGAAAGTAGTGAGTAGGATTTACCTGTCAATGGTTGTATGTATGTGGCTATGTGAGAGCATATCAAGAAAGAGAGCTGACTTTCCCCACTCTCAGAATACTAGGACGAAATGGCCATCCATCGCATATAGGTTTTCAATGATGATCTAGCATAGACTGATGCATGAATTCAACCATTAAAAAGGAACGACGATGAAGATCATAAGTTTATCAATGTGAATATTCCAAGTTTATTAAAACATAAAAAAAGATATATCAATAGTAGTGAATTTCTCTCATTCTCATTTGCCTTGGACCCCCCCCTCTTTCAACAAAACAAGTTGGTGAAGCGTACTAGCCTTTTTTGAAGAAAAACAAGCTATATTGAAGCACGACACAACTATTTTGGCTAGAATAGCTGTTTTTGTAATCGGTTGGAGTTTGTCCCATAGTGGTCAACCCCCTACTTTTGTCGTTTTTCAATCCAAGAGTAATTGTGCTGTGATTCTTTGTGGATTACATAATCAATTTGTGTATATCGGTCGAGTGAGTGATAAGCCCGATCTCTACCACTCCGGGTTACCACTCACGTTAGTTCATGGGATTGAGTCTCAATGCCGTGAACATGAATCAAAACTGAAAAAAATCATTTGATTAGAAAAAATATAAGATTTTTCGGATATTGAAATATGATTACATAATAATCACCTGGCAACCTTACAAACAGCAACAGTATTTTAACACTGTACTATGTGGTGTTAACACTTTGTAGCTTTAATTGATTAGTCAATATATAGAAACCAATGTAATAGTGTGGATCTAAGACTAAGTCTTTTATGCACTGAAAAATAGACACACTAACATGTATAATGTAGAATATGCATAATACATTTTTACACTATTTACATATATTCATATCTGTGATCTGATTATAATCCAAATAGGTAGGTATGTAATCTAACTAAAACTTCATACGATTATATGTAGATGACAGCTCAGACCTACTAGATTAATATTTTTGTCCAGTCCAAAGTATTGATCGTCTTACGAATTATGACCCTGTCAATTATCGCCTCTAAATGCCCTAGTATGGAAGAAAGTGGGCAGAGTCAATTCTCCCTCTTGAAATGCTCTTAGATGGCCACGCGTATATAGTCTCTGTCAAGGAAGTCCTACTCACTGCCTTCTCGCACCATGGCTGTTGTTTATGAAATCGAGAGGACGGAAAGCGAATGTTCGTCACTTAAATCAGGTTCGTGGATACGGAGAGTCCACCTAGGGGAGTTGGAAAACCCTCATTCCGAACCAATGGTACACATTAACTCCAGTACCATGAGGAAACAAATCGTGTATAAAATAATTATTGGCCACCGACTAACATGGGACTGCATCTCCTGATGTTGTTTCACTGCTATGTGGATCAGACCTTTAATTCAAATGCTGCGGATGTGGTTCCCTAAGAAAACCACCTGTTTCCGTTTGGGCACCCAAGTAGTATCATAGTCCTCACACAAATCAAATGAGATTTGTGTGGCGCATATGTATCTGGTGCCCCTCTTTGTATCAATATTTCGGTGTTCAAATAACTAACGAATAAACTATTAATTATTATATGACGAAGTTACTAATCAAAATACTAACTTATATATTAGACCATAAATGAATCCCAAAAGTTACCATTCATTATTCTTATCGGGATATAACAAGTATCATTTAGTGTTAATATAACAACACATAATGTAATCATCAGTATTGTATTTGAATTAAAGTGTATATAAAGTACTACTGATATGTGTGATTATTATAAGCCATTGATTAATTAAAGTAGTAACTACGTCTTCTATGCGGTTAAATATTGTTGTTTTTTTTGGTTTCTATGGTATGTATTGTATCTAATTTCAAAGACATTAACAAAAATTATATCTAAGTGTATAGTTAAGTTATATGTTCCACATAATATAAAACTTAATCCTTGGATTTTACTATGATGTATATTTCTTATGTGGATAAATATAAGTAGTATATAGCACCGGTCGGAAAAGAAGTGCTTACCAACAGACAATTTAAATGAAGATAATAGGAAGAAAGATGTGCAATGTATGATTTTTATATGTTACAAATGTACTGTATGATTTCATATCAAACAATAAATTGGTTTCACTGACATGCAACCATTATCGAAACAATAAAAGTATTTGTCTACTTAAGAAATTCAATGTCTAATGGTCGGATACCATCAGGAACAGACTATTGTGAGAGAGAACAAACCAAATTCCAACTAAAGAGGAAATCAGAAAAGGATGCTTGAAGTGAATGTGACATATATCACAGGAATCATCATACTGCATCACGAGGCAAACTCTTACTTGGAATCCTGAAGGGGAAAAGAAAAAAGGAAGACCAAAGAACACAGTTCACCGAGAATTGAAAGGAGACATAAAAAGAATGAATAGAAACTGAAAACAAATGGAAAGAATTGCTGAAGACAGAGGGTTGGAGAATGCTTATGGTCATCTTATGCGCCTCCACGAAGGTTAACATATGTGAGTAAATACCCATTAAAACTAGTCAATTCTAAGATGAACTTACGGTGAAATCATGGTCGTGTATTTTTGTTTATGTAATAAATCAGTTAAAATTTGATAGTGACAAATCTAGTCATCAATACTACTACTTCATATCTTAATAAGGTGCTATAATTCTCTCTTATTACAAACCCAGCTATTCTTATTGCTTAGTATTCTTGGACATTCATTCACTCGACAAGTTCCCAAATCAGAACACGGTTGAACAGGAAAGGGATTATATTCCAAATAACAAGGTTAAATGGAAGTAAGAAGCACCAGCATTCTCCATCCAACCTTGTCCTGGCAATCTTGACTGAACACATCTGGTAATAAACATTGATGATGTAACAGTTTTAGAGATCATGTGTTAATTGGTACAATCCAAATAATAAATGAGAGATATAAGTGAGTCAGCGGAGTGAATAAAATTACCGCCTATAAATCTGAATCTGAATTAGTCCGATTACATATGAGTATTACTGATTGGTAAGTCAGTTAGCTACAATGTAGGACCAAACACATATGTACATCGGTCCAAGTTGCCATACTTCACTCATTAGCACAACAAGATGAACACCTCATTCATAAAAGTATTTAATTCAATGATAGTAATATATAAAAGAAAGATTGCAATAAGGATATATTACAGAAAGAAACAATTAGTTCGTAAAAAGAAAGATATGAAGCGATTTTAATCTCACAGTTTAAGGGAAGACAGGGAGTGTATACACCAACGCCATTACGATAGATTCTGAGCCATGTCTCTAACCATTGGTTACGATAGTCACGCGGACGTCAACTGAGTAGTCTACATCTACCAACATGGCTCACACTAGACGTTAGTGACTTCAAGCGCTGATACCACGTTTTAGTTTGACCACCCCTAATTTTCTTCCAACCATTCTCAACACCGGTTAGTATTGCATGTCTTAGTAATTGGAGTTCGGATATACGCAACACGTGGCCCAACCATCTCATTCGATGAAGATTTACAACCTCACCAACTGATTTACCATCATTCCCGTATACTCCACGTCTAACCTCACTATTACTTGCTTGGTGTTCCCATCAGATGTGAGTATTTCTAAGGCATCTGTTATCAAATACTAGTAGCTTACGAGTATCTTCGACTCTTAATAGCCACATTTCGTATCCGTAAGGTAAAACAGAACAAACTGCCCCGTAGTATACTCATCCCTTAATTGATAGACGAATATCTCACTTTCACCATAGGTGACATAAGTTGGCAAAAGTCAAACAAGCTTTTCAAATCCGTGCTGAAATTTCGTAAGTAATAATCTTCTGCTCTTCAGCAATAAATGTATTCATACAATCATAATCTTCTTTCTCTGCTTAGTAAATTGATACATTAGTATCTGAATCGAACTGTAGGATACAACAATTGTATGGCTTCATTGTTACAAGATTCAATCTTATGAACAATGTAAATGTTTCCATATTATCACTATTGAATTATCGGTGAACTTAGTTTTATATTCGGTTATTAAGTTAACCTCCAATCAACTAATATTTAACATATAATACACGTCATATCAAGTCATTGAGACTAATAACTATGCCGCAACTTAAGCGACAGAATTCGATCATTCATTAGTAGTCACTGAATAGTAATAAAAAAGTATCTCAGTCCTATGGGGAATCAACTAGTTCAGTTGTTTCTTTCTATGATAAAGTCTCGAAACCCCATCAAAGGTATTACATTCTTCATAATTCTAAATATACTTATTCGCCTATTGTTAAGTAGAGTAAAATATAAATCAATCAGGACATTCGAAGTAAAAACTCGAATGGATGCACACTGATGAAGAGTCTAACTTCAACTAATCCTCGAAATTGAGTGACACATTAACCATCGTCTTCAATGAGTTACTATCTCACAACTCATGATCTGAACTATTGAAATTACCATAATATCCACAAAAACCCCTTCTGATATGAATCAATATATGCTTACTAGTGACTGGCTTCAAGAGGTATTTCCTGGAGTTCTAGTGAGAAGTATTGACCACTGGAGTTCAATCGGGTCTATTGTGAGATAATAACTTAATGAAGACAATGGTGGATGTGTCACTCAATTTCGTGGATTGGTTGAAATTATACATTAACACTATTGGATGCCAACAGGCTTAGTGGTCTAGAGGTTAAGCGTTTGTGTGCAAGACTGATTGGTCCTGTGTTCGAATCTCGCTAGGCGGGATCTTGGATGCGCACTGTCAAGGAGGAGTCCTACACTAGAACGAAACGGCCATCCAGTACTTTCAGGTTTTACATGGTGACTCATGAATTTAATAATTAAATTACTATAACATTCAAAAATACCCCTTCTGATACTAATTACATTTTTGTTTTAATAAACAATTTGAACATTGAACGTGTGTGATTTTTAATTCAAGTTTTTTTAAAATGGAATATATGTGATTGATTATATGTTTATTACTAATTAGAACAAAGTACACAATTATATGTTGGTTACATTACAAGTTCTCTTAGTAAACACTTAGTATACATGATATAATGAACATGAGTTACATGTGCATTCATGAAAGTAAAAACACATTAAGAATATAAGAATGATTGTTTCACGTCCAATTAGATATGATTTGGTTTGATCGATTGGCTAAGTTTCATAGAAACTAACTTCTTATATTATATGCAAAGATGGATAGTAGCTAACAGTGGAATCCAAGACGCGCGTTTCGTCCTATTTGAGACTCGTCGGCTGGATGTACCTGCATCTCAGAGAGTTGATATTCACTCTGAGACTCGAACCCAGTATCATTCACTTCAAACGCCATCTCGTTATTCACCTACCTACTGAGTCCTGCTAGCCACTTGCTTGTGCAATCGCGTGAAGTTTAAATTCAAATGTTATTGTTTGCTTGAATCTTCCCATTGTGATTTAAGATTGCAATTGATCAGTCTGTTATTGGCATATGTGCGTATTGCCCCGATTTAGCCTTAATTCACAAGCATTATATGCAAAGATGGATAATGGCTAGCAGTGAAATCCAGGACGCGCGTTTCGTCCTATTTGGGACTCGTCAGTTTTTGAAATGACTGAAATATTCCACCCTGATAAATATTATCTAGAAGTTGATATTCGTAGATGATAGTTGACTGACAGTAAATTTTTAATCAACTTAGATTTTGTGTTATATAGATTATATGCTCCCCCCTGTGTGATTCGAATTGCCAGTGTTATCCAGCTTCACAGAATGAGACGTTATTTAGGTAGAGATTGACCTCCAGTATAACTGTGTTATTCAAAATCAAATTCCTGTAGAAACTTATTTGTATATGATCACACGTTATCAGTTTAATACATTAATAAATAATTCTTACTATAGTATCTAGTTACTTGTCCCTAGTCTCTATGCACATTGCTGAAGAGTTTCATTACTGGAAAGCAACGGTCATCTAATACTTTCATATTTTCAGTGATCGTTTAGCTTAGATTGACTCTACCGTCTTCACAAATCCCCATATTGATTTATTTATTTATCTGATCTTTATTTGTAAATGGTTCAAACAGTACTATTCTATACTTCATGGAAACGCTTTAGAACAAAACATATACTTGCGGTTCTTAAGATAACTTGTCAAGAAAATGAATTCAACAACTTGGACTACAATGAAATAAGGAATGGTATATTGTTGAAATATTGTTGATAAACTTACTTATATACGCCTGTTAACCCTCATGTAGGAGCATAAACCAACTATTATCATTTTCTAAACAACTCTGTCTTGAGTAATTCTTTTCAATTGTTTCCAATTCCTATTCATCTTTTATATGTGTACTTCGAATACTCGACACAATGTGTTCCTTGGTTTTATCCTTTCCTTTTCCTATCAGGATTCTAAGCTGGCACTTCCTTCGTGATGCAATCCAATGATTTCTTCAATGTCGTCTTTTGCTGATTTCCTCTTTAGTTGGAAGTTGATTTGTTCTTTCCCATAGTAGACTGTTGCTTATGGTATCCGGCCAACAGACATAAAGTGTCTTATATAGACAATTGTTTATAAATACTTGTACCTTTTTTATAATGTTTGTGATAGTTCTGGGAGTTTCAGCTTCGTATAGTATGACTGTCTTGACGTTTGTATTGAAGATTCTGATTTTGATGTTGATTGACAGTTTTTCTGGATTCTATATGTTCTTTAGTTGTAGGAATACTGTCCTTGTTTTGTTCATCGATCAATCTCCCTAGATACATGGAGGTTTCCACCTTTTTTAAAGTTTATCCATCATGTATGAATGGGTTAGTGTTCTTTGTGTTGTATTTGAGGATCTTGGTTTTTCCTTTGTGTATGCTGAGGCCTACTATTTCAGTGACTGCTGTTCCATTGTCTGTTTTTACATGCATTTATTGGTGTATGGCATGAAAGAGCTAGGTCCATTTCGTCTAGCTGCACCCAAGCTGTTCATTGTATTCCGCGCTTCCTCTCTAATATGAAGGTTTTCATAATCCAGTCAACCACTAGATTGAGAAGAAAGGAAGAGAGTAAGCAGCCTTGTCTGACACCGGTACTCACTTGGAATGTAATTCTAAATCTTTGAATAGAATTAACATACAAAACTAAATTTGATAAATTCTATACGTATTACGTAGTAACTGTTTGGTACACTTTATATTGTTTTTACTGATTACATAATCAATGCTTTTTATTCTATCTAGGGTACATGGAGTGGATAGAATTTAATTTTCCTATTCATGTTTACAATGTAAATCAAATGTAATATTGATCGTTTCATGTGTAAAATCATTATGTACTAAGCTGCTGAGTTCACTAAAACACGAACATCTTTTACGAGTTCCACGTTTATTCGTTTCTTATCATCCTTAAGGAATGACAATTATTATCAAACGGGATCTATAAATTAATAAGTATCTGGACTCAGTAGATTAGTGGTAAAACTGTTGGTGTTTGAAACGATAAATATTGAGTCTGAATTTCAATTCAAACATCAATATTAACATGTAGGCACATCTAGTTGACGAGTTTCAAATAAGATGAAACAAACCTCACATGTGATTAGTTTCGTGAGAGAATTCTTGGAGTTGTGATGAGAAGCAGTGATCAGTGGAGCTAATCCGTGTCGGGTCGAGACAAGTATCTACCTCACTACAATGGAAAATGGTCGTACAAATTCGTGGATTAGTTGAGTTTAGATATTAACACAGTCGAATTCTGGCTCAGTGGTCTAGTGAATAAGCGTTCGCGCTCAAGGCTGTAAGTTCTGGGTTCGAATCCCACTAGCGGGATCGTGGAGTCTCACAGTAGGACAAAACGGCCGTCTAGTGCTTTCAGTTTTTCAATGATAGTCTAACATCAATCGGTTCATGATCTCAATCAAAAACCTTCTAGATCCTATTACACCCTACAAGCTAGTTATTCTGTAATATTAAAATTACTTGATTTCGATAATAACCGGAACACACAACTGTTAAAATGATTTAAAAACTGAGAAATACCTGTAAGAAGAAACATACATAGATTTATACTTGTAGAATGACTTCTCATATACATTGTTATTAAACGATTGAATTTATAATCTCATTTAACTCATTTTAACCGTCATTACATCATCTACCAGTTGTAGGAGCGGGTACTATGTCAAACCGACATAGTTTATTCTAGCTTAAGGACAAGCTAGTTTATCCATTCTAATCAAGCTACATTTTGTATATGTTAATTATTGGCTTATCAACCTTAACTGTTTTTATATGAGCGCATATGTGTGTGCCCTTCTTATCTTATTTACTATATATGCGTAACTTATTTTTGTGTGACTATAAATATTGATTAACTCTTGGAGTTGATTCACACGCCTACGCCAACCTGCTTCGTTCTTCCATCTTTGTTTCATCGCCTTGATTGCCTGTTCAAATCAGTGATGTGTCCATGAGATATACATATTCAAAATCTGTTCTCATATTTGGCTTATTTAATTCCGTTATTCGCTAACGCGGATTAAGTCGATAATCCTATACGAGAATTAGCGATATATATATGTAAATTTCTACAGCAATCATTCATACGATCTAAATAAAGACAGATCCTGGGTCACAAAAAACACAAACATGAACCAAAACAAAGAAGTAAACAATTACGGGTTCAAGGTCAACAAGAACTAATCTAATATCGAGGTGTACAGGAAAAACTGTGAACCACATGTGTAGAAATCTGAACATTTCAATTCTACATGAAGTTTGTGCTGATGATTTCGTTCAGAAGAAGAACGATACAAAGTTCCATAATCAATCATATTGAGGACAAATAAAGACTCAGAGTAGATACAGGGTTACTAGTTCTTGTTGATGTGTTATTAGTTTAGTAGAGGGACAGAATCATATAAGTCGGTATTTTGATTGGTGACTTCATCATATGATAATAGATAGAGCCATAAATCGTAACAGTTTTGTGTTGCATCATTTTGTTGTCATATACATGCTTCTTCATTCTTCGAATTCTGTTGTTATTCCATTGTCTCACTGTTTCCATTTACTGTTCTCTTCAATTTAATCTTTTTTGGACAGGTTTTACATTTTGTATTGCGGCTACATACTACTTATATCTTTCAATATAAGTAGTCTTTATCATAGTTATAATTATCTCATTTCTTTCGTTACATTTCATCATAACTATGTAAAAAGTGGAAAATTCTGTTTTTCTTTCATCATTAATTATTCATTTTCATAAGTTCTATTTGGGCGTGATTGACTATCTCAATTACAAGATAAGATGATTTTATCCTTGAAAAGCTTGTAATCATGCATAAACAGTGTAAACATAGTAACCAGACAAACTTCATCAGTGTTTTTTTTGATGACAAAATTACCCCGAAAACAAATAAGAAAAGAACAGTTTAAGGAGGTTTGACGTTGGTGTATTGACCATTGGCATATATATATATTCATATAGAAGGCTGTGGAGATTACTGAATCTGTAGTTTTGTATTTATTTATTAATATTTACTTGAAAACATAGGTATTGGTACAGAATGGGCACCGAATAGATATGCACCACACAAGTCACTTAGTTTGTGTGTGGGCTATGATACTGTACGAGTCTCCAAACCGAAGTAGGTGGTTTTTTTTAAGGGAGCCACCTCCAGAGCCTTTGACTTGAAGGTCTGATCCACAAAACAGTGGAGCAGCCTAAGAAGATGCAGTCCCATAGTAGCCGGCAATCAACGATTGGTTCACACGCCGTTTGCTCCTTCAAGATTCTAGAGTCCATGTGTACAATTAGCTTGGGATGAGGGTTTGCCATTTCCCCTATGTGGATTCTTCATATCCACCAACCCGATTAAAGCGCCGAACATCCTCTTTCCGTCCTCTCTATTTCATAAACAATAGTAATGCCGCGAGAAGGCAGTTAGTATGAATTCCCTGGCAGTGGCTGTATACATGTGTTTATGTGAGAGTATTTTGGGAAGGAGAGCTGACTCTCCCCACTCTCGGTCGTTCCAGTACATTTGGGAGCAGTTTTTCATCATAGACTGACTTAAGTTAGATATCCATTGAGGACCAGAAGGCATTTGACAACTATTTCGCCATAGAATTGGACGATTTAAAGGTAGCTTACATCTGTTTTAACCAGAGATTGAACTGAACACCAGGGTATATAGCAAGTATTTGACGTTCAGACTGTTTAATTTATCTCTGTTGATAAACAACTTACAGTATTGCAAAACTTTCGTTCACACGTAATACTAAAATTATTGATGGTAGAAATATACTAGATTGAAGTGTCTTTTTGTTTGAAGGAAGTGTTTTTTTGTTAGGATGTGCAGAAAAATATACCAATAGTTATCATGTTAAGTCTAATGTTTTCCTTGGACGCTAAATGTATATTTCCTATTGGTCGATATTTACTTCACTGGTTTAGTATTGTGTAAATGTTGTTTTCTATTTTTATGGTACGATGCGGTATGTTTGGTTAGTATATAAGTTGAGTATGTCTGAAATACAATGATTCATATCTCAGAGGCTGTGACTTTCGTTCTGGACTCAACTGGCTGGGATAGACAGGGAAGCAGGGCTGATCAGGACACTAGGTCGTCCATTACGTTCGTACGTGTTTACGTGTCACACTGAATCGATCGATATAAACGCTGCTTATCAATAACCTGCAGTCACCCGTTACAACAGTTTTGTTATTAATATAAGCATATAAAGTACATGGAATGGATCTAGCATTTGAAATTTAGGATGTTTTTGTATTGTTATTTGAAACCTGTTAGTTAAATGAACCTGCATATAAAAGTTGATTTTCACTCTGGAACTTGAATCTAGTACCGATCGTTTCAAATACCACTAAATTATCCACTTAGCTAATAAGCCTAAATAACCATTCACTTGCAAAGTAATTGGAAAAAACATTTTTCTACACTCTTTTTTTCTTTCTGTATTTTCATTAGGAACTGATGAACATCGTATCATTAATGTTTTGGGTTATCGTAATTCTATTCAACGAATTCAAATACGAGAAACGTTTAAAGCAATGTATGGAAAGGTAAATTGATAGTAATCATAAGTGTGTGTTAATTACTTACTTACATCTATTACTGCTTATGGAGGAGCATAGTCCAACCACCAGAACTCTTCATCCAAACCTGCCTTGCACAATCCTTTCCAGTTGTCATTTATCCTTTTCATATCTGCTTCTATTTCCCGATGTAATGTGTTCTTTGACATTCCTCTTTTCCAATTCCCTTCGACATTCCAAGTTAGGGTTTACCTTGTGATTCAGTTTGGTGATTTCCGTATTGTATGTCCTATCCACTTCCAACATCTTTTCCTGCTTCCCCCTTCAGCTGGAATCTGGTTTGTTCTCTCCCATCGAATGGAGTTGCTGATGGTATACAGCCAATGAATGTTGAGTATCATGTGTAGACAACTATTTGTAAATACTTGTACTTTGCTGATGATGGTTGTATTAGTTCTCGAAGTTTCAGCTTCGTACAGTAGAACTGTCTTGACGTTTGTATTAAAGATTGTGACTTTGATATTGGTTGAAAGTTGTTTTGAGTTCCATATTTTCTTCAATTGTAGGAATGCTGTCCTTGCTTTGTCAATTCTCGCATTCATATCTGCCTCAGATCTTTCTCGTCCATCAATGATGCTTACTAGATATGTGAACGTTTCCATATTTTCCAGAGTTTCTCCATCATGTGCGAATGAGTTGGTGTATAGCGACTCACGTGCAAATGGGTTTATTCTCATTTAACTCAGTTAAGCCCTTTTGCTAACTTATTTAGCGGACAAAGTCATCCGCACTATAACAATTTATTGTACCCTTATTACTTTGTGTTTGTATGAATTTGTATGCTTGAATATTGTTTACTGCCTACGCATTTATTCACTCTGCTAGTTTTACTACTAACCGCTTATTCGATTCGATTACTCATTCATTTCGCATGGTATATATATGTCCATGTTATTCATGTTCAACACTTACTCACTCACTCACGCGCTCTCGTCACGCTCTTGCTCTCGCTCTCGCTCGCTTGCTTGCCTTTTGGCGCAACTCTCCTATGCTTGGTTAATGCATCTGTACATTTGGATATATGTGTGTGGTCTCGCAATAAACGTAATCAACACTTCGTATTTTGCCTTCTGATTATTATACCGTTGGGGCGTTATACAGAACGGTTAGCAAGACGAATTGTATACGAAGTTAAGGATTATATCGAATACCGACCACCACATAATTGGCGATCCCGACGCGCGAACACGAAACAATCTTCAACGACATAATCCAATTCCTAAAATCCAACGTACTCGATTACAATTGTAACTATCATTTGGATTATAATTATAACTGTGGATTTATTATCTCATTATTTTAATTATACGTACATTATCTCACAAACATTATCGAACATAACGATAATATTCATAGTAAACAACGATATTTTACAAACAATTGATATTTTGGTGCAATTTAGTAAGTTCGTTCTTTGTTATAAATTGTACCATTTGTTTTTATCATTGTTTTTATCGACTCACTTTTTCTGTGACGTTCGCATTATATTTGTGTAATTTTGATTTTTATAAATATGTCTTTAAGTAACGATACAGTAGAACTTTCACAAACGCCGTCCGTGAGGTCTATTAATGTAACTATTCCTCCTTTTAAAGTAACAGATCCTCAACTTTAGTTTATCAGGCTTGAACATTACTTTGTAGCTAATCGTGTTCATACACAGCGAGATAAATTTGGCCACGCGAGCTCGCTACTTCCAGATGAAGTAGCAGATAATGTACGAGAGATTTTAATCAATCCAGACATAGAAAAGCCATACGACGCATTAAAACAGGCAGTGATTAAAGCCGTCTCATTAAGCGACCGGCAAGCCATCGATCAACTTCTCAGTCAAGTGCAGATAGGAGATAGGACTCCATCGCAACTAAAAAACTATATGAGAAGCATAATCAATGACAGAAAAGTTGATAAAGACATATTTTATCAGTTGTGGTTACGACGACTTCCAGCGAACGTGCAGCAGATCCTCGCGGTTGAGGACAGCGATGTCGATATAGACAACATTGCTAAAATAGCCGATAGGATTTATGAGAGAATGAAACAAACGAGTCCGCAAGGTCATAGTACCACAGTAGATGGACGAATCGATGCGTTACAAAAGGAGATTAATGTTTTATGCCACAAGTTGACGAAGCTAAATCAGAGCGATACGCAAAGAGGATGGTCACGAAGTAGATCGAAGGAAAGAAGTCGATCACGTTCTAGGGGACTCTCAGCTCCTACAATATGTTGGTACCATCAAACTTTCGGCGATAAAGCTCGAAACTGTAGACCGCCATGTAAATTCAAGCGATCACACCGATTGTCGATAACCGCCGCAACAACTACAACAGCTCCTAGAAACAGTCGTTTATTTTACGTTCAGGATAGAGTAACAGGCGCTCAATTCTTAGTGGATACGGGAGCAGAAGTAAGCGTCGTGCCTCCAGTAAGTAACGAAACACGAAATATAGATACAGCGCTAACGCTTAAGGCAGCAAATAAATCCGATATAAAAACATATGGCAAGCGAAAAGTAACCTTGAATTTCGGTCGTATTACCCCATTCCGCTGGGAATTCATTATCGCAGATGTAGCCGTACCTATAATCGGTATTGATTTCTTAAAGAATTTCGACTTACTAGTGGATACCCGACGAAACCGACTCGTGAACGGCGACCATTCAGTAGTGATAAGAGGAGTGACGACTGATCACGCATCCATGAGTTTAGTAGTGTCAGAAGATAAAAGAGCCATATAGATCGCTTCTAAACGAGTATGCCGATCTGACTAAGGTATCATACGATAACAGAGATCTTAAACATACGGTACAGCACCATATTATAACGAAAGGTCCACCGACTAACTCAAGACCACGATGGCTAGATCCGAAAAGGTTGAATGTCGCGAAACGAGAGTTCGAAAAGTTGATGAAGCTTGGTATCATAAGACCTTCTAATAGTCCCTGGGCGTCCCCATTGCATATGGTTTCGAAGAAGAATGGGGAAATCAGGCCGTGCGGAGACTATAGAGCTCTTAACAAGCAAACGATAGCAGACAGATATCCGATACCACATATCCACGACATGACTACCAATATGGAAGGTGCCACGATATTTTCGAAAATCGATCTCGTTCGAGCTTATTACCATATTCCTGTAGCGGCAGAAGATATATCTAAAACGGCTATAACTACTCCATTCGGGTCATTCGAGTTTTTGCGAATGCCATTCGGATTAACTAACGCAGCCCAAACCTTCCAAAGATTCATCGACCAAGTCGTCAGAGGTTTGGCAGGAGTTCACGCATATATCGACGATATACTAGTAGCTAGCGCTACCAAGGAAGAACATCTACAACATCTACGACAGTTGTTTACGAAACTTCAAGAACATGGCATCTCTATAAACATTGAGAAGTGTGAATTCGGAAAAGAGTCTTTACAGTTTTTAGGTCACAATGTAACTTCTCGAGGCATCACACCAGTAACAACAGAAGTCGACGCCATTAGGAATTATCCTCTACCCGACTCATGGAAAAAGTTACGCAGATTTCTCGGGTTAATAAATTATTACAGACGATTTATCCCGAATTGTGCGTCAATATTGCAACCATTAACAGATGCGTTACGCGGACACGCACGGACATTCCAATTATCATCAGAAGCGATTCAAGCATTCGAGCACGCTAAAAAAGCACTAAATAAAGAGGTGACACTAACTAGACGAAAGAGCGAGACACCGTTAGCTATCATGACGGATGCATCAGACGTAGCGGTAGGAGCCGTTTTACAACAATTAGTAAATGGCATATGGGAACCGCTCTCATTTTTTTCGAAAAGACTGAATCCGACTCAAACAAGATATAGTACTTTCGGAAGAGAACTCTTAGCAATCTACTTAGCGATAAAACACTTCCGTCATATGGTCGAAGGCATAAATTTTACCGTCTATACAGACCACAAACCACTAACGAAAGCATTAAGCGCAAAGCAAGACAATTATTCCCCGAGAGAGATTCGACAATTAGAGTTCATTTCACAGTTCACGTCCGACATACAGTACATTAAAGGACAAGAAAACGATGTGGCCGACGCATTGTCAAGAGCAACGATAAGCACACTTATGGCTAGTGGAATCGATTATAACGGTCTGGCAAAGTTGCAGGAGAGAGACGTCGAGTTAAATAAACTCAGATCCGGTGGCACAACATCATTAGTACTCGAAGAGGTGCGGTTCGGTAACACGAAAGTAATTTGCGATACATCAACAGGCCGACCGCGACCATTTATCCCGAAAACGTTGCGACACAAAATATTCGAAAGCATGCACAATATGTCGCACCCAGGAATAAAAGCCACGATAAAACTGATTAGTGAACGATTCGTTTGGACAAACATGAATCACGATGTACGTAATTGGACACAGGCATGCATGAAGTGCCAAAAGGTTAAGGTACATCGTCATACTAGCTCTGCAGTGGGTCCGTTTTCACATCCAGACACTAGATTTGAACATATACACATCGATATTGTAGGACCACTGCCCGTTTCAAATGGATACAACTATATCTTTACATGCATCGACAGGTTTACACGATGGCCGGTAGCAGTACCGATAAAAGACACCTCAGCTGAAACAGTAGCTAAAACACTAGTTGAAAATTGGATTTCTTACTACGGTGTACCAACGATTATCACAACTGATAGAGGAGCACAATTCGAAAGTCGACTCTTTCAGCAGCTTACAGAACTCCTCGGTATTAAACGAATCCGAACGACATCGTACCATCCAATGGCAAACGGAATGGTCGAACGCCTACATAGGCAATTAAAAGCGTCCCTTACAACCGTCATGGTTAACAACGATTGGTCTAATAAACTTCCTCTAGTAATGTTAGCCCTAAGAGCAACAATTAAACAAGACATGGGGTGTTGTCCAGCCGAGTTAGTATATGGAACTACTCTGCGATTACCTGGAGAATTCTTCACTTCAAGTAAAAGTGTTCCGACTGATGTAACCGGCTATGTGCAACGTCTGAGAGAGCACATGAGCGACTTAAAAATAACACCTCCCAGGCCACAACAACGACGAGTATTCATACCACAGGAACTACATAACAGCACTCACGTATTCATTAGAAGAGATAAAGTACAACCACCTCTTCAACCGAGTTACGACGGACCATTTAAAGTGATAGAGAGGACAAATAAAACGGTTACCATAGAGAAAGCTGGAAAGACAGATGTAATTAGCATCGATCGAGTAAAGCCAGCTTTTATCGATAGCGATATTCAATCAACAAGTACAGACTCTGCTAAGATGGTCACACCAGCGAAACACGAGTTCCAAAAATCAACGACGTTAACTCAACAAAAAAACGAGACTCCGATAACAACAAGATCTGGCCGCAGAGTAAGATGGCCCCAACATTATGTTGCTACAATTTTCTATTAATAATAATCTACTATTTGGAATATTAATTATAACTTCTACTTCATTGTATACACATGCATTATTAAGCTCATGTTATACGCTATAAAACTCAACGTATCTTATGTACCCTTAAACTTATACGTATAATTGTTATTTAAAATGTAAAGACAATACCGCATTCCTCCTATTTCTTGCTATTATTTTATGTAACCTAACGGACGGGCACAAACCAAATGTACAGCACACGCTAACTTCATCTTAATTTTGTATAAGCCATTTTTTTCAAACGATTGTAACTACCCTATTCAGTCTACTATTTTTTTTGTGCAAACACAGACATTTTCCATATATCTTTGTTTGCAGGGGGGAGCTATTATAGCGACTCACGTGCAAATGGGTTTATTCTCATTTAACTCAGTTAAGCCCTTTTGCTAACTTATTTAGCGGACAAAGTCATCCGCACTATAACAATTTATTGTACCCTTATTACTTTGTGTTTGTATGAATTTGTATGCTTGAATATTGTTTACTGCCTACGCATTTATTCACTCTGCTAGTTTTACTACTAACCGCTTATTCGATTCGATTACTCATTCATTTCGCATGGTATATATATGTCCATGTTATTCATGTTCAACACTTACTCACTCACTCACGCGCTCTCGTCACGCTCTTGCTCTCGCTCTCGCTCGCTTGCTTGCCTTTTGGCGCAACTCTCCTATGCTTGGTTAATGCATCTGTACATTTGGATATATGTGTGTGGTCTCGCAATAAACGTAATCAACACTTCGTATTTTGCCTTCTGATTATTATACCGTTGGGGCGTTATACAGAACGGTTAGCAAGACGAATTGTATACGAAGTTAAGGATTATATCGAATACCGACCACCACAGGTGTTCTTTGTGTTGTATTTGAGGATCTTGGTTTTTCGTTTGTGTGTGCTGATTTTTAATGATTTGTATTATGTAAACATTGTATATTACTACAGATAAATCAAGAAGTAATTGATGATAGAGTTCGAATTCCAACAAATAGATTGTATCAATTCATAGTGTTTGTAAAGATTATAGAATTTATAGCTTTTATATCATGAACTGATCTTAATGAAACACCACAATTGAAAACCTGGCAGTAGTAGATACCATTGGATACCTGGCTGGTGGTATAAGTAATAATACCGGAGGTCCTGAGATTGATTCTCAGATAAAGGATTATGAATGCGTAATCCTGAGCAGTTTCATACTAGGATGAAACGATCATTCAGTGCTTCCAAGTCCTCACTGGTGATTTAGGTCTCAATTCCAATATCAAATTGTGATTGTACGTTTGAACAATTCTTGATCAACTTAAATTTGTTCAACACGATGGTATTCACTAGTTGAAGCATAGTTCAAGTAAGACTTGAAATCAATTACAAGACGCTAATAAATAACAAAAAGGTAAATGATCATATATAGAGGTAGGATTATCAAAATATCAGAAGGGGTTTTTGTGGATATTATAGTGATTTTAATGGTTGAGATCATGAGTCGATTGAAACTAGACCACTGTGGAAAACTTGGAAGCACTGGACGGCTATTTCATCCTAGTATGGGATTCTTCAACAGTGCTCATCGACAATCCCGCACTCCTTGAACAGTAGATTCCGATCCATATCGACTGTGAGACAGTTATCCATCTGAGGCAATGAATGAAGGGTTCCGCAAAATCAACAGTGCTCATCGACAATCCCGCACTCCTTGAACAGTAGATTCCGATCCATATCGACTGTGAGACAGTTATCCATCTGAGGCAATGAATGAAGGGTTCCGCAAAATCATGGATTGATTGACGTTTAGTAGTCTAAAGATTTAAGCATTCGCACGCGCCACAAAAGGTCCTGAGTTCAAGTCCCGCGAAACTCACGTCCTGTATCACAATACTGACCATTATTTAACTTTAATAAAAAAATATGAAACTTAGTATAAAAGTTTCTTAACAAATGCATTCAATTCTATTATAGCGTAGAAATTTATCTCAACTATAAAAGCAACTTATAGGCATTTTCATAGTTAAATTCATAAGTCGATCTAAGTTACATCACTACTGAAAACCTGATATAACTAAATGATCGTTTCGTTCTAATATAAAACTCCAGTACTTCCATGTGTTCATTGATGATCTTACTTTAAATTGACTTGTCAATTCAATTGTGAAAATACTATAATCTTTACAAAACTAATCTCTTCTTATAATTAGACTATAATTTATGGACAACCTTTGAATGACCTTTAGAGTGTTTACCTAATAAATAGGACCAGCTAAGGGTTATAAACCAGCATGAGGAACTAGAATTATGATTTACAGTTGATAATTAAGTTTAAGAATTACATTTGTGGGGGGGGGGTTACATCATGAACTGACATTAACTATAATACCAAAATGCTATTTAACCAAATGAATTTCGCGCCAAAATCCAACACTTGTTATCTTAAATCTGATTGGTTCTTTCATAAATTATAATTTCGCGCTTCTTATCGTTTTAAAAAATCCAATGTTTCAATTGTTCATATAAAACATTTAATAATTATACTTTTTTATTTTTGTTTTTAAATAGGATTTAATAGATGAATTATCTAGTGAAACAAGCGGTCATTTTAAAAAACTACTTAAAATGTTATTAACTGATATAGATATAGTGAATGCACGTGCCTTATACAAAGCCATCAATGGTGCAGGTACTGATGAAGAAACAATCATTGAAGTTTTATGTACATCAACTAATACTGAAATTGAAAATATTAAACAAGCTTATCAATATGGTAAGTAGATTTAAGTAGTCTGTTTAATAAATGATATGAATTAAGATAATAAAAATGTTGAAATTTGATATTAACACCGTTGGATACCAACTGGCTCAGTAGCCTAGAGGTTAAGTGTTCGCATACGAGACCGTTAGATTCTGGGTTCGAATCTGGCGAGTTGGGATCGTGGATGTGCATTGTTGAGGAGTCCCACAATTGGATGGAATAGCTGTCCATTACTTCCAAGTTTCAAATGGTAGTGTAATATCAATTGGTTCATGATCTCAATTATGAGAGTTTTGTTGGAGTATTTTCAATTGTATCTCTCATCAAAATCTTTCAATGCCAAGAAATAACAAGGAATGTTTTATCCACTTAACGTTGAATAGAATCTTAGCAGAAATATCTAGGAAATACAGAATCATATCTTTTGTGTTCAAATTTATATCTAGAGTTAGCCACTGGTTATTAGCAAGTGACTAGGAAATCACTTTTGAAGTACATTAATCTTACACCTAGATAATTCAATATTCTCAATTTGTTTTTCATCCTTCTAAGCATACTTGAAAGTTATCAAAATTTATACTCTTTAGATGTCTTGCCACTGTTTTAAGCTTAATACCTACTGGAATCTTTTCAATTGATAGAGTTTTGTTCTCTCACCCGGATGGTTCAGTCATGGAGTTTTCATCGTTTATTAGAACGATCCCATCAACACAAACTCGTGGTAGAACTTCTACCATCTAAGAGAAAAAAACTCCATCAAAATCATCCACCTGAGTTATAAATCTTCTTAATCATCTCAAAATCTTTTCAATTATTTCCTAATATCATATATCATTAGAGTTGTAAGTTACATGACCAAAATTAAGTATTTGAAACAACAGCGATTTGTCTTAGAATGATAATTGGATACATTGGATCAATCATTAATTGCTAAATAATAAACGCACATCATTGACCAAGAAATAACTCTCATGTCTAACAGACGGAGATATGAATCATTGATGGATCAGTTCTTTGAGGGATATATATATAGGTAGCTGAGATCATGAGTCAGTTGAAGCTAGACCATCATGGAAGACCTGTAAGCACTGGATGACCGTTTCATCCTACTGTGGGACTCCTCAGCAGTGTGCATCCACGATCCTACCTCGCGAGATTCGAACCCAGGACCTATCAGTCTTGCGCGCGAACGCTTAGCCATTAGACCACTGAGCTGGTCATCATCGGACGGTGTTAATGTCTAACTTCAACTTATCCATAAAATTGAGCGACACATTCACCATTGTCTTCAGTGAGTTACTATCTCACAACAAACCCAGTTAAAATCCACAAAACCCCTTCTGATATATATATATATATATATATATATATATATATACTTCCCACTCTCAGTCTTTTCAATTAAGCAGTCAGTCGGATTCGTGTACTGAGAGATTACTTATCAGTATCAAACTCAAGGACTACAAATCATAATAATAACTCTTTCTATTTTCTAACTGTTCAATGTTGAAGTTCGAATATTGTTTAGTGAGACCAAGATTATTTAGACTTTCTTGACATCCAGTGACGTCTTTTTTCTTTGATAAACTCTGACGTCCATATATAGCTGTAGTACAATGATTGTTATTAATATGTGGCTAGGACGTCTTCTGTTTGTTGATATATTCAACATTAGATTGATCAATCTGTCAGTTTAAAAGTCTCCTTGAATTCAGACTATTATCTACATTCAACAGTCCGGTATTTTAAGCAATGAATATTAAATTTGATGATCAATGAAAGTGTTGAGAAGATCCAGAAAACTCGAAAAAATATCCTGGAAAAGATTCTGAAAACACTAAGAAGCATCTTATTCAATCAATGTTTACTAGAAGTGTTGTCAAAAACATCTAGAAAGTGAAAAGTCACGTATCAAGTTTTTTGATTACGTGTTTACTTATACTGCTACTATGTTTAATAGCATTCCAGACATTTAAAATACTAAAAAATAACATCAGATTTTCTGTACATAAACGAACCTTTGGAGTCAAGTATTTTCTTCCATATTTCCCACCTTTTCTCTTGTGTTCACGTTTCTGGGTAGATTTAACATATGGAAGGGGGTTACTAGAAGAACTTAGGAAACCAAATCTACGCAAGCAATTAGAAAACGTGTTATATATTCATGCATGTAAATGTAGATTTAGGCTGACGGTTACTAGAAGAGTCTGGGAACCAAATCTAGCGTTTAATTAGAAAGACAACAACTGGATGAGCACACACTTAACTCATAAATTCTAAAAATGAGGTAAAACGTATATCTTGAGTGATGTTTTTTTACATTTGGTTTTTTTTCAGTTCTAAAGGATTATGGAATCAGCGGTAAGTCAAATTTTATCATTAACATAATATTGAATGTTTACATTGTCAATAATGAATTGATTAGAAAAGACTAAGTATCTATGTCAATGATAACACTGATTAGTAGTAGTCTTAGCAACAGTTGATAACTATGTAACACTGCGCAGTTCTTTTGCTTGTATATGTGTTTTCATAGTTGAAATTACGAGTCTATCTAAGCTAGAGCACCAGTGAAGCATTGATGAGACTCTTCAGCGGTGCGCATCTACGATACCGCGTGAATGCTTAAGCTTGAGATCGCTGAACCGGCATCTAACGTTATTAATATCTAACTTCAATCGATTAATGAACTTGCACATCCCTTCATCGATTGTCTGCGATAAATGACTCTCTCACACCCGACACAAATTGAACTCCACTGATCATGGCTTCTAGCAAGAACTCCAGTATATCCATCTTGAATTCAGTCACTAGTGAGCATATGAATATTGTGAAAATGGGGATTTTTGAAGATTGTAGTATTTATAACAGTTGAATTCACGAGCTGATATAAGCTAGACCACCATTGGAAACCTGGAAACACTGGACCTCGGATTTGTCTTAGTAGGGGACTCCTCAGCAATGCGCTTTAATATGTGACTATCTACAATATCTCATTAAGGCTAAAACTCACTACTTCTGAGCGTAAACCAGTTCGTGATTACAACCTTGAGTATATATATACATAGTTGCTATAAGGCCAATTAAAATGCGTTCAAACTGCTTGTTAAAATTTAATGATAATGATAACTAATGATAATAAAAACATGTACAAAATCATTTCCTGAAGCTTGAAAGGGAGCTCATAACAGGTGGACGTTGCCCATTCTGTGAGTAAAACAATGCTCGTTAATGACGCTAGAAAATAATCGCTCAATAAAAAACGAATTGATGGAAGTTAAAAGTATATGCTCACAAGAGACTGACCGATTGCAGTCCTAAACAGCAATGACAAGATACAAGCAAACAACACCAATTGAGGTTAGAAACGATCGTCCAGTGCTTTCAGGTTTATCATGATGGTCTAGCTTCAATTGACTCAAGATCTCAACCATTGGAATTAGATGTATATATTAAAAAAAATAACAGCTAAATAATAGACCGTTTGAATACACTGAGTATTACCTAAACTTCATTGGTGTTTACTATTGAGTAGTCTTACGCTAGTAAGAAGCAAATGTACAATCTTACCTATTTATCAATGGTACTTGTACTGAAGTCAATTTGTGAAGAATACAACCTACAAATTCAAACTCATTATTATCTTGGTTTTTCTGTTTTATGGATATGTTACTGAATAATAGTAAGTAGTTTGACACATATATAGTCCTAATGGAAAAATGAACAGAAGGCGATGATCTCATTGTTCTATCAAAATCTATGAAAGGAACTAATTGGTTTACATACTTGGTCAATTGTTCACTAGCTACAGTGTTAGGCTTTATGAACTATGTGGCTTGAAAGACATCTTTCTCTTTTCATTGTGCTCTTGATGCTAGGACTGATATCCAGGCACCTGTAAACTCAGAGTTGATGAGCCTTAACTGTCTATTTTGTTCCCTTAATTAAACCTATGCTTTTAGATAACGTCTGGTTCAGGTTTCTTATTTAAAACCCATTTATAAAGTTCAAATTTTTATGCTGATTTATTAGTTAATGTTTCATAGTTTTAAGGTCCTCATCAGTAACCACATCAATGTCTGTTTTGACTAGGAGTTATTTACAGTAGGGTATTGATAAGGGTTGCTCAGTATCGTGAATAAGTTGAAGTTATATATAAATACCCTTGGATACCGGCCCAGTGGTCTCGAGGTTAAGTGTTCGCATGAGACCAAGAGTCCTGCCTTTGATTGCCACGTACGGGATATTGAATGTTCACTACTTCAAAGATCCTATCCTGGGATGAACTTGGAGTCCAGTTCTTCTAAGCTCTCATTAAGGATCTAGTTAAATTAGTGATTAACCTAGTCTGTTGTGAAGATCAATAGACATTTATATTCGTTTCAACATAATTATACTATATATTTTCAATAGTTGAGATCATGAGTCAATCGAACCTAGACCATCTTGAAGCACTGGACAACCGTTTCTTCCTATTATGGGACTCCTCAGCAGCGCTTCCAGGTTTTCCATGATTGTCTAGTTTCAATTGACTCATAAGATCAATTATGAAAATTACTACAATCTCCACAAAACCCCTTTCTTATACTATGTATTGTTGTTATAACAATATTCTGATGACTTTTTCAATAACAAAACTGAAATTATACTTTTTAACATAGATCCTAGACGAACTTTAGAAACTGATGTTCAAAATGATTTAAGTGGACACTTTCAACATCTAGTCGTTGCATTACTTCAAGCTAGTCGTGATGAAATTTCATATGAAGATGTTGAAAAAATTAGTACAAAAGGATTGAAAAGTGTAGTGAATATAAATCAAGTTGAACAAGATGTTGAAACATTATGGAATGCTGGTGAAGCGTAAGTAGATATTTCTTGAAAATTGGTTAGAATCATAAATTGATCAATGTTAGATCATCATTGAGAGAACCTGGAAGCATTGAACAAACGTTTCGTTTCAGTATAAGATTCCTCAGCAGTAAACATTTACGTTCAGTGCTTCCAGGTTTTGTAATCGTGATCTAACATTGATCTGTTCATGATCTCAATCAATAAAAAGTTTGTTTTCATTTGTGATAGTTGATTCTTAATCAAAAAAATGATTGAAGTGTAAATTCACATTTTAGTTAACGGATTAGTTGAAATAATCTTATTGGTTAACCATTTCTCACTGAACTAATCAGCACAAACCTATTCACTATGTTATAGATGTAGTTTTTAATTACATGGAAATGTGTATAACGATTGATATTGCTCTAAATGTTAATTGTTATCAGTCATAGACCAATTTCAATCTACCAATATCATGGGGTTTATTTAGATATAAAGTTCTTGAGGTATCAATAATATTTATCATTAATTTATAGGTTTCTGTTCGGATTACTATATCACATTCCACTTTTACTTACTAACGCCTGTTACTACCAGTGTATCATTAGTCGCCGATCAGCATTCTCAAACCTCCTCTGTTCTGGGCCTTTTTTTCTAGTTCTATTCAATTGTTGTTCATTCTTCTAATGTCTGTGTCCATTTATCGGCGTAATGTGTTCTTTGGTCTTCCTCTTTCCATTTGGCTTTGAGAATTCAAAATGAGGACATGCCTTGTGACGCAGTTGGGTGCTTTCCTCAATGTGTGTTCTATCCATATCCAACACTTCTTCCTGATTTCTCCCTCTACCGGAATCTGAATTGTTCTCTCCCACAGTAGGTTGTTGCCGATATTGTCAGTCAGTCAGTAACAACGTAGAACTTAGTACGTACGTACATCAGTTCGAGTTGTTATACCACATTAGCACAGAGATGCAGTGGTCGATTCAAATCCCGTAGTGGTAGAGGTAGCAAGAGTATAAGCAGTAATCGGGAAGATTAGGGTTTGGAGATGTTATTTAACGAGTATAATCCAGTGAAATAAATTTGGAAAGAGGAAAAAAAGGGGCATGAAGAATTCAGATAATTAGAATTTGGGAGAACATAGAGAGTGGATGCACCTGCGCCATTGCAATCGATTTTGAGCCATGTCATTCAGGGTCTCTAACCATCGGTTGCTATCATCTCGCGGTCCCCAACCAGGTAGTATACACCTACCAACATGACTCAGTCCACTTGTCAGTGACTTCATGGATTTGTGCCATGTTTTGGTCTGGCCGCCCCTAGCTTTCTTACAACCTACTCCTATACCACTGAATATAGCACGTCGAGGTAGTCGGTGGTTGGGCATACGTAACACGTGTCCCAGCCATCTCAACTGATGAAGTTTCACTACTTCATCAATTGATTTGCCATCCTTACCTAGTACCCGTTTCCTAACAGCTGCGTTACTTACTCGGTGGTCCCAGGATATACGAGCAATACTTCGAAGATACCTATGATCAAATACTAGTAACGTACGAATATCCTCTACTCTTACCGGCCATGTTTCACAGCCATAAAGTAGGACGGAACGAACTGCTGCGCAGTAAACACGTCCTTTGGTTGGTAGACGGATATCTCGCCTACGCCATAAATGACGCAACTTGGCAAAAGCTAGTCGAGCCTTCTGTATCCGTGCTGAGATTTCGTCACACACCAGACCACAAAGGCTGATGAGACTTCCAAGATAAGTGAAGCGATCGACACGCTCAATTACTTCACTCCCTATCACTAGTTCGGGTGTCGATGTAACCCAATCCTGAAGCAACATTTTGCATTTCGAGGGAGAGAATCGCATCCCGAACATGCTTGCATTGTTGCTTAGAGTGGTCAGAAGACTCTGCATTTTGTCAGCGTCTTCACCAAATAAAACTATGTCATCTGCATATTCTAAGTCAACAAGTGAACCTCCCGGTAGAAGTTCAACCCCTGGAAATTTAGATGAGGAGAGTGTTATCTCTAAAAGTACGTCGACCACAAAGTTGAACAAGAATGGGGAGAGTGGACAGCCCTGACGAACACCACTTGAGGTAATCAATTCTGATGACAGTTCGCCATAAGCTCTCACTCTACCAGTTGTGTTCGAGTAGAGAGCCTTTATAAGGTTAATGTACTTCTTTGGTACTCCTTTCAATGACAAACACTGCCATAGAACCTCACGGTTAACAGAGTCGAATGCCGCCTTAAGATCGAGAAATACTACCATTGTGGGGCGTCGATATTGTCTGGCCAACGATTCCGAAGTATCAAAAATATTTGGAATAATGAATGAATTTAAGACATCAACTTAAATGTAGGTTTCATTGGGATCACAAACACTTGTTGCCTGAATAAATATTAGAAATCCAAAGAGTCTGAATGTCCGCTTCTCTCTAACATGGAACTCCTCATCAGTGTCTATTCACAACATCCTAACTGAAAATCAAGTCCAGGATATTCCGTTTCACAAGCAAATGCTTAAATGTCACAACCATCCTTGCCTACCTGATAGATAAGGAGTTTGTCGGTGATAAGTCTCAATCAATTTACCAAAAGAATGAGGATGTATCACTAGAACTTAGGAAATTTTTCTTCATAGTGGCTAGCAGGATACACGTTTCGTCCTATTTGAAACTCGTCAACTGAATATGACTTCATCCTATAGTTGAATAGATACTTTCAAATACTTACCCAACCGTTTAGTACACTAACTGAAATTTGATAACATGTTAATGTTAGGTTTGAAGCTAACACAAGTTCACTTGATCTGCGAACGAGACAAAAGACTCAGTGACCAAGACTAGTAAGCTAGCTATTGATGCGTCCCAGCTCCGCTAACTAGAGGGAGAAGTGCAAGTTTGGAATGGGGAGTATATTCTGCAAATCAGCCAGGAACGAGCGGTGACAACAAACACAAAGTTACCAAATAGCATACTAAAAGACGCAACAGACCATTAGCATTTAAGATATTTCCCAAGTGGGAAATACGACATGAAGATGACAAGAGCGCCTTTGACGCGAAAACATAGAAATTCAAATTTTCTAAATAAAATGACAAAATTAAGTCGTTTCCCAAGTGAGTTCTGGGGATCTAACGTCCCCAAAAGTTAAATCTCATTACGTTTATTTATTGTATGAATGGACAAAGTAAAGGTATTAGTCAGTTAATTTAACCATAAAATGTAATAATGAGAACACTCTTTCTTCTTATTGAATTCTTATGTATTTTCTTAAATATCATTTGCGTTTTTTTATTGATTCCTGTAGGCATCTAGGAACTGATGAATCTGCTATCATTCGAATTGTAACCGGTCGAAATGTTTGGCATTTACAAGAAGTTGCTCGTCTGTTTGAAAAGGTTTGTTTTATCTTTATGCAACATTCTGTATATACATGTATTCACTTACGTCAAATCTTTAATTACTTGTATTTATATAGTAATGGAAGTAGTGTCTGTCGTCTTTGAGCTGTGAAGCTTTCTGAATAATGTTGTTAATATGTATCTTAAAGAAAAATGAACTATTAGGATTTCTTCAGAGTTGACTAATAGCTTGATTTGTTGTCTTGGAATTTGATTGACTGTTATCTATTCACTGTGTTATCATAGTACGAAACGACCGTCCAGTGCTTTTAGGTTTTCCATGATATCCTAGCTTCAATTAACTCATGAATTCGACTATTAAAATACATATTTGTCATATAAATCATTCAATTTGTGTAATGGGCTTGAATATTGACCGGGTATTGAAACCGATTCAGGTTTTGTAGATGAAAAGTTATTGTACATTAATTGAATATTGAAAAAAAACGTTCTGCTACAAATTTATAGGGATCTCAACAGTTGAGATCATGAATCAATCGAAGCTAGACCACCGTGGAAAACCTGGAAGCACTGAATGACCGATTCGTCTTATTGCGGGACTCCTCTGCAGTGCGCATCCACGATCCCGCCTCGCGAGATTCGAACACAAGACCTGTCAGTCTCGTGCCAGGCAATCAGCCAACTAGAGCACTAAGCTGGTCGGCATGGAACGGTGTTAATGTCTAACTTCAACTAATCCATGAAACTGAGCGACACATCCACCATTGTCATCAGTGAATTACTACCTCACAACTGACCCGGTTGAATTCTACTGGTCACTGCTTCTAACTAGAACTCCAGGATATACCTCTTGAAGCCAGTCACTAGTGAGCATATGTTGATTAATATCAGAAGGGATTTTGTAGAGATTGTAGTAATTTCAACAGTTGAGATCATGAGTCATTTGAAGCTAGACCACCATGGAAATCCTGGATCGATTCTGTCTTTAATTAATATTCAGTTGATATTTTGCTTTTTTCATTTTATTCATAGAAATATGAGAAAACATTGGTCGATTCATTAGCATCTGAAACATCTGGAGATTTCGAAAGTGCTCTTTTATTAATCTGTAAGATAATCATTGTAATATCTAGTGTTTATTTCAATGAATCTATCCAATCCATTCATTTGTAACAGTGATTCATAACAGTCGAATCCAAGATGTGCGTTTTGTCCTATTTGAAACTCATTGACTGGATAAATTTGAATCCTATAGTTTACGTTTACTTCAGGACTTGAATCCAGTACCTTGCTTTCCAAACACCATCACGTTATCTACTTAGCTACTGAATCTAGATAGCCACTAGCTTATATAGTGATGTGAAGTTGAATTCATCGTTGTTTTGGTTGGTTAAATCTTCTCATTGATGTTTAAGACTGCAATCGATTAGGCTCTTATTAGCATATTTGCATTTTGTGCGAATTACCTCGATATTACCTTAATTAACAAGCATTATAAGCAGAGATGGATAGTGGCTGTCAGTAGAATCCAGCCCTCATGTTTCGTTCTATGTTGGACTCGTCAGCTGAGTGTGCCTCCATGTCAGAGTTGATGTTCATTCTGAGACTCGAATCCATCAATGTTCGACTTAAACACTATCGCGTTATCCACCTACATAATGAGTTCAGATAGCCATTTGCTTGTACAATGTGGTGAAGTTTAAATTCACTTGGTATTGTTTACTTGTATCTTCCAATTGTTATTTAGGAGTTTAATTGATTAGTCTCTTGTTGGTATATGTGTATCCTGTGCCGACTACCTCGACATTGCCCTACTTCACAAGATTTATAAACAAAGATGGATAATGTTAAGCAGTGAAATCGATGACTCCTCTACTTTAGTCACCTCAAAGAGCAGTTTACATATCTGATTAATAATTTATACTGTCCATAAAACAACCAGGTTGAAATAAGTGATATTTTTAGGGAATCACTCTTCTCATCACTTAGCATTGAGGTTTAATTCACAAAATTGTTTGATCACTTCAGGAGATTCACTCCAAAGATAACCAGTAACGAAACTTTATTCCTATCTCATTAGTTCACCTGAATCCTGGAGTTTATTTGTATGAACTATGGGTAGCCCAACTTCCTTTAGATAAACCCTCAAACCATCAATCAAATACCTCTGCTACATAAAAGAAGTAAGTAGCGGTTCCTGCTAGCCACTATAAACTTGTGACCATATAAGAACATTTCAAATGGGACAAATCTCTCCACTCTCTCTCTCTGTAGGCATCATTGAAACCAAGAGAAATTAGACAATGATTCAAGACACTTCAAGATATTTAATTATACTAAATCACCTACTTACCTAAGGTTAAAGAACTCATATCGTCAAATATTAACTTAATAATTGAATTGAGACATCCTTATCCATTAATGTTGACAGATATAAGTAGTATGTAACACCAATCGGAAATGGAAAACCTGACATCAGAACTCTAAGAAGATTGGGTTAAAGAAACACAGAATTCGGAAATAGAGAGGGATTGTAAAACGAAATAATCATATAGAATGTGATGAACAATTGAGGGAAGATTTGCAAATAAAGTATTTAGTGTATAGTTCTCATATTTGACCAAGATATTCTGTAATTTTGTATTACACTGTAAATTAGTTTCCTCTCCTCCCCCCCTTCTGTATTGTCGTTCATTTCACTAGTAAAGTGATAGATTGATCGATGGTTGAGTATCTACTATTGAACAAGTAGATCATATATACAATAGAAATCGTCCATTATTTGTTTTGAGCTGACTAGCTTTCAATCATACTTTTATTATTATCTTTGTCAATTGTTCATTTACTTCTTTAATATTTCTTTTGAATATATAGTAAATACTTGTTTAAATCGTCCAAAAGCTTATTCTGATTTATTGTTGAAAGCAATGAAAGGTGCCGGTACCGATGATTGTACACTAATGCGTATTATTGTGACAAGAAGTGAGGTAAGTATTAAAGGTTTAATGCATTAAATATAACCTTGTATGTGTTGTGATGGACAAAGTTCGAATCTGTTACTGATACACTATGTGCTCTGTGCTAACTCCCTCAACTAACAAGTTGATTGAGAAAGATTATTAGGCTAGCGAACAAAATGCACAAATACTCAAATATATGTATATATACAACTCTACCCCTCAGAAAATCGATCTATTTCTTAGCCAGTAACATTCAGTTGTCCTTCAAGTTACTTTTCATTACCATCGAATGACCTTCTCATTTGGCTACTTCTGATTGACTCACGAAACCAGTATGTTGTTGAACTACAAAAACAAAAAGCCGTTGGTTCGAACCCTGAGAGCGGAATCATGGATGCGCACTGCTAAAGCGTCCTACAATAAAACGAAATGGCCGTCCAGTACTTCCAAGTTTTCACTGGTGGTCTAACATCAGTCGGTTCATGATCTCAATTAAAAAGAAAAAAAAATTAATATTAAACATAGTAGACTCCCACATAATCCATGCATAAAAGAACACAGACTGTAAGGTCAACAACACAATGGGTCTGTACTCACATCACTGTTCATAGACTGTTATAGATATGGGATTCAACTGTAAAGATGAATCAAGAGAGCTAAAAATTTTCAAGGAAATTCCTAAAAGCCTGACATTTATGTCAACCTATAGTCAATAGAAATGTTGATAGCGATTCATTTTATCGTATCGTATCGTTGTAGGGGTAATGCCATTTATAATGAGATTTAGTACGAGAGTAAAGGTGTAAGGCGATAAAGAAAGTTGGCAAGATTATCATTCGCAAATAAAATAATCTAAAGTAATTGATACAGGAATTGCGGGACAAATTTAAAACGTTCACTTTTGTCAGAAGTATTTGCAAAGGATCTTATTTAAAGTGACAATATAAGCCATAGAAACACTATATTTAGACCATACAACAAAACACCATTGAATACACGGTTGAACCATATTCGATGTCTATGCAAGTGATAAAGTGATGTGTATTGAAATCTATGTATACACCTCAAATAAAAATAGGGAAGCATACTTTAAAGGCTTCTAAAGAATATGATATTGGCCAAACGGGACAACAATGTCAAATATATAACTTGTATTCCTGCTATACCATGTACAACTTGAACACTAGCGATTAAACCCTCCAAGTCGCAAGTCAGAAAGCAGAAGACAATCAGAAAAGAAGTTTATTAAAACTAGTGTCAAATATGTTACAAAACACTCAGGTATTTATAGTTTTTAGTAGAAAAGAAATCATCATTGCAATCATCCAATCCATATACAGTGGTTTTTAGTATTTGTTCAACCAAGAAACTACACATCGAAACTCTGGAATGTTCCTGCAAAAGATGATTGGATGGAATGTCTTTAGCTCTTTCAGAACTTCTTAAAGCTTCCTTGAGTTCCTTGGGAGCTATCCTCATAAACAATGACTAGTAAACACTCTTAGCCAGCAATTAGAATGAAAGAAACAGTACCTCCTGAGATATATACTCAATTATGGTCTTAATGAAATGAAGTAAATGGTTAACAGTAAACTAAGTTAGTTAACGATTGAACAATGAATATTCTCTGGCCGCTTTATTTCATCATTCAAAACACAGTTGATTTCTAACTATGTCTTATATTTTAAAACTTGATTCATGAAAAATTACAGTAGTTGGTTAACTCTTCTCAATGGAGTATCACTAGATTCATCGTGTTATCAATCTTACTTATTAGAATCCTACAGGTTAAGCGTTCACGCGTGAGACTGATAGGTCCTGGGTACGAATCTCGCGAAGTGGGATCGTGGATGCGCACTGTTGAGAAAACTCGAAATAAGACGAAACGACCATCCAGTGCTTTTAGGTTTTTCATGTTGGTCTAAATCCAAGTGACTCATGATCTCAACCAAAGAAATTACTATAATATCCACAAAAACTACTTCTGTTATTAGAATAAAACGATTAGAAACTTGAATTTACCGATGAACCCAACTATTTTGAAATGATGGGGAAAATGTACAGCCTAATTGGATGTCTTGTTGTGGCTGAGTTCAATAAACCGAACTTTTCATTTATTCCATGAGTCCTAAACCAGTTTGTCTTCGTGACCTTGATTGTGATAGGTCAACCTTGTAGATTTCATCTTATTCTCAGCTGTTTGTATGTTCAAGTTGATTGTTTTGTTCCGTTGACTTTTTGGCCAAGTTATTTCATGACATTACATCTCATAAATATAGAGATAAATACAAAGTAAATGCTACACTTGGCGAAAGCTAACTTCTGCTAGAATATATATACTTCCAGGACAAGAAGAATCCAATCAACCTTTAAAATCTAATGATTCATCTAAATCTGCCTACCCTATTTTACTTCGTTATTTATTTATTTATTTAAACACATAAACATTGGTACAAATAGGCGCCAAACAGATATACGCAACACAATTCACTTGATTTATGTGTGGGCTTGGATACTGCTTGTGTGCCCGGACAGAAACAGGTGGTTTTCTTAGGGGACCACACCCGGAGCCTTCTATCGAAAGGTCTGATCAATAGGGCAGCGGAGCAACGTCAGAAAATTCAGTCTCATGGTAGTCGGTGACCAATAATTGGTTCATACGCCATTTTTTCTCTCAGGATGCTGGACCTACGTGCACCACTGGATTGGAATGAGTGTTTTCCAACTCCTTTAAGTTGACTCACCATATCCACCAACGTGGTTAAAGTGTCGGACATTCACTTTTCGTCCTCACAATTTCGTAAACAATAGTAATGTTGTAAGAAGGCAGTAAGTAGGGCTTCCCTGGCCGGGGTTGTATACACGTGACCACTTGGTAGCATTTCTAAGGGATAGTTGACTCTCCCCACTCAGCTGTACAAGGGCATTTGGCAACATGCTTACAAGTTTCTTAGACAACAGAAGCTTTCAATAACCAAGTTGAATTACGTAACTCGAGTTTTAAAATTAATTCTAACATTATTGTAATGTATGTTCTTAATAGTTCATTTAATTGTAAGTTGATTACTCCTATCCTATACTTGATTATCTATTTGGAATAAATAGCTTATAGTGATTTGAACATGACGAAACTCCTACAGCATAATTTTTTTAGTGAACGAATAAAGGAATAATTATAAACAAAACTAATTGTCTATATAGATACACACAGATAAACTAACACATTTTCAGAAGTTTTGTGCAGATTTTAGAAATTTCAATAGTTTAACTATCGAATCGTTGATGCGCACTTCTGATGAGTCCCATACTGGGACGAAACGGCCATCCAGTGCTTTCAGATTTATCATGATGATGTAGCTTCAATTGACTTATGATTTCAAGTATTGAAATAAACATTTTTAAAGTCAACCTTGAATTTATTTGACTTAACTCTGATTGGTCGAATCTACTTGTTATATTTAGCCAATAAAATTACAGTCGTAAGGTCAAACAATTATATATAACTAAATAGCTTTGAGTTTTATATCTATAATTAACTCTTATTTCTAGTATATTTGTGTTTCTTCCTTTCTTTACTTTCTTTGTCTAATTTAGTTTGATTTAGGAAGTATTTGTTCACAATTTCAAAATGATCAAGGCAGTTCACTTGAAGATTGGATACGTAGTGAAACATCTGGAGATTATTGCCGTCTTCTATTAGCATTAATTGGTGCTGATTGGCAATAAATATGAATCATATAAATCTTTATTAAAATAAAACAAAATTCATTAAACATAATTCATTTTGTTTAAATAAATTATTAACAGATTCAATGTTCAAAAAATGCTTTGTCATTTTTTCATGTAATCGATTTTGTTTTTGTTGTTGTTATGTTTGAATTGTTTCATTTGATGCTATTTATTTCGTCACTTCATAACTATCTTCTTCATGAGTACTTTTAAATATAACATTTAATTGATAAGTACTTCATTGACAAGAGATTAGATTAATGTTTATGGTAGTTAAAGGGTTATAGGGTCGAAATTCAAGTGTTAAACAGGAATTTATTGACTATTGGTAAATAGTCTAAGGAGTCTCATACTGGGATGAAACGGCCGTTTAGTGCTTCCAGGTTTTCAATGGTGGTCTAACACTGATCCATAGGATAGGACTCCTCAGTAGTGAGTATTTATGATCCCGCATGAGGGACTCGAAACCAAGGCCTAAAGTGATGCGAGCGAACGCCTAACCTCTAGATGATTGACCTGGAACCCGATGTTGTTAATGTTTAACTTCAATCAATCCATGATCTTGCACAACTCTCTGAGGCGGATAGCTCTCCCACAATCGACACGGATTAGATTCCACTAATCACAGATTCTCACTAGAACTGTAGTATATCCATCTTGAAGTTGGTCACTAGTGAGTACATGATTATTGTGAGAATTGGGATTTGTAGAAATTGTAGTATTTTTCACAGTTGAATACATAAGATATATTTTAAGCATACCTTATTGTGATGTTCTTCTTTTGAAATTGAAGTCCTATACTAGAAAGGAACAGTTATCCAGTAGTTCGTGGTTGTCTAACTATTGTCAGTCTGTGATATACTCTATAGTCTTGTTTTATTTTACAATCACGTTAAACACTTGATAACGACGTGAAATGAAAATTTGGATACTAATAGTGTTTTAAGTACGTGTTTATTTTCAAAATATATACGGACAGTAGATAAACGGTGAGAATCGGGATAAATTACTAGATTCATGAGCATATAAACTTGGAGAATGAAAGTTCTAGGTTCAGTCTGTGCAAGCAGCGTCGTGGATATGCACCACTGAGGAGTCCCATACTGTGACGAAACGACCGTCAATGACTTTCAGGTTTTCAACAATGGTCTAACTTAGGTCGGTTCATGAATGAACCCTAGCCAAGTGTGACTGTGAATAAGGGAGATAGTAATTGGTAGACAGGGCATAATTCAAGAATGGTAAAACGTATAATAATAGTTCATAGATCAAAACAAAGCTCATAATGAGAGGGACATGAATATGAACAGTTTAGTTATATAACAATTATACGATAAAAATATCCGTATAGTATTGGTCCATAAATGGATCCCAAAAGTTACCATTCATTATTCTTATCGAGATATAAAAAATAATAAGTTTGTAATTAATCAACAGTAATTTATATGTCAACAGCCAATGATTTATAGAAAATCTTACAGTTAGGATAACATATAAATTAACGTAATTGTTTAATCAATCAGTGCACATGATGATAACTTTCATATATTGAGTCGAAACGTTTGTTCAGTACTATTATTGTAGGATGGTACCCCAATCGGTCATAGTCTGTAATTCTGATATGTGCTATTGATGTTGACAGATATAAGTAGTATGTACCATGGACCGAAAGTAAAATATCTGGAAGCAGAAAGTTAAGAAGATCGAAGAGAAAAGAAAAGAACGAAGACAGAAAATGATTCGTTTGGAAACGAAAGAACAATGATTGATATGTTGCAAATGAAGTATTTACCGTATGGATTTCAGGTTTTACTAAGTGATCGTGTAAATTTGTATTCAAATACAGTCGATTTTCCTTACTTGTTCAGTACTATTTTCCTTCAGTGATAGCCCAATTGAGCTTGATCTGTGATAAATACCAACTAAAACTTAAAACTTGTCACCACTAAACCTTTACATAAATCCACCAACTAACTGGCTTGATGGTATATTTGGTGAGTTTCTGAGAACAGAGTCAAACAGACACATTTGGTCATCTTCAAAACTAATCAACCAGATAGTTTTGTATTGATGTTTATATTGAGACTCTTATGTCTTACACCTTTTAACAGTAACATATTATCCCTTGAATTACTGAACTTTGATAGCTAAAAACTTATTTAACCGATATGAAGGTATTTGGAAGTATTCACAATTGGTTGGTCACTGAGTAGTGACCAATATCATATGTGTCAGGTGCTTCTTAGTTCAAATCGAATACTATCGACCAATTTGCAATGTAGCCATCCGTCTAGTTGACTCGACATTGAGTGTACTATGTTGAGATAAGATGGTGGTCGGAGGTAGTCAACAGGAAACCCTGTACACGGGTTTCATGCTATTTCGCACTTGTCAGCATGGTGTACTTGTAATCTTGAAGGAACTGATGCTCTCTGATGGATCCGATCCCATATCACTCAGCTTCACATTTATAGAAGTTACCGATGAGCAATCCGGGCCGTGACTGATCTCCTGTAGGACTGAGATGTATTCACCACCAGTCTTTGTTACTCGAAATTGCGTATACCAAATCGAGATAAGATGGTGTTTGGAGGTTGTCGACAGTTATTATCTCTGAATTTTCATTTCAAATAACATGGAGTGTTTTTTATTTCATTTCATTGATTTCATTTCAATCTGAAGTTTGCGCTGATGATGTCGTTCACATGAACGATGAAAGCTACAGACCATTCAGCTTGGAGGACAAAAATTCATCAAAATCATCTACCTGAGCTAAAAATCTTCTCCACCATCTCATAAATAAGATTTCGTATGACGTAATAAGTTCATATACTTACCCAACATTTATGCGAGCAACAGTTAAGATTATTATACAAGACATAAATGAGTATGGAACAATCTTATAATTGTCTTCAAAATATAATGTAACTCAACAACAGGAGAGATCGCCACCAACCACATACAAATAACCAATAAATAAGATAACTTAATTCAATGACTTACTTTCACTGAACTACAGGAAGTGTTCTGGATTTTATATATTCTTCTTTTGTAGGAATGCTACCCTTGCTTTGTCAGTTCTTGCATTCACATCTGCGTTATTTCCTCCTTGCTCATTGGTGAAGGTCTTTAGATATGTGAATGTTTTTACACTTTCCAGAGTTCCCTCATCATATATGAATGAGTTGGTGTTCTCTATGTTGTGTGTGAAGATCTTGGCCTATTGATACAGAGGCTACTGCTTCACGAGTTTTCTTCATCTGCATTTGTTTGTGTGTATAGGATAGAAGGATCAGATCATCTGCGAAGTTTTAATCTTGCGAGCTATCCATTCTATTCCCTGCTTCCCCTGGGATGTCAAGGTCTTCATAATCCAGTTGACCACCAGAAGAGAAAGGTGGAAAGTAAGCAGCTTTGTCTGACTCCAGCTCTCATATGGAATACATCTGTCAGCTGTCCTCCATGCACGACTTCACAGTGTAGTTAGTCGTACGAGCTTGAGATGATGTTTACTATCTTCTTAGGTACACCATAGTGTAGCTCTTTTAGTGTCACTGTCAGTCCCAACCCGGATAAAGGAGGAAGGTTGGGTATGAGGTCTGCAACCCTATCCTGTAGAAAAAAATCCCACCAAAAAAACACCATACGAATTAAATCATACAAATTAAATCATACTCTGCCTTGGTATTTCAAGGATAAATTATGACGCCTCATAATGAATGCCAAGATTTGTCGGAAGTCACTAGACTGATGCCTACTTTAACAACAAGAGCAACAATTTTTATAGGTACATGGAAGAGTTTCACACAATTCTATGTGATTCAGTTTTGAATATCAACAGTGAAATAATTCTAATCCCTATCAAAGATAAGATTGATTATGTAGTTAATAATTTGGGATTTAAAACGTAAGATACCGGTCTCGAATGTGAATGTGAACAATTATGGAGTGTGCTACTTATATTGACATAAGTAATAGATGATGTTAGTCGTGGACAGAATGTCTGGAAGCAGAGAGACAAGAGGATCGAACAGTAAAGAATGAAAACAGAATGTAATTTATATGAAAATGCAAGAACAATGAAGTCTGAGTCATTATCCGGTCCTGGGACCGGCAGTAGCTCCAGCAGGGCTCCAGGCGGAGTTATCATAACTAAACATCTTTCTTATTAATAAAAACAAACAAATTACAGACAATTAACGATTGGTTGTGCAAGGTCATGGATCGACTGAACTTAAACATAAACAACATCAGCCTTCCGATCAATCGTCTAAAAATGAAGCTTTTGAGTGCGTCATTTTAGGCTTTGGTTTTGAGTCCTGAGTGCGAGATCGTGGACACTCACTGCTGAGGAGTCCCAAACTATAACGAAACGGCTGTCTAATGCTTTTAGGCTTTGAATGGTGGTCTAGCTTAGATCGACATATGAATTCAACAATTAAGATTATCACAATCTCCATAAACCCAATACTGGTCATCAAATAACAGAGAAACAAAATACACTAGGAGCACATCATTGATAGAGATCTGTACGGTTGAGTAATACGTAAAATGTTTATACCTCTTTCACCTGATTGACAAAGTTGAATCTTATAAGTGATATCGACCAATTTTATGTTGTAAAATATAAGATCTAGTAATGTTCTCCTTTTTCATTAATTCAGCTACACTGGAAAGTCATTGTTCTCTAATGAATCAGAAAATGTTGAGCTGTGTTTTTGACCGTAGACCAATGCAAATAACTTCATCACCAGACCATGTAACTGATTATATACACAACAAACTGATTAAGATAATTCCTTTAATCCTTTCAACTAAAGATGTATATACACGAGCGTCTATATGTATGAGACATAAGTGTATGTGACATGGATGTATTAAACGATTAGCAAAACTGACTTATCTAAGTGTATTTTATAGAATTTGTTCATGGTAGTGTAGTGAACGAGATCAAACAAATGAGGACAATCAAATGTAATTGAATACAAAACTACGGAATATCTTAGTAAAATCTGAGAGTCAGTCAATTACAGTGTAGGACCAGGCACATACATGCATCAGTCCAAGTTGCCACACCTCATTAGTACCTCAAGACCAACATCGGATTCATAGAAACAGTCAAGTGAATGGTGCAACAAATAAAGGAAAAATTTTATGTAAGGATATAATACAGAAAGAAAGAATTAGTTCGTATAAAGAAATATATTAAATAATTTTAATCTCATAGTTTAAGGGAAGACAGAATGTATACACCTACGCCATTGTGACCGATGCTGAGCCATGTCACACAGAGTCTTCAACTATTGGTTACGATAGTCACGTGAACCCCATCCAAGTAGTCTGCATCTAACTACAGTGCTCAAACCAAAATTTAGTAACTTCAAGGACTGATTCCACGTATTGGTTTGGCCGCTCCCGATCGCTGTTGCTACTTTGACGTGGTGATCGTAATGAATCAAATTGAGCTATACTGGCTGCGACAATCGTTCCTCGAGGTCCTACCATGCCAGACAGGTCGGTTGAAGAATGGTAAAACTAAAAGCAACAAACCCTAGGTCCGAAGGCGAGGTTGTAGTGCTGACTGTACAGAGACGTGACTGCAGTAAAGTGTTTCCTTCAGACAACCAGCATGACAGCAATACTACCTTCCGACAAGGAGGGGTAGGGTTAGAAAAGGTCGACCCTAAAAATACACACCTCGCCTTATCCCACGGATATCCATTTCTGTAAACTAGGTTTCACCAAGTACGAAGCTAAAATGAAAGTGTCGTGTGTGACCGACTTCAAGCGGTTGTCTCTTGGGCACTGAGATTACGCTCCGAAGTCACTCAGACCAGCTCTAATCCAATTTCCTTTTCAGGTACCGAGAAGTGATAACCGCTGTCATACTTCTAACAACACTGAAATGAATTCGGAGAATCGTACAGTATATACTTCATTTGTCAATCAATCGTTTCACACTTCATTATTCTTTCGTTCTCGTTCTCCTTCCGATGATCTTCTTAACTTTCTACTGACTGATATTCTATTCTTAACTAGCAATATATATTACTTGTGTCGTTATAAGTAGCACAATTGAACTTATGAATTTTACATAATTCTATATTCCTTATTTATGTAAGTTAATAACCTCTATTCAATAAATTAAGTTACCATAGACAAATGTGATTATAAACTAGGTCTTACTGAACTAGTTCAATCGATTTAAACATTCATAAGTTAAAATTTTCATGATTCATTGAACATTCAACAACAACAACAACAACAACAACGAGAACAACAAAAAAAAGAAGACAACAACGAGAAAAACAGCGGTAACAAGAATAGTGACAACGAGAACAACTCAATATAACATTGAATACAAATGTAATCACAACATTGATTGACTTGAAACATTTCAAACAAGAACAATTTCATTTGGTATTGTTTGACTTCACATTCTGAATTCCACTGCTAGTTACTATCCATCACTGTTTACAAAGAACAATTTCATATTGAACATAATCAATAATATTCCATGGATATTTCATCACTGACTGATCATAATAAGAACAAGAAATCGATTTTGTTGTTGTTTTCTTTTTCAATTTAATCAATCATTCAATGATCAATTTGAAGAAAATATGCGTGACATAATTAACAAAAATTGTTTTCTTTGTAAAACAAAACAACCAAAATGGATTGATTTAAATCTAGCTAGATTCAATTTCTGAAGCTGTTCTAAAAACTTTTCTTCCTCCCAGGTTGAATCTACCCAGCAACATGAATACAAGAGGAATGGTGAGGAATACGGGAAGAAAATAGGTTTGAGATGGTGGAGAAGATTTGTAGTTCAGATGGATGATTTTGATGAAGTTTGTTCTGATGATGTTATTCAGAAGAGTGATGAAAGTTCTAAGACCAAACCATCCAACTAGAAGAAAACGTCTTAGTTCAAAGGTTCGTTTATGTATAGAAAATCTAGGGTATTTATAGCATTTTCTTGGAAAGTTCTGGAACGCTAATAATGATAATAATAATAATGATCGAATCAGAAACTTCACATGGGACCCTTCACTTTCTAGATGTTTCTGGCAAAACGTCTGTTGAATACTAATTGGATAAGATGTTTCACAGTGTTTTCTGAAGGTTTATTTCGCTTTTTTTCGAGAAGTTTTTTGGATCTCCTCAACAGGAACCGCGTTTTACCTTATTTATTCCCCGTCATCTAGGTATATCTGAATCACAGAAAAGGAGTAATAATTATTATAAAGAGTAAGATGTAAGGATATCTAGTTAACTGGTATTAAACAGGACGAAAAGTACATTATTAATACCACTATAGATGGGATCCTTTCAACATTATTATATGGTAATAGGAACTGATCTGTTGCAGTATATAATGTCAGTATAATGTTCATACCTTCATACTATTATACCTTCAGCGCATACTGACATAAAAAGGTTTGTCTTGTCAATTCTTAGCTAGTTACCTATACAATAGAATTGACTCCATAACTGTTCCTTTGGTGAATGTTACCGTGCTTTTTTTAATTTTAGGTACAAATAAATATGACTCGCCACCCTCATTCTAACTAACTGATCATGTAGTTCTACCTTTTCCGTTGTGAGGCAGTTACCCACCAAAGACAGTGGAAGATGGTCGTTCAATATTGTGGATCGATTAGAGCTAGAGATTAACACCACCTCAATGGTCTATTGGTTAAGCGTCCATGTACGACACCGGATGTCCTTCTTATGATTTTATGTCCGGCTTCTTATCACGTGATTTATCCATCAATCAAAACACGACTTATACAATCTTAGCACTATGCCAAACCAATGACGTTCAACCGGAATGAGAAGCCTAGAGTCCTTATTGGTCCTATGTCCTCCTAGCCGGTCCACTTGAGTCCAATACACAATACAAGCTTCTGCAATATGAATCGATTCATTTATTTCAAACATACTTAGTTTAGATATCAACCAGATAGACCACATCACACTATAAAATAGAATACAACATTTATACAAGATTTGGCCAAATGTGGCTATGAGCGTAGGAGGCAGTAGTCAATAAAATGAACATAGCGTAAGAACAGTAAATAGTACAATAATAAATTATAGGTCAAAATAAAGCTTATAATAATAAGAATACAAAATATACATAATCTAATTATTGAATAGTCATACCATAAGAATGTATAGATCATATTAGTCAATTAATATGTCTCAGGAGTTACTCGTGATTTAATTTTCGCTCGGATATAACAGTCCTGGGTCTTAGTCCGGCATGTGGGATCGTATATGAACACTGATGAGGGGCTTCACAAAAATACAAAACGGCTATCTAGTGCTTCCAGATTTTCAATGATGATTTAACATCAATTGGTTCATGATTTCAATCAAAAACTTAATAATCTCCACAACCTCATACTGATAATTAATTCATTCATTCATTATACCGGTTACCCTTCGTGGAGGAGTATAGACCAATCATCAGTCCACTCTATTCAACTCTGTCCTATACAATTCTTTCCAGTTGTTATTTATCTTTTTCATCATATCTACTTCCATTTCTCAACGTAGTATGTTCTTTAGTCTTCCCCCACTCCTGTCTCCTTTCCCTTTGCAATTCCAAGTTAGTTCCTGTCTTGTGTTGTCATTTATTGATTTCTATCCACTTTCAATATCTCTTCCACACACACACACACTAACGAATTTCATATCAACTATTTTCCCTTTAGTTTCTTAAACGAATATTTAACTATATGCTTTATAGAATCAATGGGATAAAGAATAAAAATAATAAATGGTTTGCCAAATGGTTATTTTTTTTGGTATAAATTATCATTTTTCAAGGTTAAATCTTTTCATTTTGATTGGTTATTAGAATTGAATGATTATTGACAAATCAACGAACTGATCATAATGAATATAAATAAATCATCAGAATAGACATATAATTGAATAATACGGATTATATATTGACTATTACAGGTAATGAAGTTTATATTTTAATGATTATTATTTCATTGAGAATAGTTGAAGTGAGATCATGATGAAAAATCTGGAAGTGTTAGATGGGTGTTTCGTTCTATTGTGAGACTTATCGGAAGTACACGGCCATGATGTTACTTCACGAGATTCAAATCTACCATCTATGGATTTCGTGTGTGAATAGTTAACTTTTAGATCATTGAGTTAGCATCTTATAGTGAAGAGTCATACAAGAGAACGAAATCAATGTTCAATGCTTCCAGGTTTTTCATGATGGTCTAGCTTTTATTGACTAGTGAATTCAATCATTGAAATTATTAGTATAGTTCATGTTTATCCATTTAGGGATAACACAGGCTTAAGTAATTAAGTGAAGTAATGTTTGTCCATTGTCCGTACTATGACTAAATAGTTTTCCTATACTAATGATTATAAAATTGATTTCGATTTATTCGTTTATTCATAAACAATACACAGTTTATCTGGTGTTATGGTTCTGATTACAGTAAAGAAATCTCATCAGAGATTATGTAACTTTTTGTTGAAACTATAATATTTTCGATGAACCAATCAGATAAAAGATAACAGGTCTTCAATTTTGGCACGAATTTCATTTGTCCATTTGGGTAAATAGTGTTTTGGCGTTATAGCTGAAGTCAGTTCCTGATGAAAAGACTAAATCTAATTCCTAACCTTAATCAACATTTATTTACTTGAAAAAAAATATATTTATACTGGTAGAAAGAAGCACCGAATACATATACGTTACACGTCACCTGGTTTGTGTGTGGATTGGGATACTGCACGGGTGCCCAAACTGAAGTAGGAGGTTTTCTTAGAGGGGTCCACACCCGGAGACTTCTACCGAAAAGTCTGTTCCACAAGACAGTGGAGCAACGTCAGGAGATGCAGTCACATGGTAGCAGGTCACCATCAATTAGTTCATACACCATTCGTTCCTTCAGGATCTTGGAGCCCATGTAAACCATTGGTTTGGAATGAATGTTTTCCAACCTCCTTAATTGGATCTTCCATATACACTAACACATTTGAAGCGTTGGACATTTGTTTTCGGTCCTCTAAATTTCGTAAACAACACCCCCACCTTCTCGCGGCAGGTATCTCAACTTTTCTTCCAGACAATAATTTATGAATGAACCAATCAGGTTTTAGATAACAGATCTTGGACTTTGGCGTGAAATTCATTTATCCATTTGGCTAAATAGCATAATAGCATACCAGTATGGGACTTCTTTCTAATGCTCATTCGCAAGACCTTCAGGGTTTGAATCTAAGATAGCTGTGTACCGCAGTGAACGCTTAAACATTAGACCCACTACTCCTCCTCCTTAATTCACGATACTGTATCATCTGAAATTAATCTGAGACAAACACAACCAAAAAATTAAACTAATATCAACAGGATCACCTTAGTTCTTAAGTGATCCAAGAAAGAAACTGAATTGCAAGTGTCCAAATAGATGTCCAATGCTTTTTGTTGATGGTAACTGTTAACTTTTAACAATTGGATCATATATTGGATCTCATATTAAAGATTGCAATTGATCAATATTGGCATTAGTGAATCCTGAGTGGATTGTATTTATATAGCTATTTGATCACAAGTTTTAGTAAAGAAGGTGTTATGATTTATGCCTCTGTCAATTATCACTTGACAAAATTGCCAATCAAAATATCGACTTTCACAACATTGTCCTTGTGATAAATGAACAATGAGTCGAACAGCACTAGCATTCTTTAGTCAACTATGAATCCTTATTGGTTCTTTGTATAACACCTTCTTTCCTAACTCAACTCATTAAATGCAGAACACATATATCAGCCTCCGCTATAAAAGACTCATATTTACTAACACACTTAACTGCATCACATAATAAGATGAATATACATATAATACTTTTTTACACATGTTACTCCTCGTGAAGGAACATAGGCCGCTCACCAGCATTCTCTATCCAACCCTGTCTTGGGCAATCCTTTCCAGATCTTTCAAGTTCTTATTTATCCTTTTCATATCTGCTTCTATTTCCCGATGTAATTTGTTATTTGACATTCCTCTTTTCCGCTTCCCTTCAAGATTCCCAGTTAGGGCTTACCTCGTGATTCAGTTCGATGATTTCCGTATTGTATGTCCTATCCACTTCCAACGTCTTTTCCTATTTTCCTCTTAAGCTGGAATCTGGTTTGTTCTCTCCCAGAGAAGGCTGTTGCTGATGGTATTCGGTCAATGCATGTTGATCATCCTGAATAAACAGCCATTCATAAATACTTGTATCTTCTTGCTGATGGTCGTTGTAGTTTTCCAAGTTTCAGCTCCGTGCAGTAGAACTGCTTTGACTTTCGTGTTGAAGATTCTAACTTTGATAGTGGTTGACAGTTGTTTTCTGAGTTTTATATGTTCTTCAATTGTAGGAATGCGGCTCTTGCTTTACCAATCCTCGCCTTTACGTCTACATCCGATCCTCCTTGTTTATCGATGATGCTTCCAAGATTTGTGAACGTTTCCACAAGTTCCAGAGTTTATCCATCATGTGTGAATAGGTTGGTGTTCTCTGTGTTGTACTTGAGGACCTTGGTTTTTCTTTTGCGTAAACTGAGACCTACTGATGCATAGGCTACTACTACACGAGTTGCTCGTATGCATGTGGTAGATGGGCTAGTTCATCTGCGAGTTCCGAATCGTTAAATTGATTCCGAGCTCTCCATTGTATTCCGTGCTTTACGTCAGATATCAAGGTCTTCATAATCAAGTCAACTACCAGAAGAAACATAGTTACAACATAGTTACTCTATAATTACCCACTAAGAATATATGTAACAATAGTCCATAAATAATTCCCATCTCTTACCATTCATTTATTCCTCGGTCGGATCTAGCAGAGGATCTGTGCTTAAAAGTGGAATCCCAAATAAGCGTTCTGTCCCATTTGGAATTCATCATTTAGGTGTATCTGTATTGCAGTGTTAATGTCTACACTGGGACTTGAACCTGGCTTAGTTCGCATTAAACGCCAACTCATTATACACTAAGCCAATCAACATAGATACTTCAAGGATGTTTTCGACATCAGCGACAAACTCATCAAGTTACAATGAAAGAGAATGTATTCAGTTAATTCGATTCAATTTTTGACTAGGTTAACAATCTTTCAGATCTAAGCTCTAGATATAAATCTTTCATGATTATTCTTTAAGAGTAGATAGATATTTGGTTGACTAAAGAACCTATGAATTCATGAATCCGATCATAGACAGATTAAAACTTTGGTACATCATATTCAAAGAATTCAGCATTAATCAGAATGTTACAGTGATAATAGTGAAGAAGAACAGAGAAAATATAAAGCTATACAAATTGATTACTAATTAGTAATCAGTATCATAAGTGATTACAATAAACCAACCACTTACTTACACCAGTTAAGCATAGGCCGCCCACCAGCACTCCACCTATAGCTCTTCTAGAGTTACTACCGGTCCCAAGCCCAGATAAAGGAGGAGAGTTGAGCATGAGGTCGACAACCTCATCCCGTAGAATATACATATTTAAATACTGATCATCACTCAGTATATATTAGCAGTCCAACAAGATGTCAGCCATAGACTGAATGATAATGTCTGTGTTTGTGACAGTGAGTGTCGTAGATATGAATCACTTAGGGTGTATATATTCTTTTTAACTAACAGGTACTCGTGCTTCATAATTGACAACTAACATGAACAGAGTCTCCATCCGACTACATTTAACCTGTTAATATTAAAAGTGAAACTATTTAAATATTTATGAAATTATTCGGTTTATGGTTAGGTTTTAACTTTGCTAGTTTACGGTTGATTGATCACTGGGTGGTGATCGATATCATGCATTTCAGGTGCTTCTTAGTGCAGATTGAATCCAATCGACCAAGTCGTAATATGGCCAATAGTCTAGGTGACTCGATATTGCATGCACTTTGTTGAGATAAGATGGTGGTTGGAGGTGCACCTAATATCGAGTCACCTAGACTAATGGCTACATTGCAACTTGGTCGATAGGATTCAATCTGCACTAAGAAGAACCTGACACATATGACAATGATCACCACCCAGTGATCAATCAATCATAAATACATTTCAGCCCTACAGGAGGTCAGTAGCGGCCTGGACAGACCAATAGTAGAGTCTGACTGTGAAGCTGGGTGACAAGAGGTCAAATCCGTCAGGAAGCATCACTCCTTTGCTGACGAGTGCCAAATAGAACAAAACCTCGGTTCATGGTTTCTTATCAACTACCTCCAACTACCATCCCACACTTCTGTAATATTAAGTTAGAAGTTTAGTCTAGGACTCATGCTTTAGTTATCTGGAATTTAATTCATTTGGTGCTATGCTGATACTTTTAGGCATATGAATAAATATAAACTGAAATGATAATGCTAATCATGAGCGGTTGTATAGTCTACTCATATGTGTTTACGGGCGTTATCTTAACTTATTGTATTGAAAGATGACCAGTTTTATAAACTCAAGGAAAATGGTACTTTATCACAAAGTAATGAAATGTCAGAGGTGTTTCTTTATTTTATAGTTTTTATTTATGATCAATATTCATTTTTAACCCATTTCAATAGAGAGTACACCTTCGGTTTGAGTACCCGGGCAGTATCACAGCTCTCACACATATCAAATAAGGTCTGTGTGGCGCATATGTATTTGGTGCCTTCTTGTGCCAATATCTATGTGTTAAAATAAATAAATAAATAGTCGAAATTATGAGTCATTTGAAGCTAGACCAACATAGAAAACCTGGAAGCAATGGAAGGCCATTTTGTACTACTGTTGGACTCCTTATCAGTGCACATCCACGATCCCGCCTCGCGAAATTCAAACCGATGACCTATCGTTCTCGCGCGAGCGCTTCCATGTTTTCCATGATGATCCAGCTTCAATTGACTCACAATGTCAACTATTTAAATTACTATAATATCCACAAAAACCCTCTTCTGATAATATAACTAGATGTTTCAGAGAGGGTTTTGTGGATATTATGGTAATTTAGTAGTTGAACTCAAGAGTCAATTCAACTGAAAAACCGTAACCAATAGAATTCATTCACGTCTGTTGTGAGGCAGTAACTCACTAAAGACAACGGTAGACGGTGGCGCAATTTCGTGAATTGGTTGAAGTTAGACATCAACACTGTTGGATGCCGATTGGGTCAGTGGTTTAGACGTTAAGTGAACACGTGCAAAATCGTTAGGTTCTGTATCCGAATCCCGTGGGGCAGGATTGTAGATACGCACTGTTGAAGGGTTCCACAATAGGACAAGTCAGTCGTCCAGTGCTCCCAGGTTTTCTATGTTAGTCTAGGTTGAATTGACTCATGAGTTCAACTATTACATTCAATCATAGTTTGAAAATAACAATTAGACAACCTTCATGAGGAATTCTTTAAGCTGTTTGTTCATCCATCTTCTTATTACGTATTGATCTATTCAATGAATTCGTTTTTATTAGTATCAAAGTAAGTAATTGTAGAAAAAACTGATTATGAAATAGAATGAAAGACATTACAGATACTTGAGTAGTCGAACCTTAGATTCCTTCAAATCTCAAGTTAGAAGACAGAAGACGAATATGAGGGGACGTATCAAAGATGGTACAAAACTCTCAGATCTTTATAGTCGTTATTTTATAGTAAAAATGAAATCATCATTACAATCATCTAATCTATGTACAGTAGTTTTTAATATTTGTCCAGTCGGACATTCTGGAATATTCTTCCAAAAGATGATTGGATGGAATATCTTCTATTCTTTCAGTGCTTCTTAGAGTTTCCTTATGTTCACCTGGGGGTCATCCTCATAGTTCCTGAAGTTTCAATAAGAAAATATAACATAGAAATTAATAAAATTTATAAGAACGAAATTAGTACCCCACTCATTGTATGAAATGTAAACGAATACTGTAGTATCAGTGAACCGATTAGCATAGTGTTCATTAAGAACATTGAAGGTCCTTGATTAGATATATATCCTTGGCAAAACTATTATTTATGGACGAACCAATCATATTTAAGATAATAGGTATTGGATTTCGGCAATAAAATGTATTGCTCACCCATTTGGCTAAATAGCGTTTTAGATGATGTCAGTTCATGATGAAAATCCTATATCTGATTCCTAACTTTAACCATCAATTGTAAATCATCATTCGAATTCCTCACCCTGGTTTATAACGTTTATCTAATCCTACTTAGTAAGTGGACATTCTCAAGGTCACTTTAGCGTCTCTCAAAGATCGTCCATTAATTATAGTCTCATCATATCTCTTACTATCATTAATCCATAGAGTTTACGAGTATTTAAGCATAATAGGATGATGTCTCAGTGTTTCTTTAAGTGATATCAATTTGTGATTTTAAAGCTTTATTTACATTTCACAAGAAAAAACTATCACATGACCACGAGAATACAGCTACTAAAAGGGAAGTCCTACTCACTGCCTTCTCGCGACCGAAGTGTTGTTTACAAAAAGTGAATGTCTGGCACTTTAACCGAGATTTTAGATACGGAGGATCGACCTAGAGGAGTTGGAAAACTCTGATTCAAAACCAATGGTGCACATGGGATCTAGGATCCTAAGGAAACAAACAGTGTATGAACCTATTTTTGGTCACCGGTTACTATGAAATCGCATCACCTTACGATGTTCCACTGCCTTGTAGACTAAACCTGAATCTCAAAGGCTCAATGAGTGACTTTCTCAGAAAATCAACCGCTTCCGAAACCCGGGCAGCATTCCAAGCATCATACAAATCGAACGATTTATGTGGCGCATATCTATTAGATGCCTTCTTCTACCAATGTTTGTATGACCTCCAGACCACTGAGCTAGAATCCAGTAGTGTAGAAATTCTGTGTCCGTCAGTTCACGATATTGTACGACCATTGTCTTCTACTGTCTTTAGTAAATTGGTAACTTCGTCACACTTGACATGGTCGAACTCTATTGGTCATGGCTTCCTAATAGAACTCCACAAGTTGCACTTCGAGGCTCATCGCTAATGAAAACATGATTATTATGCGGGAATTTGCTCAGATTATAGACTTTTCATAATTAAATAATGAAATGATCTTAGCTGGAGGATCATTGAGAACGTGATAGTCTAGATGACATCACTTAGTGATTTTAACTGCGAAAATACTACAATTTGCAAAAATTCCCCGAAACAAAAGATGTATGCACTGATGCCATTGTGATGGATTCTGAACCATATGACACACAGTCTCCAAACATTAGTTACGATAGTCATGCGGATCTCAGCCAAGCAGTCTACATCTACCAACATGGTTCACACTAGAAGTTACTGACTTCAAGCACTGATACCACGTTTTGGTTTGGCCGCCCCTAACTTTCTTCCAACCATCTCCAATACCGGTTAGCATTGCACGTCGTAGTAATCGATGTTCAGGCATACGCGACACGTAACCCAACCATCTCAGTCGATGAAGATTCACAACCTCATCAAGTGATTTAACATCGTTCCCGAATACCCTGCGTCTAACCTCACTATTACTCAACGGGTTGCCCCAGCAGATGCGAGCGTTATTTCTAAGACATTTATGATCAGTTACTAGTAGCTTACGATTATCCTCTACTCTTAATGGCCAGGTTTTATAGCCTTAATTTAGAATAAAGCAAAATTGCTGCGCAGTATAATCATCCTTTTATTGAAAGACGGAAATCTCGCCTTCGCCATAGGTGACGTAATTTGGCAAAAGCCAAACGAGTTTTCTGAATCCTTGCGGAGATTTTGTCAGACATCAACACATCACTGTCATGCATCTTAACACTCAAAGTAAAGAACAATAAATTGAAAATAACAGCTTGAAATGAAGTCTACAACGAAAAGTATTTTCCTAAATGCAACAATCGGCACACTAACCGAATAGAATATTACGAGAGAATGCATAATACAGCACAAACAATGAACACTGATAACCAGATTCACAAACATGTATCTTATCCTTCAGAACTCTATTTGATCAGTTGCAGCAGTACTAGTTGTTAATGTTGTGTTTTGCTTATAGACACTTTAACTTCACATTTTCACTAAAACCTTTTTATTCACTTCAGATCATTTATAATAATCGACTGTCAAATTGAAGTTCACTCTGCAGACTTATTAAATGGCCACTGTTTCTGGGTAAGTTTTTAAAAATTTTTTAATATATGCTGTTTAGAATTTCATGAATTGGTTGAAGTTAAACGTTAACACCGATGGATATTGAATCATTGATCTAGAAGTTAGGTGTTCGCGCGCGAGACCGATAGGTCCTGGATTTGAATCTTGAAATACAGGGTCGTAGATACGCACTTCTGAAGAGTCCCACAATAGGACGAAACGGCCATCCAATGATTTCAGGTTTTCAGTGGTAGTCTAGCTTCAATTGACTCACGATCTCAACTAATAAATTGTTGTACAATAGTGAAATGGTACACCTCATTTTGTTAAGCAATATTTGAAGATCATTTCATCATGATGTTAAGTTATATTACTGATTGGTACTGTACAACCATTTAATAGTCGCTTAAGACTCTTACGGAGTAATGACACAAATATCTCATACATGAATGTGCTCTGCAATTAAAACTCTCCTTTGATAAACACGATATTTCAACGAAAATTAGTCCTACTTCTGTTATTACATGATGTAGGATGATGATCAGTAGATTACTTACCACAAATACTTGAACTCTAACAAGTACAATATTATACTGTAACTATGAAAGTTTACAAAACTATCAATGATCCTTTACATCACCCTATTATTACCAGTCAGATGTGTTGTATTAATTTTTGATGGAGGGTAATTAAACATGATTTTCATAACCGACTGACATCAGCTAATAAATAACATACCTTTTATTCAAATGCTTAAACAATGACTCTCAAATAAAGATGGAAACCAGGTTGAGCGTTTCGTCCTGTCTGAGGCTCATCAGCTGGATGTACCTGCATTTCAGAGTTGATATTCACTACGGGATTCAGACCTAGTACCATTCGCTTCAAATGACATTACATTATTCACTTAGTCAAACTTATTTTCTTAATACAACATTAATGTTATTATTATTATTATTGTTATTATTATTTCTATAGATTTGGAATGACACGTTCATTAATTCATGCATTTGATCCACATGGTAAACATTACACACCAACAATTAAACCAACAACTGGTTTTTCAGCATCAGCTGATGCTGAACGATTACATCGAGCTATGAAAGGTGCAGGTTAGTAGAAAAAAAATATTATCGTATAGAATGTTATTTGAAAATTAATTGTTTCTGTGTGTGAGAGAGAGAATAACCAACTTTAGTCAATATAAGTGTGATGTCTAGCATGTCCAAGTAGTTTTCTATTCATTTAGTGTGTCAATGCTGTATACACTTACTTACTTAATCACGCCCGGTACTCTCAATGGAGCATAAGCTGTGATCAGCATTCTTCAACCCATTCTTTCCTAGGCCTTCCTTTCTAGTTCTATACAATTGTTGTTCATTCTTCTCATGTCTGTCTCCGTTTCACGGCGTAAGGTGTTTTTTGATTTTTCAATTCTCCTTTGGACTTCAGGATTCCATGTGAGGGCTTGCATTGTGACGCAGTTGGGTGCCTTCGAAAATGTGTGTCCTATCCACTTCTAGCGATTCTTCCTGATTTCTTCCTCCGCTACAATCTGGTTTGTTTTCTCACACAGGATGTTATTGCTGATAATGTCTGGCCAACGGATCTGAAGTATTTTGCGTAGACAACTGTTAATAAACATTTATATCCTCTGCATGATGGCTTGCGTAGTTGTCCAAGTTTCCGCCCCATACAACACAACTGTTTTGACATTTGTATTGAAGATGCTGACTTTGGTGTTGGTTGTCAGACAGTTGTTTTGAGTCCCAAATGTTGTTCAGTTGTAAATATACTGCACTTGCTTTGTCGATCCGCACTTTCACATCTACATCAAATCCCACAGTGTTCATCGATGATGCTGCCCAGATATTTAAAGGACTTTACATCTTCCAAATCTTCTCCGTCAGTTGTGATTGGATTTGTGCATGTTGTGTTGTATCGGAGAATCCTGCTTTTCTCTTTGTGTATGTTGAGACCTACTGCTTCTGAGTCTGCTGTTACACTGGTCATCTTCTCCTCCATTTGCTGTTACGTATGTGATAGAAAAGCCATATCATCTGGGAAGTTTAGAACGTTCAGCTGCATCCTAACCGTTCACTGTATCCCATGCTTCCCTCCTAGATGTTGACTTCTTTATAATCCAGTAGATCATCAGGAGCAAGAGAAAGAGTGAGAGTAAGCAACCTTTCCTGACACCGGTCTGTCTTATTCACTGTTTTCTTACGTACAACAATGATATAATAAGTGAACAAAGAAAATGAAAATGGTTAAAACTGTCAAATATCACACATTTATAAAACATTTCAAAATGTCGGTTACTCTTTATTTATTTAAGTTAAATTGAATCTTGAACATTGTCGTTTTGTCCATTGAATACAAATTGTTTATGTTTATCCTTGAATTTGATTGTATAGACAAACAGGATATAAATAACCAATGAGAATTCTATGATACATAGAATTTTTTATAGTGTGAATGAACTAGAAAATGGACATTTCAAGGGGGGGTGAGAAAAAGATTAGTTACTACTATTCTATTGAAACTATCAATTACTAAGACGACAATTATAAATTGATTATAATATACTCTACAATGATGTCTAGGTATATTATGTAACAAAGAAAAAGTATTATGTAATATATTCTGACACCCTTGGGTGCCATCTAGCTCAGTGGTCTAGAGGTTAGGCGTTCGCGCGCGAGACTGATAGGTCCTAGGTTCGAATCTCGCGCACTGATGAGGAGCCTCACAATAGGACGAAACGGCCGTCCAGCGCTTTTAGATTTTCAAAAGTGGTCTAACATCAGTCGGTTTATGATCTCAATTCAAAACTTAACAATCTCCACAACCCTATACTGATAATATTTGAGGTGTTTTTCTTAGATAACCAGAATCTCCAGCGACCCTCCTTTTCCATTGTAAAGTGACAATTAAGAAAAGGTTATCTCTAATGATATTACATCTTAACTTGACATGTGGATTTCTACAACAAACTGTAAAGTTTGAAGATATTACGTTCTTGATCTGTTTATACACTTTTATGCTGAGGTTAACTACTTTAAATCTAGATTAAGACCTTGACTGGATAGGCTAACTGGCTTAAATTTGAGGCTAATTTGTGTGAGTTCGAACTGTTTAGGGTAGAGAGGAAAATACTATTATATCACCTAATCGGCCGACAAGAATGAGAGAGAAGACAAGTCAACCGGAACTCTACTGGAAGTTCGACAATAACACCGTTGAACATCAGTTCAGTGGTCTAGAGGTTAAACGTACGCGCGTGAGACTGATGGGTCCTGGGTTTGAATCACGTGGGGCGGGGTCGTAGATTCTCACTGTTGAGGAGTCCCACACTTTGGCGAAACGGCCATCCAGTGTTTCCAGGTTTTCCAGTTAACTCTTCGACTTTAATATTACACTCTCAAATCGTTAATACTTCACTTAGACTAGTCCTCAACCTAGATACTTCAAAAATAGTATCTTTTTATGTTGTGGGTAACAGAGGAGTGGTCAGCAATCAGATATATTGATTTCTTCTTTATTTGTAATCGAATCCCTACTTTTGACTAATTGTACACTTGCTATAGTGAAGAATATACAATTGATCATCTATCTAATACATCGTAAATATCATATCTCTTTCCTTATTACTCAAATTACTGCTGACGACTTGAGGGGGGGGGGGACAGAATTGTTAAGACAGTTCTGAAATTTCCCATCCCGAATTTGTTTGACTTAACAGTGTAATTTAGTTTTATCAAACAATGATCGAGGACAGTATAGTTTAAAGATGAGATTAAAACAACAGTGAATCGATTGCTATTCAGGGTTAAGTATTTAAATTATGGATAAGACATTTAAGGTTAGAGTTCTCATCATGAACTGACACCAGCATTCATGTAGAGATACTCTCTCTTCATATAGGTGAATAGTTTTCGTGCAAACATTCTAGATCACTATCTGATTAGTTAATCCATAAAGTATAGTGACATGGGGTCAATGTTTGTTTTTTCCAAGGATTCAGTGTTCAAGTTCAAAATTGAAGGATAGTTGTATCAATTATGTATTAACTATGGAGACGGAATTGAAGATTTAACACTATCATTTTAGTCCATTGTGATACAACGTAACTGTTCTATCATATTCCAAATGGTTTATGCAATACACAATGATATTTCTACTGGTCATTATTCCTGTCATTTGAATTTCCCATTGAAGCTCTAAAGTTCTGTGTTTTTATTTCAACTGGCCATGCCTTCACACGTAATGAGAAGTGAGCGTCCATGATCCTGCACGCGGGATTCGAACTCGAGATCTCCGTTCTCGCACGCGATTGCATAATCGTGGACGCGCACTTCTGAGTAGTGCCATACTAGAACGAAACGACCGTTCAAAGCTTTCAGGTTTTCTATAGTGGTCTAGCTTAGATTGACTCGTGAATTCAATTGCTATATATGTATGTGTTTTTCATCTATCCGGTTATTGGTTGTCAGTGATTTATATACTTTTTTGTAAAGTTCAACTCACTCATTCTGTATTCACGTATTTTGGCTAATTGCTAATACATCTGAATTCATTGCTCTTAAATATTGCATTTTGATCGTTTCGTCCTAGTATGGGATTCCTCAGCAGTGAGTGTTCACGATCCCGCACTCTGGAATCGAACCAAAGACCTTCAGTCTCATACGCTAATTTTGAATTTCCAGACCACTAAACTGATCTATTTAAAACTTTCTCTGTGTATTTGAATCAACCCAGGCAGCATTATTAATATAAGGAGTGATTATTGACCACAATTTCATGTAACATGTAATACCACGTAATTTGTTTGGTTTACCTCATGATATCAACTAAACTATATTAATACCTGGTCACTATAAATAGATCTAAGAATGTTATTGATTTGATCAATGATTAAATGTAGAATTTAGGATAAAAGGCTTCTTCCTATTTCAGCTTCAACTATTGGATATGCTTTCTTCTCAGAGTTGATATTTCTGAAATTCTTATAAAACACAAAAGTCATTTCTATGACTCATTAACTAACTAGACAACCATTGAAAACTTGTAAGCACTTAACAGCTGTTTCATCCTAGTGTGGGACTCTTCAGCAGTGTACGTTCACAAACTCGTATGCGGTAATGGTACCCAGAACCTTCGGTCTCGCTTGTGAACTCTTAACCTTAATTTATGATTTCCATGTAACTAACCACAATTTATTTATTTAAACACATAAACATTGGTACAAAGGGGCACCAAATACATATGCGCCACACATATCATTCGATTTGTGTGTGGGCTATGATACTGCCCAAATGCCCAAATCGAAGCACGTCACTTACTTGAGGGGCTACACTCAGCGCCTTCGATCTAAAGGTGTGATCCACAAAACAGTGGAGCAACGTCAGGAGATACAGTCCTATGGTAGTTGGTAGCCAACAATTGGTTCATGCTCCATTTGTCCCCTCAGGATTTTGCAGCCTATGTGCACCATTGGTTTGAAATGAAGGTTTTCCAACTCCTATACTCGAATCCTCCACTTGCACCAACATGGTTGAAGCGTCGGACATTCACTTTTCGTCCTCTCAATTTCGTAAACAACACCCCCGCCGCTAGAAGGCAGTGAGTAGGATTTCTCTGGTAGTGGTTGTATGTACGTGTCCGTGTGAGAACATTTCGAAAGGGGGAACTGAATATCCCCACTCTCGACCGTACCAGAGCATTAGGGGAGGACAACTAACTACAATAGGTTGATAAGTGTATACATTCATTTATAATTATTAACTATTAACCATAATAAATCCATAGTCAGTTAGTCAGTCAGCTACAACGTAGGACTAGGCATAAATATTCATCGGTCCAAGTTGTCATACCTCATTAACACAACAAGATGGACACCGGATTAATTAAAGTCGTTAATTCAGAGGTAGTAATATATAAAAGAAAGATTTCATATAAGGATATAGTACAGGAAAAAAGAATTAGTTGGTAGAAAGAAAGATATGAGGCGATTTTATTCTCATAGTTTAAGGGAAGACCGAGAGTGTATACACCGACGCCATTGTGATCGATTCTGAGCCATGTCACCAAGAGTGTCTAACCATTGGTTATGATAGTCACACGGACCCTAACCAAGTAGTCTGCATCTGCCAACATGGCTCAGACTAGAAGTTAATGAGTTCAAGCACTGATACTACGTTTTAGTTTGGCCGCCCCTAACTTTCTTCCAACCATCCCGAACACCGGTTTGCATTGTAGGCAATAAATAATTCATTAGGCTTTTGAAATATTTATCATATTGTTGAGTAATCAAAATACATTGAAATTAAAATCTTCAGTATCTTGGCAACTTATTTATTTAACCAAATAACCAGTCTAGTTTAATTAATTAACTAGTTACCATAGTGAGTAGACTATATTTATTTATACTCTTTACTTATTACCAGTTCTAACATGCAGTATTAACTGGTTTCTCTCTCTCCTCCCTCTCTCTCTCTCGGTCTTTCTCTCTCTGTGTTTCATAAAGTTATGTATTGCAAGAACATCAATAAAATCACATTCTTGAAAAGTCTCTATTGGCATGAAGTTTCAAATGTAGGACTATATAGTAATCCATCTATGAATGATTCTATAGAAGATACCTTTCTCTAAGTTAAAAGTTACTCAGAGTTGATAATGAAAGGAATCTGTTATGTTCTTATGACCTATTCAAATAGCATGTGATAAGATTGTTAATTATAACACACTGATTCATTGAACAGACCAAATATCATATTATAAACCAAAATGAGCAGACTAGATTCAACTGTGAGCTCTTATTGATCTTTCAAGATGAGTAACTTCTTGTTTAACCAAGTCAGTTGAGTCCAGAACACTTAGATTAGCCTTTGCTATTAGAATCATACATTTCAAATATATGAAGTTTATATTTAAGCAAATCAGATCACACTATACCATAAAATAAGAAATGACAATGATACAAGATCAAACTAAAAGATCAAACTTTAAGAGACTATTACTAATGAATTAAGAATAAATTAAGAATGGTAAATCGTATAATAATAGTCAATGAATCAAATGGAAACTTATGATAAGCGAAATATGAATATGCATGTAATATAGTTACATAATAGATATAGTTCCTAAATGCTCTGTTACAGCCGAGGGTGGGGAGAGTCCGCTCTCCCTATCTAAATGCTCTCATATGGACACGCGTATAAAACTACTGTCAGAGACGTCCCACTGACTACCTTCCCGCAACATGGACGAAAACCGAATGTTGGTGGATACAGAGAGCTCACCTGCGGAAGTTGAAAAACCTTCATTTCAAACTAATGGTGCACACGGCCCTCAGGATCATGAGGGAACAAATGGAGTATGAACCAATTGTTGGCTACCAACTACCATGGGACTGTATCTCCTGACATTGCTCCACTGCTTTGTGGATCACACCTGTAGATCGAAGGCGCTGAATGTAGCCCCTTAAGAAAGTGACCTGCTTCGGTTTGGGTATTTGGGCAGTACCATAGCCCACACACAAATCGAATGATATGCATGGTGCATATGTATTCGGTGCCCCCTTGTACCAATATTTATGTGTCCAAATAAATAAATAAATTATAAATGCTTATACAATAAATATATCTGTAATAAAAGTCCACAAATAGATCCTAGCGGCTACTATTTACTTCTTCATCAACTGGATATAACAGAAGCATTTTGAGCAATCATTACATATGAGTAAATGATACATGAAGACAACTCATTCTAATGTTAGTTACTGTGTAAAACATGATTTGCAAAAAGATTTTTCGCCTTTTTTGTTTTCCGATAGTTGAGATCATAAATCAGTTGAAGCTAAAACACCATAGAAAACCTGAAGGCATTAAATGGCCGTTTCGTCTTGTTGTAGGACTTCTCAGCACTGCACACCCAATGTCCCGCCTCTCGAGATTCAAACCCAGGATCTATTGGTCTCGCACGCGAACGCCTGAACTCTAGACCACTGAGCTGGCTGGGATTCAACTGTGTTAATGTTTAACTTCAACCAATCCACTAAATTGAGTGGCACATCCTCCATTGTCTTTAATGAGTTACTATCTCACAACAGACCTAGTTGAACTCACTGGTCACTACTTCTCACTAGAACTCCAGGATATACCTCTTGAAGCCAGTCATTTATTATCGTCATGAACGTATTACACTATTATCAGATTAACTTCATAAAACTTTATTGTGTTGAATTTTCGAAATCTATGTTTACAAACATCATGCAAGCCAATTACAAAGAATATTCAATACATCATTTATGGCTTGTTGAAAGACCTAATTTTTAGGGAATCCAGTATGCTAATTTCATCTCATTTAGAACTCATCATCTTTAGCCTATTTCTAACCACCATCTAACCCTATCTATAATGCTTGTGATTATATATTAAAATCTAGGCAATCCATACAGGATACACACATGCCAACAAGAGACTGATCAACTGGAATCCTAAACAATTATAGGAAGTAGGTAGTTATTTAGACTCGGTTGTTAAGAGGATATCACGATGTCGTTTGAAATAAACGGCCACGGATTTAAGTTCTGAAGTGAACATCAACTCTGGGATGCGGGTATATTCAGCTTACCAGTCCCAAATATGACAGAACGTGCATCCTAGATTCCACTGCTAACCGCTATACGTATGTATTTATAATGTTTGTGACTAAGTAGCAATATCGAACCAATCCTCACATAATACACATATCCTATAAGAGATTGGTCAACTATAGTCACAAACACCAAGAGTAAACTTCAAACAATTATTACAAAGGAATAAGTAACTATAATTTCTTAATCTTATGTAAATACTACTGTTCACATCTTATAAATGATATCGTCGGTACAAAAAACCTCCATACTAAAAAACCTTACTGAATATATCATAAGCGAATAAATGGGGATGAAAATGATACTTTTGTAGTAAAAATGATGGAGAGATTTAACTATACTTACTTATTCTTACATGTATTCAATAGGATTCAGTGATTCCATGACATGACATAACCCACCTTAACAAAATGGCTAAACTTTGTCAATTTCTTGTTACCGTTTAAAGTACAAGTAATTTTTTATCCAATTGGATTTTATTTACTTGAAGAGGTGAAGTTGACTCTAATTCTAGTTCTCTGATATTCTACTAATTCCAATCATTTGCTTTAGCTACTATTCATGATGAAGAGATTAGCTACTTATAAGTAGGTAAAATGTGTTAACGTAATGTTTTGCAGTTTGATGTCATTTACTCCAACAATGAAGACTACTTTAGTAGTTTGATCATTAATATCAGAAAGGGTTTTGTGGATAATATAGTAATTTCAATAGTTCAGATCATGAGTTAATTGAAGCTAGACCACCATGGAAAACTTGGAAGTACTGGACGGCCGTTTCGTCCAAATTTGAAACTCTTCAACAGTGCACATCCATGATCCTGTATCGCGAGATTTCAACCCAGGACCTATCGGTGCCGCGCGCGAACACCTAAACTCTAGACCACTGAGCTGGACGGCATCCAATGATCTTAATATCTAACTTCAACTAATCCACGAATTTTAGCAACATATCCACCATTGTCATCAGTGAGTTACTATCTCACGAAAGACCCGGTTGGAGTGCACTGGTCACTGTTTCTCAACAGAACTCCAAGAAATACCTCTTGGGGACATCATTATTAGCCTTCTTTCAAGAAAAATACTTTAAGGATAACTGTCGGTATTCAGCTTGATTTCGTAGCCGTGGATTAAGCCCTAATATTGTGAAGCAGATTTGTATCTCATGTGGGTGTTTTTAGAGGTGATAGGTATACTGAGCTCAACAGTTTAAAAGTCACGCCTTCACTATTTTTATAAAAGCCATCTCTGACAGTAAAAAGACTCTAGATAGAGGTAAGCTATTCCGATTTTCAAACAAGTGACAAGCATTTTAGCTTGTATACCTTGGTTTTCATTGTTTGTTGTTGCCCCTTATGGTGACATTATCTGCTTCTTCATTTCCAGTTTAACTGTTTCGAGTATGCCGAAGGCACCTACCGAAGATATTAGATGGTCGCACATTATCGTGAATTGGTTGGAGATAGGTTTGTACATGATTGGACCTTGACTTGGTAGTCCATACGTTAAGCGTTCGAACACCAGACTAATTGTCCTGGGTTCGATTCTCGATGACGGAATGGTGGTTGGGCTCTGCTAAGGAGTTCCATACTACCACAAAACATTTATGCAGTGCCTCTACGTTTCCAATGGTTTTTGTCGTTCTCTAAACCATCTGGTTTAATCGTGATGACTTCAATGTTCTCCTGAACAACATCACTACCACAAACTTCAAGTAGAAATGGGGTGTTCAAATTTCATTAAATATAACTGATAGCATATCTTGACAACCTTATTCTTGATTTAATGTAATCAAACTCTAACCTGTTGTTGTCTATGATTGTTATCTATAATTGTTCAGAAGAACAATGAAGATCTAACAACTGAACCCTACATCTTAGAGTACGAAACTACGCTAAAAGCTTACTCATTTTCAAGCTACCGAACTAGTTATACATATTAGTTTGTTTTTAATTAATACATTTCAATATTCAATTTCTATTTTAAGGCACAGATGAAACAGTAATCATCAACATATTGGCACGTAGAACAAATTATGAACGTCAAGAAATATGTCGATCATACAAAACTTTATATAAACAAGTAAGTAATAAGTAAGTAAGTACTGAAATAAACATAAAGCCAAGATGGTAACTGATATTGCACTTATGTAATACTTATCAAAACTGCATCAATGTTTCATGCCGTTGGAGTAGGTTGGAAGAATGTTAGGAGCGACCAGTTCAAAACATGGAGCAAATCCATGAAGTCACTGATAAGTGAACTGAGCCATGTTGTTAGGTGTAGACTAAACACCTGGCTAGGATCCGCGAAACGATAGCAACCGATGGTTAGAGACCTTGAATGTGACATGGTTCGTAATCGTTTGCAATGGCGCAGGTGAATCCACTCTTTGTGTTCACCCAAATTCTAATCTTCGGAATACTTCATGTCCTCTATTTTTTTCTCTTTTAAAATTTATTTCACTGGATTATACTCCTTGAATAACATCTTCAAAGCCTAATCTTTTCGATTATTGCTTAAAATTTAATACCTCCCCTACAAGTGAATTTGAAATGAAAATTGTGTCTGTGTGTTAATTTTGTATGGCAACTCGAACTGATGTACGTACGTACGTAGGTCTATGCTGTTAACTGACTGACTGACTATCAAAACTGGGTATAACAACCATATAGAAGACTTAATATTAACTTGACCGAATAAACCATATAAAAGGAAATGTATTCAGATATCAGGTTGATTTATTTCCAGGATCAAGCAAATTCTGAGTATCAGTATTTGTGCTCTCATTTTGATGTGTGCTACTAATGTCGACATATATAAGTAGTATGTATCACCAATCAAAAGTGAAATGATTAGCGGAGGAAAATTAAGTAAATCCAAGAGAACAAGAATGAGGACAGAAAGCGATTGATGTGGAAACGAAGGAACATTCAAGTCTGAGACAACCGATGGGTATTTTACAAATGAAGTATTTACTGTATGGTTCACAAATTTGATTGTTATCTACGATTGTATTTTCGTTTCTTCGAAACTTTATTGTATTTGTTATATGAATGATTGCAGACGTACTTTAGTCTGGGAAAACGTTGAACTCACATTGAAAAGCAACTTAAAGAAGAATAGATAATTTCTTAAAGCTTATCATTTACTTTATTCGATGATCAATATTCTTCGTTGGAATTAACCAAACTTACCAAACTGTGATGTCTTGAAACTGCTGTCCAATATCACGTATTATTTTCTCTATAGTCTAGTGCTCTTGACTTAACTGATTACACCTCAACCAAGCCTAGTGACCATAAGCTGACATCTAAGTTTTTATTAGTCCATTAATCGTAAGATCTTTCCTATACTCAGCCTTGAGTCCAGAATCAGTAATCAGTCCCAACGAATATTATATTTCAAGCAAACATAGTACATATGCAGATATATCAGGAAATACCAAACCATTAAATGAAAAATAACAACGATACATAAACAATCTTGGAAGTCTGATCAGCCCTAATAGGTTGGTGTCTGACGAAATCACAGCACGGATTCGAAAAGCTCGTTCGGCTTTTGCCAAATTACGTCACCTATGGCGAAGGCGAGATTACCGTCTATCAACAAAAAGATGGGTATACTGCGTAGCAATTTTGTTTTATTCTAATTTAAGGCTATAAAACCTGGCCATTAGGAATGGAGTATACTCGTAAGCTACCAGTGATCGATCACAGATGTCTTACAAATATTACTCGCATCTGCTGAGACCACCTGGTAAGTAATAGTGAGGTTAGACGCAGGGTATTCGGGAACGATGTTAAATCACTTGATGAGGTTGTGAATCTTCATCGACTGAGATGGTTGGGTTACGTGTCGCGTATGCCTGAACACCGATTACCACGACGTGCAATGCTATCCGGTATTGGAAATGGTTGGAAGAGAGTTAGGGGCGGCCAAACTAAAACGTGGTATCAGTGCTTGAAGTCACTAACTTCTGATCTGAGCCATGTTGGTAGATGCAGACTACTTGGTTGGGGTCCACGTGACTATCGTAATCAATGGTTGGAGACTTTTGGTGACATAATTCAGAATCCATAACAATGGCGTCAGTGTATACACTCTGTCTTCCCCTAAACTGTGAGATTAAAATCGCCTCATACCTTTCTTTCTACGATCTAACTCTTTCTCCCTGTATTATATCCTTATTGCAATCTTTCTTTTATATATTATCACCTCTGTATTAACTACTTTTATGAATCCGGTGTTCATCTTGTTGTGTTAATGAGGTATGGCAACTTGGACCGATGCATATTTGTACCTGGTCCTACATTGTAGCTGACTGACTGACTGATACATAAATAAGCCAAAAGTGGAAGTGCAGTGAATGAGAACACAGATAATGATAACCGATTACAGAATACAGGATAAAATAGAAAAAAACATACTGCAACTCTACATTTGCAACATATTCATTAAATGTCTTAATTTCAATGTGCTTGCTGATTAATCTGAGTATCAAACTTCTGAAAATTCTCTGATGTTTTTAGAATAATCAGTCTAGGGGTTTTGGAGATTGTTAAGTTTTTTATTGAGATCACGAATCGATTGATGTTAGACCAACATGGAAATCCTGGAAGCACTGAATAGCCGTTTCGTCCTATTGTTAGACTCCTCAGCAGTGCTCATCCACGATCCCTCCCGGGGGATTCCAACTCAATTCCTTCAGTCTCGCACGCGAACGTTTAACCTACTGAACCACTGAGCCGGCATACAATGGTCTTAATGTCTCAAATCAACCAATCAACGAGATTGCGCGACCATCTTCCATTTTTGGAATTGACTGTATTCAAAATTTCCAGATTTTCTTAGTTGAATGTGTGTCCTCACTAAATGTCTACATGCAATTGTGCACATGTGTAGAAATTCGAACACTTCACTTCTATCTGACGTTTGTGCTGATGATATCGTTCAGAAAAACGACGAAAGCTCCATGACCAAATCATCCGGCTCAGAGAACAAAACACCATCTCATAGTTGATCTATGTCTGAAATTTACACTGATGATGTTGTTTAGTAGTACAAATAACTATTAACACACTGTAATGAATGAGAACACAAGTGGGGATAACGAAAATGTAAAACAATTAGTCCGTTTGATAAATTTCGATAGTTTATTAAGAAGACGAAGATTATTACAAACTATGTGATGATATATTATCGCAATATATTTCGAACAATCTGATCACAATGACCAGCGGAATTCAACCAGGTTTGTTGTGAGATAGTAACTCACTGAAGACAATGGTGGATGTGTCACTCCATTTCGTGGATCAGTTAAAGTTAGAGATTAACCCCATTGGATGCCGGCCAGCTCAATGGTCTAGAGTTTAGGCGTTCACGCGCGAGACTAATAGATCCTGGGTTGGAATCTCGCGAGACGGGATCGTGGATGTACACTGTTGAAGAGTCCCACAGTGCTTCCAGTACTTTCAGGTTTCCCATGGTGATCTAGCTTCAATTGGCTAATGAATTCAACTATTATAATATTCACAAAATCCTTTTATGATTATTTTATATTCTACTTTTTTTTTAAAAGGATCTAAAAGACGATTTGAAATCGGAGACTAGTGGAGACTTTCGTAAAGTTTTATGTCAGCTAGTTGTTGATACACCTTATATGTTGGCTAAATCATTATATTATGCAATGAAAGGCTTAGGAACAAATGATCGTGTACTTACTGAAATATTTACCACATTATGGAATGATGAAACAAGAGCTGTAGCTGATGCTTATAAACAAGGTAAGTTATGGTTAAAAAAGACGTTTTAAGAAATACATTGTTTGAATACTATTTCCTATATACTTAATTGGGGAGGTTTGGAGGGAGTAGTTTGATTCATCTGGATAAACTGAATTAAGTTCTACAAATTTGGGTGCTTTGTGCACCTATGTGTGTGTGTGTGTGTATGATTGATACTTCATGGTTGCCATGTGATGTGTGTTACTGATATCGTCAGATATAAGTAGTATTTATGATCATCAAATGAAAGTGAAATGCCTGGCGGTAGAAGTCTAAGAAGATCGAAGAGAATTAGAATGTGAACAAAGAATGATTGGTATGGAAACGAAAGAACAATGAAGTCTAAGATGATTGATTGACATTTTACAAATGAACTATTTACTGTATGGTTATCAAATTTTACTGGGATATTTTGTAATGGTGTATTCAAATACATTCGATTGTTACCAATAGTGATCTTCTTCATTACAGCCCAAACATCGAAGGAAATTTCTCCTTGAAGGATCTTAATAAAAAGTTGAATTACTAAGCCACAATCTTGTTGATCTGCAAGTGTGACAGCAAGCCTGACTATCATATTAGGTCAATCATTTCTGTCAGGTTTAAAAACGACGAGGTGGAAAATTAGTCACTTACTGGTTACTTGAAACCACATGAATTCTTAATGGTTTTGTAAGAAATTGTAAGTAAGCAAAGATTGATGACAGCTAGCAGTGCGTTTCATCTTATTCGGGACTCCTCATCTAGATGTACCTGCATCGCATAGTTGACCTTCATTCTGGGATTCGAACCCCGTTCGCTCCAAACTTCGTAGCCTTATCCACCTGGAGCGGACGATACTGCGTTTGAGTGCCAGAGTGAACATCAAGTATGGAATGTGGGTACATCTAGATGACAAGTCCCAAATAAAACCAAATACGTATCCTAGATTCCACTACTAGCCACGATCCATCTCTGCTTAAAATGCTTGTGAATTAAGACAAGATCGAGGCAATTCGTACAGTATGCACATATTCCAATAATAGACTGATCAATTACAGTACTAAGAATCAATGGGAAGATTCAAACAAACAATACAAAATGAAAGTGGAATTGTAAATGTTAAATTTCCTCATTACAGTCATGCAATCCCCGTGCAGTGGTTTTTGCCATTCGTCCAATAGGGAAACTACATGTCAAGATTCTGGAATATTCTTCCAAAAGATGATTCGATTCTTCCAATACTTCTTAGAACTTCCTTGAGTTTACCCAGGGGTCATCCTTATAATTACATAATTTTCATTTATTTTATTTTATTTATATCTCCTATGTTTAGTGTTTCAATTTATTGGATAGTAATTTTCTCATGTTTACTGTCTAACTTGTCAATTTTCTCTTAGTTTATTGATTGAGATCATGAACCGAAGCCGTGATCAGTGGAACTAATCCGTGTCGGGTAGAGACAAGTATCTACCTCAGTACAATCGGAGATGGTCGCGCAATCTCGTGGATTGGTTGATGTTTGATACTAACACGATTGGATGCCGGCTCAGTGATCCAGTAGGTTAAGCGTTCGCTCGTGAAACTGAAAGCCCTGAGTTGAAATCCCGCGAGAAGGATCATGTATGCGCACAGCTGAGGAGCCTCACAATAGGACGAAACGACCATCCAGTGTTTCCAGGTTTTCCATGGTGGTCTTACATCAATCGATTCATGATCTTAATCAAAAACTTAATAATCTCCATAACACCTTTACTGATAATTTTCTCTTACACTGTTCTTAATTGAAATATGGTAACTTCAATTGAAAATTATTCGAATCAGACTTGAATCAGCTTCCAATTCATATTTCTAATCTCAATCGGCTGATGAAACATTGTACACTTGCGTTGAAATTGACGTTTATCAATTCACTCTTGTCTAGATATTTAAGTTCTGTTAGTTTAAATGTTAGTTCTTGATGATATACCTCTAGTTCTAAATAAACTCTTGTTTATCTTTTTCATTCTTAGTACTCAAAGACAAAGGAATTGAAGGTAAGTTATGTTTGTTACATTTATCATCTATTGATATGTTAACTGTAATAGTTTCACTATGGAATTCACAATTGAATTGATATTATCATAAGTCAATTGAAGTTACACCGGTATACAACGACGTTAATGTCTAACTTCAACTAATCCACAAAATTGAGTGACATATTAACCTTGTCATCACTGAGTTACTATCTTACGACAGACCTGGTTGAACTCCGCTGATTCTCACTAGAACTCCAAGATATACCTCTTGAAGCCAGTCACTAGTGAGCATATGCTGATTAGTATCAGAAGGGGTTTTGTGGAGATTGTAGTAATTTCAACAGTTGAGATCATGAGTCGATTGAAGCTAGACTCTATTCTATCGATCATGTTGTACTGTGGCTACTAGTCGAAATGACGTTCAGCATGTTTAAATATTAGATAGTTAAATATAGACCGTAGTAAACCATACTGGTCATAGACTGGCATTATTCAACATAATGTACTTGAACTTTCACATCTCATTGCTAGACTAGTACAAGTAAAGAATAAAAATGTTTTCTTTTTCTGTTTGCCGCGATGTATTACTAATATTCAGTGGTACAACCGGTGATGAAGATTATATTATGACTAAACTAGACGACAAATGTAGCAGCAGCCACACCAACAACAGGTCTCAACATACACAAAGAAAAAAAACAAGATTCTCCGATACAACACAACATACACCAATCCAATCACAACTGACAGAGATTAGGAAGATGTAAAGTCCTTTACATATCTGGGCAGCATCATTGATGAACACTGTGGGATTTGATGTAGACGTGAAAGTGCGGATCGACAAAGCAAATGCAGTATATTTACAACTGAACAACATCTGGGACTCAAAACAGCTGTATGTCAATCAACAACAAAGTCAGAATTTTCAATACAAATGTCAAGACAGTTGTACTGGATGGGGCGGAAACCTGGTGAACCACGAAAGTCATCATGCAGAGGATACAAGTGTTTATTAACAGTTGTCTACGCAAAATACTTTAGGTCCGTTGACCAGACATTATCAGCAATAACATCCTGTGTGAGTGAACAAACCAGATCGTAGCGGAGGAAGAAATCAGGAAGAATCGCTGGAAGTGGACGGAACACATATTGAGGGAGGCACCCAACTGCCTCACAGTGCAAGCCCTTACTTGGAATTTTAAAAGCCAAGGGAGAATAGGAAGACCAAAGAACACATTACGCTGAGAAATGGAAACGGACATGTGGAGAATGAACGAAAATTGGATAGAACTAGAAACCCGAGACAGAGTGGCTTGAAGAATGCTGACTGGTGTTCTATGCTCCATTGTGAATAACAGGCGTAAGTAAGTAAGACTGGATATTCGATTGATAGGCTATGCACAGACTAGGTTCGTACTATAGCAGACACATGATTTACAACCAAATATAGAGAACCAGAGTATAGGCTATATAATAACTTACTTAACATAAATATAAGTAGTCTATACTCAGTAGTAATCTGTTCCCGTCAGTTCACACTCAGTAATCAATCATATGTTACTCTTATAAGTCACATATCATAGACATTCATATCCATTTTGTATGTATTACATAATGTTGGCAATACACTGTCAGCATAACGTGCATGTTCATTACTTCCCAACTTACGTACCAACAACCGAGCTTCCACATGTCATCTTGTTTACAGAATTTTATTTTAAATGTATCTTCCAAACGTTTGAGTCACATGTGAAAAGTATTTCCACTTTTGTGATAATAGATGAATTCAGAGATGTTGCTAGCAAATGCATCACAAGACGTACTTGAATTAGCATATGAACTTGATCATTGGATGTTAAGCTGTTGAGTTAAAAGTCTCCAACAACCGCAAAACGTTTTGCTTGCAGTTGTTTTAATATTCGATTGGGCTGGTGATCTGATATGAATATCTTGAATTCGGTTTCCCTTTCCCTTTTCACCACTGTTATAATTCTCTCTTATTACAAACCAAGCTATTCTTACTGCTTAGTATTCTTGAACTCCATTTCACTCGACAAGTCTCCTAAACCAGAACATAGTTGAACAGGAGAGAGATCATATTCCAAATAACAAGGTTAGATGAAAGTAAGAAGCATAATAAAAGAAACGTTAGTACATTGATAGTTTTCTTATATGAGAAGATTCTAAAGTATTCTTCAAGTATCGACTAGCGTTGATTGGATAAAAATTAGCCAATCAGCGTGCATCAACACCATTGAACATTGAGCATACTTTATTTCCAATCTATATCCGATTCATACATAAACAAAAAATGATTCAGTTCTTATTTTCTATTTTACATTTAAATATTTTTCAACAAACAAAACAAAAGAATCAGAACGTTCATTAGTTACTGATATGAAAAAAGAAATAAGCGGTGATTATGAATATGCATTAATGTGTTTAATTCAAGCTGAACGTGATGATATACCAGTATTACAATTGAAAGCAATACCTGAAAAAGGTATCAATTCAATCATTAATCATGAATTAGCTGAAGCTGATGCTAAAGATCTATATAATTCAGGAGTTGGGTAAGTTATTATTATATTTATATTCTTTCTTTCATCAAAAACTAATGATTTGAGACGATTTTAAATACAACCATACTTATAGATAATGTGAGGATGGCCCATGGATGAACTTGAGGAAGTTCTAAGAAGTTCAGAAAGAGCTAAAGATGCTCCATCTAATCACTTTTTGGAAGAATATTTCAGAATCCTATTATGAAAAGCCGTTTCGTCCTATTGTGGGACTCATCAGCAATGTGCATACACGAGCGGGATCGTGGATGCGCACTGCTGAGGCGTCCCATAATAGGACGAAACGGTCGTCCAGTGCTTCCAGGTTTTCCATGTTGGTCTAACATCAATCGATTCGTGATTTTAATCCACAACCTCTAAACTGATAAAAATGTATTGCTTTGTTTTTTTTTTATAAAGTCGGGTTGGTACTAGTGAAAAACGTATTACACGTGTTATATGCAATAGAACACCATATCAATTATATTTAACATCTGAAATCTATTTCAAAGTAAGTTTTATTATATTTATGAATTACCGATTTGTTTAGTATAGATGTTATTCTAAGTATATCTAATTAGATTATTCAATGAATTTGATTCATCACTATGGGGTAGTGAAGATGATTAAAGTTTTGATCAAGATCATAAACCGATTCAGGTTAGACCATCATTGAACATTGGACAGCAGTTTCGTTCTATTGTGAGACCCCTCAACAGTGCGCGGCATACGAACTCAGAGCCTTCGGTCTCACGCGAAAACGCTTAATTTTTAGACCACTGAGCCGGTATTCAATGGTGTTAAGCGTTCGTTTGTGAGACCGAAGGCTCTGGGTCTTAAACCTGCTAGCACGATTGTGGACGCGCACTGCTAAGGAGTTTCACAATAGGATGAAACAGTTTTCCAGTGCTTTCAGGTTTTCAATGGTGGTCCAGCAACAAATGACTCATGATTGCAATCAGTGTTAATGATATCATCTAGAAAACATTTGAATAGTTGTATTGTTCGAATATAGAGTTTCATTAGAGATATTCAATCAAATCTTTTACCTTAAATGACAATCACTAGTGAGTATAAGATTAATCTTTCGTTGAAAAACTTCTGATGTTTAGTTATAAATTGAAGTTTATTTCCTTCTATTATTATAGATGTATGGTAAAACTTTATTGGAACACATTGAATCAGAGACATCAGGTGATTATCGTAAACTTCTTGTTGCTATCTGTAAGTTCAAAAAATAGATTTATTACTATTGATGCTTGAATAAAAATGTGTAATTGTCGTTATGAAGTCATAGAAATTGTTAAAAATTTATTGAGATCATTACTTATTTACTTACGCCTGTTACTCCAAATGGAGCATAGGCCGCTGACCAGCATTCTCCAACCCACTCTGTCCTGGGCCTTCTTTTCTAGTTCCATCCAATTCTTGTTCATTCTTCTCATGTCTATCTCCATTTCCCGGCGCAATGTGTTGTTTGGTCTTCCTCTTTTCCTTTGGCCTTGAGGATTCCATGTGAAGGCTTGTCTTGTGACGCAGTTGGGTGCTTTCCCCAATGTGTGTCCTGTTCAAATATGTCAAGGACTTTACATCTTCCAAACCTTCTCCGTCAATTGTGATTAGATCGGTGCATGTTGTGTTGTATCGAAGAATCTTGTTTTTTGCATTGTGTATATTGAGACCTACTACTCCACCTGGAGTACCTCAGAGGAATACTGCCAGTCCCAAGCCCAGATAAAGAAGGAGAGTTGGACATGGGTTTAGCGACCCCATCCCGTAGAAAACTAACTCACTAAAAAAACGCTAACCAAAAAAATTAGGATCATTAATTGATGTAAATTGGATAACCATTGAAAATATGGAAGAACTGATCTATTGTTTTGTCCTAGTATAGAACTCATCAGAAATACACTTTCATAACCATATCACCGGAGACTGAACGCCTGACCTTCAATATCGTCCGCAAACTCCTGACCTTTAAATTCCTGAGCCAGAATACAATCATGTATAAGTTTAACTTTAATCAATTTACGATATTGTGAAACATATTCTATTGTTTTCATTGGGTAACTCCATGACACACGACACGTTTAAACTCTACTGATCTCACTTTATCGCTAAACCAAAAGTCCTGGATACAAACTGTTGCGTTAGGGTAGTGTATCCGTACTACCGATAAGTTCTATGCTAGAAGTAAATAGTTATTTGTTATGTTCGGTGTCTATTCCACGTATCTCTTCCCACCTTTACCTCGTACATAACTTGGTCTAGTCTTCCAACCACACGTGCTTTGATCCAAGGACCATAATTTGCTCTGTAGTCTCGAGTGAACACTGGGATTTCAGTTTTTCAGAAGTTTTCTAGCTTAGATCGTTTCATGAACTTAATAAATATTTAGAACTTACAGTAGACAACAGTGGGTTTTTTATCGACTGTTAGAAAGTGTCGAGAAGATCCAGAATACTCTTCATAAAAAGCCAAGAAAGGCTCTGAAAACACACTAGCTTCGTGAGGGAATTCTCGGAGCTCTAGTGAGAAGCCGTGACCAGTGGAGTTAGTCCGTGTCGCGTAGAGATAGATATCTACCTCGGTACAATGGAAAATGATCGCGAAATTTTGTGGATTGGTTGAGGTTAGATAATAACAACATTGGACGCCGGCTCTGTGATCCAGTGGGTTAAGCGTTCGCGCGCGAAACTGAAGGCCCTGGGTTGGAATCCCACGAGCGGGATCGTGTATGAGCACTGCTAAGGAGTTGCACATTGGGACAAAATGTCCGTCCAGTGCTTCCAGGTTTTCTATGGTGGTCTAACATCAATCGATTCATGATCTTAATTGAAAACATTCAAAAGATTGGAGTTTGATTGTTTATAAATCACTTTGAAAGAATTCAGTGTATCGATTTCATGTCTTGTATTAAGGAGGTGTCTTGCGATGACAATGCTGAATGTTTTTAATCAATTTAATCTTAAACGTTTCGGAATATGTTCTTTGAATCAGACATAGGCTCTTCTTTCTGTTCTACCAATGTAACTACTTTGGCAGATACATATAAATATATTTACATAGCCCCGAACGGGACGAAACTTCGGTCTTGGACCCCACTGCTAATTAATGTCATCCCCGTTTAGAATGCTTAGTCTATGTTTAATATCCATTAAAAATTTGAATATCATACGTTCAATTCTTCATTTGCAAAATGTCCATCAATTTTCCCCGATTTTGTTGTTCTTTCATCTCTATACCAATCACTTTCTGTTCCCGTTCTCTTCGATTTTCTCAATCTTCTGCCGCCAGGCATTTCACTTTTAATTGATAATGCATACTACTTATACCTGTCGACATAAGTAGTACACACCATAGTAGTAAAACGAGTGATAATTGTCTTGATTCCAGGTTCAATAACTAGAAGCATTCATGTTCTTCAAACATGTAAACTAATCAGCTAATTTGACCTTTAATTTGTACTTTCAATAAGAAAGTCAATTAACCATCTCTTTGATATCATACATAAAATTCTATCATTGTTCTTTGTTGATTCACTCTTCACACTTAGTACGATATGCAATCGATCGTCCTGGTCTAATTGCTGAATGGTTACACGATTCAATGGCTGGTTTAGGAACAAAAGATTATGCATTAATGCGTTTATTAATTACACGTTCTGAGGTAAGTTTATACTATTTGTAAAATGTTGTTTCAATGAAATGAATAACATAGAACAAAGGAGAATAGCATGTGATTGATTAGATTATCTAAACTGCCACCAATATTAGCTTCATTTGCAAGATGGAACGATCAGAAAAGCTGAATTCATGAGTCAATTCAAGTTAGATCACCATCAGAAACCTGAAAACACTAGACGGTTGTTTAATCCTAGTATAGGACACCTCAGTAGCGCGCAGCTACGATCCCGACCCACGAGATTTGAACCCAAGACCAAGTTTGTTATGAGATAGTAGCCCATCGAAGACAATGGTGGGCGGTGACACAATTTAGTGGATTGGTTGATGCCGACTCAATGGTCTGGAGACCGATAGGTCCTGATTTCGAGTCCTGAGTGTGGAATTTCATATGCGCACTACTGAGGAGTCCTATAATTGAACAAAACGTCCGTCCGCTGCTTCCAGGTCTAACTTCAATTGACTCATTATCTCAACCATTAAAATAACAATAGACTTATTAAATTAGTAACGAATTATAACGTCAATGTAGTAAGATGATAATAAAATGTTTATGTTACATTAATTGTGATATCATGAGTACTTATGAATGAAATAATAATAATATGAGACATAAGTAAAGGGGGGACGCAGTAATAATAATAATAATAATAATAATAAAGGCCATGGTAACGATAACGATAGGACGTACCTCTTTTGTACGTATAGTTCTGGCTTGAGTTCATGGATAGTAGGAGCTTTGGTTATGTTCAGGAGTTGAATACGAAGAAATCTAGATAAATTTGAACGAATCATATTTCCAACCTTAAAATCAAATTGTGGATCCGTAGAATGATTACAGTCGATTCAGTATTTAAGTATGGAACTCTTCACTGCTTTCTTCTCACTTTTATAAATTAAAACTAGGATATGTTCTCGTATCTATGTTGAAAGTGATCATTGGCTAAGGCCAATGTACCTTGCTCCACAAAAGCAGGTAAACTGGTAGATGTACATAGAGACGATCAGACGATCCTTTCGCTGAAATCCATGTTTTAATTTCTTCTTTTTTAACGTACATTCAATTAATTCCATATAAATAAATTATTCTTTTTCTCTGTTTACCTCTCCCTCACACACACACACACACACACACTGGAATGATTTCCAATACATTACCAAGATTGATCTTCAAGATATCATGAATTCTTATGAATCAATTTATGGTAAATCATTATTGAATGCAGTAATAGATGATACATCTGGTGATTATCGTCGAACATTGTGTGTACTACTCGGTGAAACATATAATCAATAATAGTTTCATTAAAACAAAACAATATATTCAATCATTTGATCTTGTCATTATTTATTTTATCATATTTAAACATAATATAACAAACTTGTAACCTTGTGTTGATTGATTTAAAAACAGAAATATGGATACAAGTAGGCGCCAAGTATAAATATATGCGCTACACTTCGTTATTCAATTTGTGTGTATGAGGGGGGAGGGGTTGGAATACTGCCCAGATCCATTGCCAGAGTCATTCATCTAGAGATCTAATCCATATGACAGTGTAGTAACATTAAGGGATACAATCTCATGATAACCAGTGACTAACAATAGGTTCATACGCGATTTGTTCCTTCAGGATCTTGGAGTCTATGTGCACCATTGATTTAGAATGAGGGTTTTCTAACTATCCTAGGTGAATCCTCCGTATCCTTGTGCTCTGTTAATATATATATGACGTAATGATACCGCCAGTTAGAGAACAGTGACTTATCAAACGGACCAATGACGCATAAACCTGTACGAGCAGTCTAGAGTCCTTATTGGTCATTCTTTATTCCTAGCCCTGCCTGTTGAGTTCAGCAAACCAATCCCAGCCTATGCAATATAAATGAAGTATTCTAAACATACAAGCCAAACAGACTACATCGTACCACACAATAGGGAACAATATTTGTACAAGATCTAGCCAAAAAGTGGCTGTGAATGTAGGAGATAATAATTAATAAACTGGGCATAACTCAAAAACGGTAAATCATATAATAATAGTCTTTAGGTCAAAATAATGCTTATAATAATAGGAACGTGAATATGTATAGTTTAGTTACTTAACAATTATACAATAAAAAAGGTATAGGATTAGTCCATAAATAGATCACAACAGTTACCATTCATTATTATTCTCAACGGGATATAACAAACATAAATAATGGTACAAGCAGGCGCCAAAAATATATATATATGCGCTACACTTTGTCATTCGATTTGTGTCAGAACTGGAATACTGCACGGATACCCAAACCGAAGCAGGTGGTTACCTTAGGAGGTCACACCTCGAGCCTTCCACTTAGAGGTCTAATCCACATGACAGTGAAACAACATCAAGAGATGTAATCTTATGGTAACCGGTGACCAACAATAAGTTCATGCAACATTTGTTCCTTCAGGATCCTGAAGTTAATGTGCACCATTAGTTTGGAATGAGAGTTTTCCAACTCTATTAATTTGATCCTCCATAACCACCTACCCCCGTTAAAGCACCAGACATTTGCTTTTCGTCCTCTCAATGTCGTAACACTCCAGAAGTGAGAAGGCAGTAAGTAGGACTTCCTTGGCAGTGGTTGTATGCACGTGGACATTTGTGAGCATTTCGAAAGGGAAAGCTAATTCTCTCCACCCTCGACCATACCAGGGCATTTAGGGCGCTATTAGCATTGTAAGTAAATTACAGATTAACAATTAATCTTCTACACCAATAAAATCTCTGCGAAATTATAAAACTTTTGTCATGTCGAGTTCCAGACTTCATTTGGAATGGAAGATAATGTATATGGTTCATGAGGTATCGGTAGCAAAAATAGACCGTTGTCAAAAATGAATTATAGTTTCCAGACCATCGAAAACTTAACTAATACTGTATAAAGATTTCGCCATCCTTAATAGTAGTCTAATTTTAGTCCACTTTGAATGAGAATCAAAAACTACCAAGTAATCAATCGAGGTGATCACGAGTGTTAAGCGAAGCATGAGGGCGGTTGTTACGTCCCGGAAACAGTGAACAGTTTACTCTCAAGCTTTAAGTTGGTCGCCCTTCATGTTGCCTTTCTCCAACTGACACTTATCTAGCATGGTAGCACCTAAAGTAACGTATTCCAACCAATGTGGTTCGATCAGGTTGACACGGTGTGTAAGCTCAACGCCACTACATCAGATTGGCAATTAAGGTTCGGATATTATACAGTAAAGCATAACTGAGTATTGTAAAACACATGTTCGCTACAAGCAACCAGGATACGCAGAAGGTCGTTTTCGCTGCCTAATGGAAATGGATGCATCCGTTTACGGAATGGGATTTGGAGATCAGTTTTGCAGTTAACATCTTTAACTCCTGATAGCCAATTTTATGTTGACTGAAAGTAAATAACCAAAGGTTTGACTTTGAAGCATTTAGATAATTACCCGGAATACACTAACTCGCAGTGCTGAAATAAAAATTGTAGTTTATTATTAGGTTACGTTATTGAGCATTTATGAACTATTCTCCACATTTTACATGTCTTAGCGTGTAACTTTATCAACATATCACTACAAGAAGCATCGTACTGTCTAAATAGTAGACTATTTCTCAATATCGCTATTCCATTAGAATTAAGAAAATGACTCGAACACTGTGACAAAGCATTTTGATAGTTGAATTCAACTGTTCAATGATCTTGGACACTAAAAGCGTCTGTCGAAATTACCACCCAGTGTTCAAACTTGGTAGCCGGATGAATTTGAGTGACTTATTTAAAATTGAACATACTGAAAGAAGTGTCTTGAGTTTTCAGAACCATAAGTTAGCTGCTTATGTTCTATTTATCCGGATAGTTTTTCAGTGCAGTCCTGGAGTATCTGATGGGTGTGTAGTGACTTTCTTCGTATCATCCGTAGGGAAATCCAGAATGACATTACCAACTTCATTACTTAAAATCCCACCTGGAATATAGTCATCTTAATTTGGTCGCTCCTAACTTTCTTCCAACTTGTTTTTCTACAGCAGATAACATTGTCTGTCGAGGTAGGTGATGATTGGATATACGTAACACATGTTCCAGCCACCTTAGTCGATGAACAGCCATAACAGACATCAATCGTAATGAACTTACTTGCAATATTCTGACCTATTTCTACATCCTCAATCTAGGATATATTCATTGATTTTTTCAACCGATTCGGCAATAAACGTAGTTTTCGACTTGAATTTCAGTCAACAAGTATTGATTTGTACATCTAATACAGCTACATTTGACCAAGTGATTTATAAAATATAGAATTTCGTTAAAATACCAACTATGAAATTGTTTAGTTATTTTATGATCAGACCATCCATTTAGCATCTAAACAATAACACATGTAAAACGAATGTTTCCTAAGCAATTCATTTATTCATTCTGGTTAGTGTTTTCTATCAAGATTGTTTTATACGGGATGGGGTTGCTTACCCCATGCCCACCCCGGCAGTAAATCTAGAAGAGCTACAGGTGGTGTTAGCCAGATACCATCAGCAACAGCCTACTGTGGGAGAGAACAAACCAACTTCCAGCTGAAGGGGAAATTAGGAAACACGCTGGAGGTGAATAGGACATACACTACGGAAATTATCAAACTACATCACGAAGCAAGTGCTAACTTGGAATCCCAAAGGGAAAAAGAAAAGAGAAAGACCAAGGAATATATTGTGCCGGGAATTGAAAGCAGATATCAAATGAACGAATACAACTGGAAAGGATTGTCTAAGGCAGAGTTGGCTGGAGGATGCTGATGGGTGGTCTATGCTCCATCATAAGGGGTATGGTATGTTCAACAACTCTTCAGACCTCTGATTTAATCCTTCTATACGATGAAATTAACCTTACCATACGCAGATACATACGCAAGACAGTAGAGAATATAACTATTATTCATGATAAATACATATCTTATTAGTATAGGGATAATAATCATGTGCTCACTAGTGACTAGTTTCAAGATGGATTTCCTGGAGTTCTAGTGAGAAACTGCGACCAGCGGAGTTCAATCTGTGTCGAGCGTGAGACAGTTATACATCTCAGACAATGAATGAAAGTTTGTGCAAGATCATGAAGTTAGACATGAACAACATTGGATGTTAAAAAATATAATTGACACGTTTATTTCTTACAAAGATGGTAGAATAATATATTTTTATTAGTTTTTTTTTTTGTAATAATAGTTTCAAGAAAGACTAATTGTTCCATTCCATTCAAGAAAACCAATTATCATTTACAAAATACCAAGTTTATGCTCTATCATTAATTGGGGCATTCCAACAGATTCAGAATCTTCCGCAGCTGAAAAACAAAAAGAAGGATGATAATAAAGTAACGATATAAGTTATACATGTGATCGATTACAAATGTATATAGGGAGATTGACAAAATACAATGTAATATAGTTTTGAAGGAAAAGAAATTTCTTATTACAAGTTGGCAGTGATTAAAGAATTACTGGGAAGAAGCAACAATAGCACATTATAGTTCATCATCTTATCATAATTTTAAGTTTTCCAGTAAACGTTTTGTTCCGGAGACCAACAGGTTTAACTTCAAATCATGAAAGAAACCCCGAAGGTTGAGAGGAAGCATGTTGCCAAATGATTCTTAAAATTGACGAAATAGTTTTCATGTTTCACTCTTTATAATAGTTAATAGTTCACTTCAATAAACACTGAAATGTGATGAGAATTTTTTAAAACTATAGATTTTACGAAAACTCATCAGCCATTACAGACAATGGATTGTGAAAACACTAAGAATTATGCCCCCAAATGTCCTCGCACGGTCGAGAGTGGAGAGAAATGGAAATGAGGACGAAAAGCGAGTGTTTGATGTTTTAACAAGGTCGGTGGATACGGAGGATCTACCAAGCATAGATGGAAAACCCTCATTCCAAACTAATAGTGTACATGAACTCCAGGATCTTAAAGGAACAAATGGAACATGAACCAATTGTTGGTCACTGGCTACCATGAGATTACATCTCTTGACGTTACTTCACTGTCTTGTGGATTAAACCTCTAAGTGAAATGCTATGGGAGTGGTCTACTAAAAAAACACCTGCTTTAGCTTGGGCATCTGGGTAATATTCTAACCCTTCCCTCCTACACACACAAATCGAATGACGAAATGTAGTACATATATATTTGGCGCCTGCTTGCACCAATATTTGTGCTTAAAAAATAAATGTCATAAACACTATACACTCATCAGACAATAATACAAATCCTTCAGTTAAATATCAATTGGTTGGTCACTACTTCAACATAATTTCTCTTTTTGTCAGGTATAAATGAATGTTGGAGAAATGTTGAGTGTTCATATCAGTCAGTCAGTAACAACGTAAAACGTCGTACGTACGTACATCAGTTCTAGTTGCCATACCACATTAGCACAGAGATGCAGTTGTTTAATCAGCACTGGCAATCAAAATTACTGTGTGAATAATGACCAATGTCGTTCAAGGTCACTGATGACAGTCTGGATACTGATTGGTCGAAATAATTAGACTGAATTTCGTCCAATTGTAGATTGACCTTGAAGATTGAGGGTTCAAAAATTTTTCTCTACCCCGTCGCTGCTACTTGAACGACATTTGGAGTTCTTAGTCAAATTCCGCACGCAGCTGCTGAATCACCCATGCTTTGGAGATACGACGGAAGTAGATGGGTTGATTTCTCAATTGCACAGTGAGCTGGAAAATGATTGCAGCCTCCATGAATCCTCGATAAATCGTATTTCAAACGACACAGCAGCCATTCATGATTCGCCCAGTGGTCCAGAAATGTCCAATTCAAAAACATGCCCTGTCGTGGGTTCAAATCCCACTGTCCCCGAAACATGTACAGACAGTGAGGTATCCAGCTCACAAGAAGATCCCCTCGTTTTGCTAGAAAATATGTCACATGCATCAAATAATAGTCAAGAACCTGGTGCAGTTTTGTCGCACGCTGACTATCCCAGTGATCAATTATCTACTAATGAGATTTTCAAGAAATTCGATGACAATGTTCCAGAAGATCCAAAAACTGATGACTTCGAATTGAATGGCGTTTATCCTCACTATCTGGTCAGTCTTACTGGATTCCCTGTTCAATATGTTTTAAATACAGTCAAATTAATTGTAATTTGGGTTTCTGAGGACCCAACATTATTTCGCGGGGGAGGATGGAAGCGGAAAATTTTAAAATCCGGATCTTGAAAAAAAGGGAGGTGTTGGGATATTCAGAAAAATATCCCAACACTTACCTAGTACCCATTTCTTAACAATTGCATTACTAACCCGGTGGTCCCGGGATATACGAGCAATGCTTTGAAGACACCGATGATCGAATAATAGTAACGTAGGAATATACTCTTACCGATCATGACTGTTTATATACATTAATCAGTTCGTCAATTCGAAACATTAGAATGACCAAAGAATAAATACAAGTGTGATATGAAATAAACGGAAGACAATGCCAATTTTATACAGTAATAACATATATGAAAGTTAGAAACACCAGTAAATTTAAATTGTACTATTAGTGGTATCGATGACATTTGGAAAAACAAAAGACAAACCAATATGTTACCAAACAAAATCTACTTACGATTAATAAAGTCAGCTACATCAATCTCATCTAAACTTCCATTTAGCTGACTAGCCAAAGGATGATAAGAATATAAACCAGGTAGACGAGGTTGAATACGTTGCATTATACGCTGTTCCATAGATAAACGTAATGGTGCATGTAAACCTTGAGCAGAAGCTAAAACTCTCATTCTATTAGCTTTTTCAGCTGCTTTACCAAATTTTGCAAGAGATTCAGCTACCGGATGTGGAAAGTTAGTTGAATCTGCCACTTTAGATCCTGGAATTGCAGCCAATGATGATGCTTGTTCACTTGACCATACAGTAGAACCAATTACATCACCTAAACTGTTATAGACATATAAAGAAAAAACACCAAAACAGATGCAAAGTTACACGCTAATCATTTGCAATTGAGTAAATGTTCGTTAAGTTTCAAAAAATTGTTATGTAATAATTAATAAGAAATCTGTCTTAAAGATTATTTCCTCAGTTTGAGGATTAAAACAGTGCTCAAAGCTGGTTGATAAAACATTTTTTACTTAAGAAAAAGTACAGTATATTAGTAGATTTCCAGAAAGAACTTTTATTAGGTGACCCAAGTATTTAATTCTCAGCACAGCTGCCATTGCCCAAATACCCTGGTACGGTCGTGAGTGAGAGTCATTTCTCCCACTCCAAATGCTTTCTCACACGGCCACGTGCATACAACCACTGAGAGGGAAGTCCTCACTGCCTTCTCGCGGCATTAATGTTGTTTACGAAACTGAGAAAACGAAAAGCGAATGTCTGGTAGGGGGCTTAAACAGGGTTGGTGCATATGGAGGATTCACCTAAGAGAGTTGAAAAACCCTCATTCCAAGTTAATGGTGTACATGGGTTCCAGGATCGAACACATGACGTATGAACCGATCGTTTATGACCGGCTACCATGGGACTGTATCTCCTGACGTTGCTCCACTGCCTTGTAGATCAGACCTTTAGGTCGAAGGCTTTAAGTGTGGCCCACTAAGAAAACCACGTGCTTCGATCTGGGCACACGGGCAGTATCACAGCCCTCACACAAATCAAATGAAATTTATGTGGCGCAAACGTATCTGGTGCCCCCTTGTACTAATATTTATATGTTCAAATAAATAAATAAAAATAAACAGATGTGATTAATTTAGAACTACATAGATTTTAAATGTATTGTGGTGTATGCTATTAATGTCAATAGATATAAGTAGTATGTATCATCAATCGAAAGTGAAATGTCTGGTGGCAGAATATTCAGAAGATCTAAGAGAGGAGAATGAGAACGGAAAACGATTGATATGGAAACGAAAAAACAATGAAGTCTTAGACGATTGATTGATTGATATTTGCAAAAGGAACAGTCAGGTTTGAGACAATTGATTGAGACTTTGCAAATAAAGTATTTACTTTATAATTCTCAGATTTTACTAAGATGTTTTGTAATTTTGTATTCCTATACATTTGATTGACTCCACTTGTGTTGTCGTTCACTACAGTATGACTTGGAGAAGTATATACCAACTTGTAAATAGTTACTCCATGAAATCTATCCTCATTAGACATTTTACAGATGCAACATGTGGTTTTATCCTTTCATTTCCAAGGTTTTATCATTTACCACAAGTCATAGTACTTGAAATAAATAAGCTAGATCAAATAATAGATCATTCGTATGTATTGTTTGCTTAGATCTTTCCATTGATATTTAGGACTGTGATTGATTAATCTCTTTTGGTATTTGTGTATCCTGTGTGGATTGTCTTGATATTTTCACTTGGTCACAAGCATAATAAGCAGAAATGGATGGTGGTTAGCAATGGGATCCAGGACACACATTTCGTTCTGTTTGGAACTATTCAGATAGATGTACCTACATCTCAGAATCGATGCTCACCCCGTGACTCAAGTAACTAATACAAACGAATTAAACTTCACCTCATTGCACAAGTCAGTGGTTACCTGAACTTAGTAGCTAAGGGGATGAGCTGAAGCAAACGGTACTGGGTTAGAGTTAAGGAGTGGACATCAACTCTAGGATGTAGGCACATTTGACTAAAAAATTCCAAATAGGACAAGACGCGCGTCCTTGATTTCATTACTAGCAACCATCCCTCTCTGCTTATGAATAACAGATAAGTTATAGTCATCAGACAATGCAATTAATCGTGAGTCACTCAACTTATAATTAGTAAACGGATGCGGATACTTCTAGCAAATAAGAAATATTCGGTTTTTACTCCAATAATTTAATAGCACACAAAACATACAAGGGGTTTTTTGAACTACTTGGACGTCCTTTATCGTTACCATCTTATTGATTTTCACTAGCTGTGTTGGTGTGAGATGTGATTAAATGGACCGATGAGCACTTTGTTCCCAGGTTCCAGGTTGACACTAACTCACAGATGTCATGGGTTGTGTACACAATAAATGTGCACTACCACATAGAGTGGATAAGAGTCGAAATTCTGAAGACTACTATATTATCTTAGGTTATACGCAGCAGTTACTGATTCACAAACTAGGGTCCTACTATAAACACATTCACCACAACCTAATGACAAAGGCGGAGACAAACTGAAAGGTTATGCAGTGAATTAGTTTCAAGATAAAAGATATCGATGTGAAAAAATTTTTAAATAGTTTTGTAAGGTTTCGTGTTTGAGCTTCGAGAAATTGTGTTGCATATTTAATTATCCTCTACCATCTCTAGTAATTGAGTAATTTTGTCTTGAACATAATAAGTATGAGTGAGAAAAAAGCTAGGATTCACCGAAAAATATTGCTCGCATCTGCTGGGATCACCAGGTAAGTAATAGTGAGGTTAGACACAGGGTATTAGGGGATGACGGTAAACCAGTTGATGAGGTTGTGAATGTTCATCGGCTGAGATGATTGGGCTACGTGTTGCGTGTGCCTGAACACCGATTACAACGACGCACAATGCTAACTAGTGTTGGAAATGGCTGAAATTTAGGGGCGGCCAAACCAAAACGCGGCATCAGTGCTTGAAGTCACTAACTTCTAGTCTGAGCCATGTTGATAGATGCAGACTACTTGGTTAGGGTCCGCGAGAATATCGTAACCAGTGATCGGAGACTGGGTGATATGGCTCAGAATCCATCAGAACAGCGTCGGTGTATACACTCTCGGTCTTCCCTTAAACTATGAGATTATAATCGCTTCATATTTTCTTTTCTACGTACTAAATCTTTCTTCCGCTACTATATTCTTATACACAATCTTTCTTTTATATATTACCACCTCTGAATTAACGATGTCTATAAATTTAGTGTCCATCTTGCTGTGCTATTGAGGTGTGACAACTTAGACCGATGCATATATGTGCCTGGTCCTACATTGTAGCTGACTGACTGATTGAAAAATCTACTATACATTAGGAAATTGAAGCCCATGTAAATTTCAAGTTATAACAATTTAGTCTACACTCCCGGAGACGCTTCTCACTTACCCTCAAATGCCCTGGTACGGCAGAGAGTGGGGAGAGTCCGCTCTCCCTCTCCAGATGCTTTCACATGGCCGCGCGTATATAGCCTCTGCCAGGGAAGTCATACTCATTGCCTTCTCGTGGCGGGGGTGTTGTTTACGAAAATAAGAGGACGAAAAGCGAATGTCTGGCGCTTTAGCCGGATTCCAAACCATTGGTGCAGGGAACAAATGGCGTATGAACCGATTGTTGGTTACTGGCTTCCATGGGACTGCATCTCCTTATGATGCTCCACTGCCGTGTGGATCAGACCTTCGGGTTGAAGGCCCGGGGGGTGAACCCCTAAGAAAGCCAGCTGCTTCGGTTTGGGCACCCGGGTAGTATTACAGCCCTCACACATATCGAATGAGATTTGTGTGGCGCATATGTATTTGGTGCCTCCTTGTACCAATATCTATGTGTTAAAATAAATAAATAAAACACTCGAAAACAGAGTAACTTTGACTGGATTCATCTTTTCTAAATCACAAACATATTTTTCAGAGTACTTATGTAGATGTGATTTGATGATTAAGGTCTTCACTTAAATTCGATGAGTTACAGGTTAATGCTGAAAAATGATGTGCCTACTTTGGTATCACCAGATGTGATGTACAAATAACAATGGATATAACTAACAACTTAGTATACAGATAAACAAGAATTTTTTGAAATTAGACTGCTACAAAGTCATGCAGCTCTTTGAGTTAAATTGACATATTGTCCCCCTGTGCTCCAATGAAAATTAATATAGTATGGAATACTACAATTTACTTAGAAAACAACGTACCCAGTGTACATTAATGGACGAACAGCGAATTCAGGATGCAGCATTTTGTTTCCTTCTGACATCTTTGAAGTCTTCTAAAATGAAAAAACAAAAACAAAATTCAGTGACATATGATAGGATCCATTTCAAGACCAAAGAAATTAGACAAATAATGAAAGACAAGAAGTACTGTTATCCTTATGTTTTCGACAGTAAACATAAGTTATAAATTATAGTAAAACCTGGAAAAAAAAATATTTTTTTACTTGTACATTTAAGGGAACAGTCTATCCTAACACATACTATTTATTCATTGATTATATAATCCTTAGATCTATCCACATATCATTGAGTTCTTTTCCGTAAGTCTCCTATTGAAGTTAACCACTGAAAAACTAGTCTCCTAGATTTTCGCTTTTTGATGTGCAATTTTTCAAGAGTTGCCTCGAAGAATGTGGTGATGGTGATGTTCTAGTAGGATGTTGGTGTGACTTGGACAACTTAATTTGTTGACATTATCAGATCACCACTTATTCTCCTATAGCTCAACGAGAATAATCCCGTGTTGAAGTCTATTTTAGTAAGATTTATTCTTTAGACATCATCCATTTAGTTACCCGTCTCTGTACTTGGTCCAGGGGATTTATGCCCTTTTTGGAGAGAGAGAGAGAGAGAGAGAGAGACAACATTACGGACTTCAATATGGGGCCATGAGTATGCTTTAAAGAGAGTTAGGAACAGTTCTGGGTTGATGGAGCCAAGTTGTCTTAGAATGAAGTGGAGAGTTGAGTTCAACTTGGCTGAATCCCTATGTAGTTCGGCTGATACCCAAGCTTCTGGTTTGTGGACGTGGACATCCTTGACTAAAGGCTGATCATTTGTCAGCAAATAATCTGTTTGGGATTTTTCTGTCCTTACCTTATCTCGTGGTGTCGCCCACATGTTCAGTCGCGCATAAAACCACTCTGAATGGTGAGTGAAGCCACAATATGAGGTGAGGATGGAGAACCCTCAAACTTAATCATTTTCTGGAAAATGATCACCTAGTCAAGGATTTGTACCTCATTATCATTTCCTTGTTCTATATTATTCCTACACTGGTCTTCCCACACTGTCTGCATTACCAACCAATTATCAACTTATTTATTTCTTGAAACAATTGTCTTCCCTCGCATCCGGACTTTCTTTATATTGCTATTTATACTGCACCCAATCAACCTCCTACATGTTAATTTGATAGCTGCTCATATCCAGGATCCCCACTGCCCTGAAACAAACGCACTTAGTACCAAAGTAACCAGGATTAGTTTAGTGGAGTGGCTAGACTAAGGCGTTTTCAATATAACCGAAGACCTGTAACCATACGGAAACAAGAAGTGATGGCAAAGGAAACAATCAACTCAAACAAGCTCGTAACAAAGACATTAGATATACTGCATCCGTATGCTGTAGACGAATGCAGGGAATAGATGGAAAGCAAGAGAAGACTGCTTCATAAAAGTTATAACATTCGACCTACAGGAAAAAGCAGTGTTTAAATCAAACCTAACCATTTTATATTTTAATACCTTTATAACTATCTGACAACCCTTCTCATTTATCATTAGCGAGACCAATAGATGTTATAATATAGATACACAAACTTAGGCATGGTTACAAAGGAAAAGCACGCAAATAATAAACAAATTACAGAGAACTCAAAGTATGGGTCGATGGTTTCAACTATAAAACCCCCTAATCAACCCAAAACAGACCATGTAGGAGCAAAGCCTCAACGTTCCAGATTTTATTAGGAAACAAAATGAAGTCAATGTTTGGGTTACAGCAGCATCTTGAGAATTAGGGGAAAAATTGAGACCTGTATTTTCGTTGCCGGACTGTAGTGATGAGAAGAGTTTAAGAAACAAAAGACAAAAGCTTATCAAAACAGATGTCACAGAAAATTCGGTCCTTCGAAAGGGAACCAAAAGCCGAGTCTGAAAACGAAGCAACCCGTATTAAATCTTCAACAAACAATGTACTAGCGGAAACAGTAACAGGAGCTAGCGTTCTTAAGCTTTATAGAATGGGACCAAAGTGGATTTCAAAAGTACACAGGCAAGCAACCTCTTAAAAATTATTTTCACTATTGCTAAGGAAAGAAGCATTATATTGATTGGATTCAGAATGTCTGTACATATTTCAACCTGGCTGACTGGATTGAGACGATTAACAGAGGCAGAAATAAACGAGCGCCGCCTGAACGGTGAAAACTTGTACCCCATAGCAGAACAAGTAGGCCGATTTTAACATATAGATTACTAAGATATAATTTTGGACCTGATTTATCTTCTTTTTCTTCCAACAAGATCAGTACAACTCACAAAACAAAAACCAATAACAAACAAAATACTTGTGGCATGCAGGTTTTACACCAAGCCATCGAATTTTGGAACCTGTTACTCAAATAAGTTGCGTCTTCACCTTTAATTGACTCGTTCAAGAAAAGACATGACACTCAGTAGCTTACAAAAATAGGACTAACAAGCAGTAGACCTTCCGTCCTCAATGCACAAATCCGGATGTGAATAAACGGATCTCAAATAGATATCAGTATTTTCACAGACATATTTGGAGTGGTTATGATTAAGAGCGAGAGAGTATGACTAATATCAACCGAACACAATACATTAACTAACGACCATGATTTTATACACTTACAAAGCAAACGTTCGAAATCCCGGGAGTACTGAAAGAACTTCAGCGTCCAATTCCAAACTCAGCATAGTTATTTTAAACTTTAGCTGATAGGACCAGAAGGATGTTATCTCCGCACTATTTCATCACTTCGGGTCTCTCTACTAGTTTAAAGTTTTCCTGAGTGCGCCGACAGAAACAGATATGGCAGCATGATGTGTAGCAAGATTTTGATTCGCATGTTAGCGAAGAACTAACTATATTTGAATAGATCAAAAGCTTGTCAACTAAGTAAGCTATTGACAAAACTACTAGCTACCTCACGCCAACTTAGTTGCATATAAAACAGTTACATTTACCTCATTATTATTTCGTGTTTAAATCTGTCATAACAACGCAACACAGTTTTATTCTGGTTACTTCACGTTCGACTTCTCACTTGTGCCTTGCCGAATTTCTAGGCCAATTATAATTGGTCGTAATTAGTTAGACTATTTTAAATCCACATCTCCGGTCATTCCTCATCAGATTTTATTGGAAGAGTGTATAGTTGTTCAAGGAATCTTCTACATAGTGAAACACGTGTTTCTTTTTCATTCAAAAAGCTTAAGAGGTTATCTATAGATCATTTTCACGTAACATCATTTAAAACATTTGAAAGACTACAGCTGAGCAATGTAGTTCGCGCTCATACAGGAGCAACACATATTCAGGGTTTGACAACACTTTCGTTCTTAACATACTTATAATCAAAGGATACCAACACGCCCAGGTCAGATGTCAAGGGTGAATGAGCTAGACGACGTATTTGGAAGACGGTTGATGTATTGAGAAGAGTTTGATTTATGTTGGCTTATAGTTGCATCGTATGAATAGCAGTTCATACCCGCTCATGGTTTGGTACTGATGTGTTACTGAGTGCCTTCGACTGGACTGTCCAGTAAAATAGTGAGGCTAACATAGACGTCGAAGGCTTACCGTGCCATGTATTTCAGAGGTTGATTAACAAATACACTTGCTGTAATTGACTTCATACTACAGCTTCATGTGCACAAGCTTTAATGCGACTCCGATGAACGATTGCATATCCAACTTCCTGACATCATGATAAACCATATTAATGGTCCTAAACTAGAGAAGCGTCCTATGCGAATGCCTTCTTGCACTCTTCGGGTAACGTGTTCGCTTCTTTGCTCATGAACACGTTGATATTCTTTGTGGCGCGTTCACGAAACAGCACGATGTTATGTTATCGATCATGAATAAATCTCCTACACTACAGAAGTCTCTCACTTTTAACAGGAACCACTCCGATTCGGCGAAGCATGTGAAGTATTCAGAAAGCTATTTCAATTGTCCTTTGAGTATTGAATTCTGTCTTTCATGTAGTAAACTGAATCTTCATAGTTCATTTTGGTCTCGCTATACACGTTACCATAAGAGTGAAAAAACTGGATAGTTCACTATAAGGATACTGAAATTTTTTTGGTCGGAGTCAATTGACTAGGACAGGAGAATTAACTTGTGACTTATAGAAACATGCAGTAGCGACTCACATTTAAAGCGAAAATTGATTACTCGCACATGCAAGCTCTATCCATTTACTGTTGGATTTGGTAGCATAGAGTCAATTATTTCCGCGGGAAATTTGTTGTATCTTTATGATGATATTCATTTGAAACCTACAAAAAGTACACTAACTGGTATCACTGACCATCAATTACTAATCAATAGTACAGTTAACATTCCCTTGAGGAAATCAAAGATCCGGTACCACAATGTGAGTTCATTAAAAGTAGGAGATAAAACATTTGGAACTTCTGGTGATTACCACTTGAAACTAAATACTCGCCTAGTGCAATATTGTTGTACCACTAAACAAGCTAAAGACTCTTTTCCACTTTTCTAAAATAGATCAGAAAGATGGGTACTTGTTAATTCCATTGTATGAAACCTGTTCTATCCTAACGGGGAATAGATGAATGGTTGCTGCTGGAAATTATTTATGAACTATTATTACATATATCTTCATTGTATAACTATTAAGTATCTAGACTATATGCATATTTCATATTCCTCTTTTCGTAAGCTTTAATGTTACTTATCGGCTACTGTTGTACGATCTATCTCAACAGAGTTGCACCGCTCAAGAAATTGAAGAAACTCTTTATTAATTAAGAGGGTCAATACATTAATCAAAAATACATATGAAAGGTGAAAATTTGCAAATTCCACTAGATAAAACCCCGAGTGAAATAATATCTATTAATGCCCTATTCGGGCTGTACAGATAAAAGTTCCGGCCGTTCGGGTTAAATGGTTTCCTTGAGATATTTCAGAAGGTTAAAAATCAGATTATTATAGGTCTTAATGGTATCAAAATGTATAAAAATGCTACCGAAGCCCATGTTGGAAATATTAAGTCACATAATGAACAACTTTTAAACTTATTCAGACGCTTCTGAGATACATATATGGACGAAAATCCATTGAAGTGTCGGTCTCAACTTAGTTCGGTCAACTGCTTGGGCTGTACTGTAGATGCTGATGGTTTTAAACTTGAAATGATTCAAGCACAATCACCTAAGAATATCTCAGCACTAAGATCGTACATTGATCTCATTCAATTCTATTTCAGATTTATTTTTAAGTTTGCACAAATATTATCATCACCTCTTAAATGTGTTTCTAGTAAAGAATTTGTATGAGGACAACGACACGAGTAAACATTAGGGAATTCTTAGCAGTATTTAATAGTAAGGTCAGTCTCAGACTTCTTTCACAGACAGAAAAATCTAACATTACTACAGATGCGTCCCCATAGGTATTAGGTATGATTTTACAGCGGAATGCGAAATCCGTTAATTTTATTTTGATACTATTAACCAAGGGTGAACAAGGATATTCTCAGGCCCAAAAGAAGATTTTAGCTGTCGTAAGGACAGTAAAATGATTGCACAAGTACTTGCTTTATATAAAACTCCATTTTGTAACCGATCACTAGGCGTTACAATTGAGTTACCATCCAAGGAAGTCACTTCATTGGTTATCTGCCGACATAATCCAGAGATGAAATTTGAAGTTGAAAGCTTGTGATTTCACCATTGTGCACTAAGTGGAAAAAACCATGCTACAAGCAGGTTTTATATTGTTGAATTATGGTCTACCTCGGGGTTGATACATTTATCTCCACCAACATAACAAGAAACTTAATTCCCAAATTACAGATATATCATGATGTGACTGTCTAATAAGTAAGATCTTACATGGAGGTTATAACAGTGTCTACACTAACCCGTACTATCGTAAGAATCAGCAATACAATGTCTAACACATCTGAAGGACACATTTGGGGTCAGCAGAGAGCAACCTATTCAATAAAAACACGATACGTTTTACATACAATGACCACGTTTACGTTGTCGAGCCATGCCTTACTGAGTCATTCTTGCAGCATTCACCATTACCGGCCTACTTCAGGTGTTGTGTGTTGAATGCCAGTCTTTTCAGTAATTATACATTGAGCTTAGGGACGAGTGTAGTTGGGATCCGATACCACTGCAGTGTCACGCTTTTCATAGATCGAAAGAGCACCTAACGAAAGTGATTGTGTATTGGTTTAGCCATTTGCTGTTGATACATCACAACTTGCGTAGGATATTCGTAAATATTTGAGTGCTGCCAAAAGCGCAATGAAGACAGTTTAGAACATTCGATGCAAGCCTAGGTTTTCTGTATTTCACAAAAGAAGAGAATACAAATCAGTACGTTCAGAAGATTTTTTATGCCTTAATGCATTCGAATAATGACACAAGGATATACTAACAGACGTTTCAAAGTCTTTAAATTAAAAAGTCATCCTCAGACAGCTTCTACCAACCAAAAGGTCTATCCATGGAATTATGATCGAATTCTCTATTAGTACATTCACCTTTGATATCATAATAATAGGTCTCGAAACCGTAGGTCTGTCGTGATGAGACCATAAAATCTATAAGATTTTGTATGGAAAACACATCACTGTTTATGCTATCTCGTTCTCTTATGAAAATCGGCAAAACGGTGTTTAGTTCTTCTGAGGAGCAAATTTAAGCTAAGGATATAATAATATATTCAATGTGGATGAAAATGAGTTAAAAGAATGACCACGCCTGTAAACCTAGTCATACCAAACCGATCAATTTTCCTCTTCTCCATTTTTGGCCGTCTTTAAGCGCGACATGTTGAATGTAAATCACAATAATTATATGTTCAGCTTCAAAGATAGTGAGGTTCAGAATCAACACCACTGCATATCATTGCTACAGATGTACCACCATCGATGTTCTATATACGAGAAGTTTTAGATGGAAATAAAAAGCCTGACACATTCAGCTCATCATCTGACAGCGCCTTGCTTCACGTTTAATTCTTCAGTAGAAGTATGATGTCCGTCTATTTCTTTACTTTACGAGACTTACCGTGCTATTCTCCGTTGACCTGAAGTGCCAGCTGTTGAACAAAGAAGTTGTGACGTTACTTGATTACAAGACTGACTTTCAAACTACATGCGTCGTTTAAAAAGTGATACCCTGATATGTCACCAAAACGAGAACAGTATGCTTACACAGACCTACAAAGTTTTATTGATTCCAGTGGATGCCGTGAGACATATACCGCAACAATCTTATAGAGGACCATTTGTTTCTGTTGATCCGGTAGATAAATATTTTGCAATTAAAAATGTCCAGAAAATTGAAACTAGCCGAGCGAATGCATTGAAAGTAGATTTTCACAGAAACAAGGCCACCTCGAAGTTATTTAAGCGCATACTGGTAAGAGTTCTTCAACAGCGTCTTCTACCTTATGTATTCCCTTTACAACTGCCGCATCCACTTATGAAGTCCATTCAAACCCAGTGTCAAGTCCTTGAAGTTTACTATGTCGAAAAGTAACTCGTGCTGGATGATCTCTACATAACCCTATGCTTTACACAGAAATGTTTGGTTAATTTTCTTTTCAATCTTATGCTTTAATTTTCGGTACATAAATATTCGTTGATAACATTGTTTTTTTGCCGAAACACTTTTGTCATTACTGACTTATAAGCAGGTATTGTGTATTTTAGATTTAATTTAAAAAGCTTTCAAGCTAAATGTTTATATTGCAATTCTTAAGCAGCATTCATGTGAAACGAAGTGAGCTGTCAAATCTAGCCAATTGGCTATATAGGCTAAATTTTCATAGGCCTACACACATCCAAATTCGATTTGAGATCCACAAATTTCCGGAAAGCTGTAAATTTACACTTTTCTGGGAATCCGTGCTAAAGTTTACACACATTATCCAAAACTGAAAGATTGTCATCAGATAAATAATCACATTGTTCATTAGTTGCTGAAACTGCACTGATATTAGTAAGTCAAGCATGTTTTTGTTCTGCTTTATTAATTCAACAACGGCTGATATTTAAACTTGACCCGTCAGTGAATACAGAGATTCTGCATAGCGTCGATAGTATTAGTAGATGTACTGGTCCATTTTTTAATATAACATGACACGTTTCGCGACCTATTTCGTGACTAATAAGAGAAGTATTAAGTAGAGATCTACCAACAGACCTTTTGTACGGAAGCTTGTAAACCAGGAGACAGTATAAATCGCATAATTCTCGGTCAAAAGGAACTGCATAATATTCAGTTCATCAGAATTTTCTGGAATTAGATACACACGACTCAAACTCGTTACAATTGAAACACATGTATGATTATGATAACCGTTATCTATACAATGTATTGACAAATACCTAACAAAGATTACAAAAATATGTGACAATAGAACGAGGGAAAATCGATAGATACTTAATATAAATCATTCGAAAGCTCTACAAAACGTGACACAGTGTTGAAAGTAGCACGAAATAGAACAATATAAATGGTAAGGTCTAAAAATACTTACCGAAAAAGTGTGAACTACTAAAGAAAGAATATTTAAACAGGTTATTATCGTTATTATCATATGAGGCATGCCAGTTTACAAGCAAGATTAAGTTTTACAAATGCCACAGGCTTTACTTTCTTAGGTTGCTCAACTATGTTGATGTCTTATCAGGCACATGAGCAATATAAAATGGTATAAATTTTCATATATTAGAATATCAGTGTTAGTGTAACTCTAATGTCCAATATGAGCATTGGCGCGCTCTGAGGGTATGGTGTTTAGACAAACAGGGCACAATCAGGCCGCTACACCATGGTTTTTCGCGCATATGCAACATATTATCGAGGATTTCGGGATGTCATTATTCATCGAATATTAAAAGTATTTTCCGTCTCACGTTAATTTTCGTAATGTTTGTGATTGTTACATGACATTTATTTCAGTTTATTAGTAGTTTTACATATTTGTTGCTAATAACCCGTAGGAATATTTAGTAAGCTTAATGTGATTATTTGCAAGATTACTAATTTAGGCTAGTAAAATTCACCGTTTATCAAGTCAAAAAATAGACCGTAATCAGAGTTTTATGGTTAAGTGTGCTTTAAGAGCTTTTGCATTTATTTTATGTCCTTAATTATGGTGGTGTTGAACGTGGATGTTGGTAACTGTTTGTAAACTGTAGGTTGAAGATATTATGCTAACCGATTGGCATCATAAACATGGTATAAGGTAAACTAATAACATAGTGAGGCGTTCATAGTTATATGATGAGGGTTTGAAGCTCTCAGCGTATGACACGACACAACCCTAGAAGAACTAGAATCAAATAACAAGTATCAATGAGCTGATTCTTAAATTCCTACTGCATTACAGATTGACTCGGTATAAATCCAAAGTAATTCAGGCCTAATACTTGGTGAAAATTGAACTAGCAATCCAACCTAAATCATAAATTTCAAACACTCACATCTCCTTTCTGGCCAAGAAATTCAGTAATAAGACAAACATTGCTAAAGTATTCAAATATTGTACAAGATAATTTGTGGAGATAAATAACGTTTATTCTGGAAGACAAATTCATCAACAGATGATCGATTCTTAATAATAGCAAGCACGTACCACATAGGCGTATATTGCTTTTGGCTATGCTGACGAGTGGATACTAATGCTCTTTTCTAACTGTTTATAATTTGTGGTCATGTTAGTCATCTATTTACCCATATCGGAGTTATATGAAAAATGAGTTGAGAAACCATTTGCATTTCATGCACCTCCTTAATTATGGTAGTGTTGAACTTGGATGTTCATAGCTGTTTGTTAAATGTAGGTTGCAGCAAAGAACTGTGTATAACATTACTATAAGTGCAACATTAATCAGTCACATTTTCGTCATAAGTCTAACGATGCCTGTTTGTTATGAGCATGTTAACTAAACCAAGTTTAATTAACAATAATTTATGATGAGTCTGTTGTGAGGAAAATTAATGAATTTCTATTAACGGAATCCGGAATCATTAATGAATAGCACTGCTTGCAAGTACGACATTTATAGGTACATTCTGTTACCTGCTATTTGACTGACTCATTGAATTTGATACTGACAAGCAGTTGGTGATCGAGAATTAATAGAATTAAAGTCCAGAGTATCCACTCAAACACGTTAGATTGGGTGCATTAGCTCGGGCTTCTTGATGGTGATCCCAGATGAATTCCCAAGGTAAAAGTCGTATGTTCCACAGATGCTTTAGGTGGTATAACATGAGGGAGCTGAAAAATAGAAAGGGAGGGGCGAAAAGCATAACAGACAGTGTTCATGACTAGTGAAGTTTAGTCATTTGTAACGAAACAGCTAGGATATTACCACTTGAACTCATTCTCTTTTATTAGGTAAGTTTCTAAGTAATCATATTTAAGCAGGTTAAAGAAAACAAACCACAGTATGGTGTTCAATAAGCAAAGTAATGTACACATGAAAACGGTTTAAAACAGCTAAACGTTCAGGATTATATGTATTTTTTAAATTTAGTAGGGAAAATAAAGTGTTCGAATGGCAATTTGCTTATTCTTTGTCAATATTATTATAACTAATTTTTATTGCTATAACATTTGTAGTCATAAATGGACTCGTAACATAGTAAATGGGTGACTGATATCGAAAATGTGTCACAATTTGAAAGTCACAATGTTAGTGACAGCTAGAACTGATATATTTATTGTGTTCTTTGTCATACCCATAGATTCTACCACCAAAGCACCACACTAAGAAGTAAACATCACGTTACATGCTTTTTATGTTTGTGAAGTGACATGTAGAAAGAGCAAGAATGCAAACAAGGTCGAAGCAATACATATATCCTATACCCCATAAGGAATCGACCGTGTGCTTCAGCATATATTCAGTGAAAATGTATAGGGTTGAAGGGAATATTGGGAAGTAATTCCGTAAATACGGAATAGGGGACGAGCTTGTTTTAGGCATTTTGTGGCTACATTTCTGTGTTGAGTATTAACTCTAATAATTAGACTAAGGGTGCGAATAGGCCGTTAAATCACAAGCTTAACAAATACCAGGGAACGAATAGATATAATTTAGCATCCTAGTTAGTTTTTAAATTTGTCAAGGAACTGTGACTATTAAGTGGTCAGTGATTGTATATTGAATCTAGAATAAAGTCCGTCATTTTTGTGGTTTCGGAACAGTTTCTTCGCAGAGATGTGTTACTGAAAATACTTGAGAAAACGTCTTTACTATTTTAGTTTCCTACTGTCGGCGATGGTGTAAGATGATACTACCCCAAGTTACTTAGATAACTACGGACTGCAATTATGTTACTGTTTTACGTCATGCACATCTTGAACTCGAAAGACTGGTCACGAAATGCTAAATTATTTCATCAGAATCAGGTTTGACGATTCCGTTTGGACTAATTGTGGCGCGTGCAGGAGCTTGTCCATTTTCAGTTTGCATTGTTATTTTATCCCTTTTACCTATCAATCATGACTAAGATTATTGAAGTATTATTCTTTCTATAGATTGTGGGATGTCCTAGCTACCAAGTTACATGACATAAACTATGTGATCGTTAAAATGTTAGCTAGTTTCGGTGTAAGAGTACCTGAGTTAGGTGGCTAAAAACTCTGGCTAATTGTATAGAATATTTGAAAAAATAGTCGGTCAGTATTGCTTAGCTGCTTTTGTTCATCATTATCGATTCCCTTCTCTCTGCTTTTTTCATACGTGAGCACTTGTAGAATTATGGTCTACTATGATATTGGTACTGCTCTAATAATAGACCTGATACTAAAATTATGGAATAATCATGATGTAATTGCTTAATCTATAAGATCTGACATGGAATTCACATAACTGTCTACACTGACCCATCGTATCGTAACAATTATCAATATATGATGGAGAACACATTTAGCCTGGAGATAGAACAATATATTTTATATGAGTAAAAGATATAAGGTAATATCTGATAGAGACCACGCCTACAAGGCCAAGCCATGCCATTTGGTCAACTCGAATTACTTCAATTCCTTCTTCCCGCCTTCTCCGTAGTTGGGATTTTCTCCGCATTAAATATTGCATATCAAGTTTCCTCGTTGTCTAGTAATCAGCGCTAGGGATTGTGTGGTTAGAGCCCTATGCCACTACACACCAGCTGTTTAGACGTTCCATGAAGTCATCATGACATCTCATATCGTGCTCTGAGATTTCACACAGCGCAGGAACCAAGACATTTTTATTTCTGATACCAAAACTATGTATCATGTCTCTAGCTGTTCTTCGATCAGTTTAAAGAAATGTTTAAACGCATTACAATGAAAGCCAGCAGTATACTTGAAGTTCATCCATTGAATTGTGTTTACTTATAACTAGCAGATAACCATCTCCAACTTCGAAATTGCTGGAACTTACCCTCTGTTATCTCACTCGAAAATATGCAGAAGTTAAAATAACTTGGTTTCAGGACACTGTGGAATTTAGTTATGGTGTTGATATCAGTGTACTTATCTATGGCTGAGCTATACAGTCCCAACTGTAAGTAAAAGTTCTGTCAACCGTAAATTCAAACTCATCATCACCACATATCTTACTGTCTGTCAAAATGGAATCGTGGATTTTGCACATGTGATTCAAGGAGCGTTTTAGGCTTTAAAAAAATAAAGAAAAGTGTAATGTTCGTACAAACTAATGATTCTTTTGTACTTGATGAATTCTATATTGTACCAAAATATAATATTGAATAAAGCCATTAATAATAATAATAATGCCTAATTTCGAACTCCAAATACAATACTTTCGTTTGTGCCCATCTAGACGTTTTCGTTTTTTTCTGGAATTATTAGTTTGCACAATAATTTAAATACTATTAATAACCACAAAAAGCTTTCACAGCTTCAAATATACTATGTTTTCAGTGTACAAGTTATTAATCTGAAGAACAGCAAATTAGTTTTAGATGTGTTGAGAGGAAAAATAATGAATTTTTTCAGAAGGTAGTGACTCAAGAGACAAAAAGATCAGTTGGACATTTATGCATAAAAACATCATTGAGAGCACCATGATAATTTGAACATGATAATTTTTCTGTTTTACCTGTTCAATATAATAGGCAACCTTGAATTGCCATGTCCTGTGTATCTGTGCTTTATTCAAAATACATGGGTTTCTTTCGATTTACTTCATAGCTGATTAATTAATGATGAAAAACAGATTCGAACCAATAGCATGTCCTGTTTGCTCAAAAAACGTTTATTTTGCAGAAGAAGTAAGGGCTATGGGTCGTGCATTTCACAAACAATGTTTCAAATGCTGTAAGATTATGGCCTTTGACTGACCTTCGTTATAGGTCAATGTTCTAAAGCTCTAGACAGTTTTACTGCAAATGATCATAAGGGTTCTTTGTACTGCAAAAATTGCTACGCAAAGAACTACGGACCAAATGTTTATGGTTTTTCAACGAATAGCACACTAATGAGAAGTACTTATGATCTTCGGTAAGTAGATTTTTTCTTTCCATTTATGGCGATCTTCAACTGTTTTAAATTTTTCCCCTAGTAAGATATATAAAATATCACCGGTAATAACAATTATTAAAACAATTTAAGACATAATCTTCGGCTTAAAGTTTCCTCTTGGAAGTTTACTTGCTTTTGTATAATGGCATACACTGGTAATTCGATGATTCAGGACACAAAAATTAGTGATTTACTATTTACTTTCACACATGTGTGACACTGCATTCTGTCAAGATGTGAGAAAATAATCTAAGTCCAAAACTGAAATATCGTCTCAATTCATAAATGCTTTTACTCTGCTGACCTACTGTTTTCTAGATAAGACTAAATAAACTTACACAGATAAAAGGCAGTATATTGTAATTACCAATCTAGAGGGCCTCGAGTGCAGAAGTAAGCAGCTGCAACGATCGCCTTTAGCGAGGTCCGTTATTGACGATGTTCAGTACATAACAAACAAGTTATTTAACGTAACTACATAAATATCTTATGGTAATGTTATTTGTCATTCAGTAATCTCTTATCAGTGTGCATTGTTTATGAATTTCTGAATCTTTATGCAATTTAAAATGAAGGTTTGTTGGTAGTGTTTTAAGTATTTTATGCAATGATGAAATAATTTAGGTTTACCAAACCTTTAAGTGGAAACATTTTTAGTACATTTTTGAACCTTAAGAGGAGCAATTAAATAGAACTTCTCAAGTTTCCTTGGTAAGTATTCAAGATTTCCAGCTTCCTTATCTTGATTTTTCATCTTTTTCATAATGTTCATCAATTTTAAAAACTAGGAAGCTAAATTCACTCAAGTACACACAAAAGAACTTGAGAAAAGCTCAAAAATGACACCTCAAATGATAGTTACTATAATCAAAATTGATCATGAATAAGTTAACTTCATAATTGAAATATAGTAGAATTTTATTTAAAAATGTGTCTAAAACTAAATTTGTCTAAGTTCCTGGCAAAGCGTTAATGGGCGGTAATTTATTATTTATTTCAACACATAGATAATGGTACAAAGAGGCACCAAATACAGATGCGCCACACAAATCTCATTCGATATGTGTGAGGGCTGTGATACTGCCCGGGTGCCCAAACCGAAGCAGGTGGTTTTCTTAAGGGGCCACACCCCGAGCCTTCGACCTGAAGGTCTGATCCACAAGACAGTAGAGCGTCGTAAGGAGACGCAGTCCCATGGAAGCCGGTGACCAACAATCGGTTCATACGCCATTTGTTCCCTGCACCATTGGTTTGGAATCCGGCTAAAGCGCCAGACATTAACTTTTCGTCCCCTTATTTTCGTAAACAACACCCCCACCACGAGAAGGCAGTGAGTAGGACTTCCCTGGCAGAGGCTATATACACGTGGTCATGTGAAAGCATCTGGAGAGGGAGAGCGGACTCTCCCCACTCTCGGCCGTACCAGGGCATTTGGGGGCAATGGGTGGTAAACACTATTGTGGTAAACTTAAAAGCTCTACAAACCGTTTATGACAACAGTCACTTATAAGAACGGAAAAAAATTGGTTCGTGACATTTGTGGTTATGTCATTTTGATAATTATGTCGTTCGAGCAGTTACCTGTAATATCAGTAAGGTTCATGCTTCTCTACTAGATGGATTATGAGGGGATGATTAGAATGCATACGCAGTGTGGAAGAGAGAGTTTATCGGCTATGTTAACAGCAGTTGGAAGGACGTTTTTAAATTTACACTGAATGAAAAATCAGCAACTGGTTTCGTCTCAAAAATAAAGACTTGAAAATATTATTTGAATAGAGGGTGATAAATACAGATATCTGATCACAATCATGTTCATCACCCACCAATAAATACTAGTCTATGTTGTGTCGGAAAGAAACCTTTTCTCTGATTACAGAACAGAGGCATGAAAACAATTTCAAATTCATGTATTTTTCTTTATTGAAGCAAGGAACACAGGGTCTTAGAAAGCTTTATTTATCCGGTATTTTTTATCAAACGTCTCGCTAAGTTTATGAGAGATATTTTGATTCTATAAAGTTTTTGTGATAAAAGTTACAAACTAAAGCCTAAATAAGTAAAGTTAAGTAGTCTAAAGTGGTTGATGTGAAACTTTGTTCAGTCTAAGTTTCTTGTTAGTTGATATCCTTCAGCAAGGTGCTTCTGCAACTTTGGATGAACCGATGCTTTAATTAGAATTCTCAAATTTACCGACTTTGTTATACGTGTTTAGTTTTTCAAACTGAAGAGGGTATGACAAGTTTGAGCCTAAAATGTGTTGTCTAAACTTTTTAACTAATAACTTTCCACTGTATGCCATTGTGGCAAAAGGACAAAACCAATAATTTCAGCTCAAGTAAAAAAGTTATATTTTAAATTACCTAAATAATAAAATAAAATTCGCTTTTTTCAAGACCTTAGACCACATATTGGAGATTTCAAATTCTAACCAATGAGCTACTGAGTGAACTTTTATTATACTAGAATTTAAGCAGCTGAATAGTATGATCGACTCTCTTAAAAAAGGTCTCTCAATAAAGTGTAGCCGAAACTATGGGTGTATATTATTCACCATTTATTTATTTGAACACGTAGATATTGGTACAAGGAGGCACCAAATACATATGTGTCACACAAATCTCATTTGATATGTGTGAGGGCTGCGATATTGCCTAAGTGCCCGAACCGAAGTAGGTAGTTTTCTTAGGTGGCTACATCCAGAGCCTTCGACCTGAAGGTCTGATCCACAAGGCAGTGGAGCATCGTAAGGAGATGCAGTCCCATGGTAGCCAGTGACCAACAATAGGTTCATACGCCATTTGTCCCTTCGGGATATTGGAGCCCATGTACACCATTGTTTTCGAAATGAAGGTTTCCAACCCCCCTATGTGGACTCACCATGTCCACCAGACATTCGCTTTTCGTCCTCCCATTTTCGTAAAAAACACCCCCGCCATGAGAGGGCAGTGAGTAGGACTTCCCTGGCAGAGGTTATATGCGCGTGGCCATGTGAGAGCATTTCGAGAGGAAGAGCGAGCTCTCCCCACTCTTGGCCGTACCAAGGCATTTGGAGGCATTATTTAGCATACATCTATTCATGTTCTGTCTAAATTGGGAAAAAAATGTTAAGCTAGAAAACAATTAAATCACAATATCCAAATAATTCTGAATTTTCAAATCATAAAAGATATTTGTTATATCATTGAACAAGTATAAAAACTAAGTCAGGGAATAAAATAGTTTTTTGATGATTTTATTTGCTTAAGCTGTACAATCGTACTTATAGTTAGTTTATCCACTCAGAATAGCAGTCTATAATAAAACAAAATGATGTCGAATACTGAGAAACATTTTAGTGATATTGTGCTATAAATTATTTGAATATACGAGATATTGGAAGGAAATCGTGTAGTGGTTTAGATGTGTAATGCGTATTTCCATCTCCCGACTACCTAGAAACGTAAGGATAGTTGATATAGGAGTAGGTTGGAAAAAATCTAGGGAAAGCCAAACTAAGAAATAGCATGAGTTCACGGAAACACTGAATGTTGGATTCAGTTATGTAATTACGTGTAGACTACCTGATTAAAGTCCACATGGCCATTGTAGTCACTTTTTGGGTACTTCTGGCAGCACAGATCAAGATCATTCACATCAGTCAGTCAGTCAGTCAGTAACAACGTAGAACTTCGTACGTACGTACATCAGTTCGAGTTGCCACACCACATTAGCACAGAGGTGCAGTGGTCGATTCAAATCCCGTAGTGGTAGAGGTAATAAGAGTATAAGCAGTAATCGGAAAGATTAGTGTTTAGAGATGTGTATTCACTCGTAGTCTTTCTTTAGACCTTGAGTTTCTACTTACCCCAAAACCTCTACATTATTTCACAGATTTGTATTTTCTTGCAGAATCAGGTCTTTGATGCCTAGTCTTCTTTGTAACTATTAATAACGTAACTACCTTCACTGCTTTATTATTCACTATGACGATTCCATTTTGTTGCACTAATAGGGTATGGCAACTTATATCGATATAAACATGTTCCATGTTCTACGTTTCTTTTGACTGAATGACAACAATAACCAAAGAGCTTATGAATAATTTAAAGTTGAAGATAGCTGTTCACCTGATAGATGTTAAGGACGGAAATATTAATACTGGATCATCCATTTCATTCTGGTCACTCTGTATTCCTATAATTCTCCTTCAAAATTATTCATGATGTCAGAAGAATCGGTTTAAAAGGAATACAAATGAAAAAAAACTTACGTTTAGCAGGGAGTGCAGCTATTCACCATTTATGGTATCTTTTAGTGAAGTAGAAATATTTGATTCAGTGCTACTCATCAAAAACTGACATAAGGTGACTAAAGTCATTACCATGAGAGAAGTAGATTATTTTTATTTATTATTTACTTGAACACATTAATATTAGTAGGAAAGGGCATCAAACACACGTGCGTCACACAAGTCAGTTGATTTGTGTGTAAGCTGTGATACTGCCCATGTGCCCAGATCGAGGATCGTGATTTTTTCAGGGGGTCACACCGGGAGCCTTCGACGTAAAGACTTGATCCACAAGGCAGTGCAACAACGTCAGGAGATCCAGTCCCATGGTAGCAGGTCACCATCAGTTTGTTCATACACCATTTGTTCGCTCAGGATCCTGTAGCCGACGTGCACGATTGATTTGGAATGAGGGTTTTCCAACTCCCTTAAGTGAAACCTCTTTGTCAATCAACCCGGTTTATTCCCCTGTCGGACATTCGCTTTTCATCCTCTCGATTTCGTAAGCAACACTCCCATCGTGAGAAGGACTTCCCTAGTAGCGGCTATATACGCGTGGTCATGTGACAGCATTTCGAGAGGGAAAGCTGACTTTCCCAATCTCGACCGTACTAAAGCATTTGGGGCTGTGGGTTACTAACTCGTCCTATCCTGAACATATCCATCATGTAAAATTTACAAACTATACAGTAGGAGTCCTCATTGGTAATCGGCTATGAGACTAGTTTCGCAAGGTTCTAATCTTTAAAGTTGTGCACGTTAGAAACGAAACATTTATTAGCTCAAAAAATTACTGTTTGTTTAAATTCTGTATGTACGTTAAGGTAATGGAGAGACATGATAAACAGGCGGATGAAACCGTGAAATTACCTCCACTACGCTCTTCTTAGTTGACCAAATGTTATCCCTCTGTAGTGAAGGAGAATATAGATGAGGACAACTGATTATATCTGAACACTAAATTACAGAATACTTTACTAAAAACTGAGAACCATACTTCATTTGCAAAATGTCAATCAATTGTCTTAAACTTGGCTGTTCCTTCATTTCAATGCCAATCGCTTTCTGTTTCCTTTCTTTACTTCTCTATTTTCTCAATCATCTACAGCTAGACTTGCGTTATATACTACTAACGTCGATATAAGTAGCATAAACCACACCTCGACTTAAGCGCAATTTATTTGATTTTTCGTACACCAGTATAAATTTGGTAATTTAAGTACTTCTTTGAAGAAAGTCACATCCATAATAATACAAGACAACTTACTCAATATTCTAAAAAGGTTCGTAATGTTCCAAGCATGACAAATGTGTAACTCCATCTTATCCAACTTGGTCAATAAATTGGTCATATTAGTAGCGTTTAAAGCGATTAATTAAACATCTTTCATGCGGAGTTCATTCTTGTCAGTCAGCTAAAACGTAGGACCAGGCACATATATGCATCGGTCCAACTTGCCATACCTCATTACCACAACAAGATGAACACCGGATTCATAGAAGTAGATAATTCAATGGTGGTAATACATAAAAGAAAGATGGCATATAAGGATATTAGTTCGTAGAAAGGATGATATAGAGCGATTTTAATCTCAGAGTTTAATAAAAGATAGAGAGTGTATACACCTACACTATTGTGATCTATTCTGAGGCATGTCATCCAGAGTCTTCAACCATTAGTTACGATAGTCACTTACTTAGGACAGAAGCTATAAAAATTCAAGCTAACAACATCAGAGCTTGTATTCACAAAAGGTTCTTAATTTCTAAGTCCTTTTCTTTATCAGAAATCAAACCTAACCGTCGGTCAGTCAGTAACAACTTGTAACTTCGTACATTCGTACATCATTTCGAGTTGTCATACCACAGCACACAAATACAGTTGTTGGTTCAAATCCCGTAGTGGTAGAGGTAGTAAAAATATAAGCAGCAATCGGAAGCATTGGGGTTTGAAGATGTTATTCAAGGAGTATAATCCAGTGAAACAAATTTGGAAAGAGAAAAAAGAAAGAGACATGAAGAATTGCGAAGATTGGAATTTGGGAGGAACACAAAGTGTATGCACCTGCGCCATTGCAAACAATTTTGAACCATGTCATTCAGGGTCTCTAACCATCGGGTGCTATCATCTCGCGGTCCCCAACCACGTAGTCTACACCTACCAACATGACTCAGTCCACTTGTCAGTGACTTCATGGATTTGTGCCATGTTTCGGTCTGGTCGCTCCTAGCTTTCTTCCAATCTACTCCTACACCAGAAAACATCGCACGTCGGGACATTCAGTGGTTGAGCATACGTAGCACATGTCCCAACCATCTCAACTGATGAATTTTCACTACTTTATCAATTGATTTGTCATCCTTACTCAGTACCCATTTCCTAACAACTGCATTACTTACCCGGTGTTCTCACGATATACGAGCAATGTTTCGAAGATACCGATGATCGAATACTAGTAACCTACGAATGTCCTCTACTCTTACTGACTATGTTTCACTACCATAACATAGGACGGAATGAACTGCTGCGCAATAAACTTGTCCTTCGGTTAGTAGACGGATATCTCGTCGACGTCATAAATGACGCAAGTTAGCAAAAGCTAGTTGAGCCTTCTGTATCCGTTCCGAGATTTCATCAATATCTATCCTTTGTTAGTTTCTTTTCTCTTCTTTAACATTTACATGCATAAATTGACTGTTTGTTTCTTCAAACTTTGACCTAGTTCTTATTTAAAAAGATTTATTAATACTATCATGCTATTTACTATTGATTCACAATTAACATACTTGTCATTTCACTATCAACGTGTGCCTACTAATTATTAAGATGAATCACGTATTCTATTTCTTTGTCATCATTGACTTCCAAATTACTTTGATTAGTTTGTTATTTTTCAAATATGCATATATATTCACTTGATATTATTTGCTTATATCTTGTCATTGTTGTTTAGAACTTCAATAAATCAGTATCTTGTTGGCATATGTACATCCTGTGTGGATTGCCTTAAATCACAAGCTTTATAATCAAAGATGGATGGTGTTTAGCAATGGAAACAAGGTCGCACGTTTTGTTCTATTTGGAACTCGTCAACTAGATGTACTTGCATCCTATAATTGATGTTTACTCTGGGACTCGAATCCAGTACCATTCGCTTCAAATGAATAAACCACGTGAATAACGCAATGGACATTAAAACGAACGGTGCTGAGTTCAATTCCCAGAGAGAACATCAACTCGGGGTTGTAGGTACATATAGATGAAAAGTTCCAATTAGGACGAAACATACGTCTTCGATCCCACTTCTAGCCACCACCCATGTATATATATATTCATGTATATTAGAGTAAAGTCCGGTGAAGATCTAGTACAAAATAATATTGTTCGCTTATATATCTGGCGCGCCATTGGTTTTCTTGGGATCCTGGGTCCCATATACACCAGTGGTTTTGGATGGGAGTTTTCCAACTTTCCTCGGTAGAACCTCCATATTTACCAATTCGGTTGAAGCACCGGATATTCTCCATTTGTCCTCTCACTTTCGTATACAACACCCTCTCCACAAGAAGTCAGTGTGTAGGACTTCCCTGGTAGTGGTTGTATGCTCGTGGTCATGTGAGAGCATTGGGAGAGGGGGAGCTGGTTCTTCTCACTCACGGTCGTACCAGGGCATTCGCGTTCGAAGTAGTACTTAGACAATACGTAAATGAGAAAATGTAAAAGTAACGACAAGGCAAGTGAAAAATTTAATTCCTTACGAATTTCAAGAATGTACTAATCTGTATTAAAGTTTGTAAATTAATGTTTTTATAACTTCCCTCCACAGTTTTTTTTCAGCAAAACAGTTTATATATATATTAATGAATAAATCAGAGCAATAAACGAGGGTGGAATTCATAGTAAACTATAATTACTCATCATTTAAATGAGAATGGTTGTCTAAATGTATAACTGAATCTCTTTTTATATAACGCCCATTTTTTGTTCATTAACTGAATACCATAATATCAGAAAAGGGTTTTGTTGAGATTGTAGTAATTTAATAGTGAAGATCATGAGTCAATTGAAGTTAGATCATCATGGAAAATCCAGAAGCACTAGACGGCCGTTTCGTTTCAGTATGGGACTCCTCAGCAGCGTGCATCTACGATCCCGCATCAGGAGATCTGAACCCAGGACCTATCGGCCTCGCACCTGAACACTTAACTCCTAGACTACTGAGCCAGCTGGCATCCAACAATGTTAATGTTTAACTTCAACCAATCTACAAAATTGAGCCACCGTTCACCATTGTCTTCAATGAGTTAATATCTCACAACAGACCCGATTGAACTCTACGGTTCACTGTTTCTCATTGGAACTCTAAGAAATACCTCTTGGAGAACTTCACCAGTGAGCATATGATAATTATAATCAGAGAGGGGTCTTGTGAATCGTAGATACGCACTGCTGAGGAGTACCATATTAGAAGGAAACGGCCGTTCAGAGCCTCCAGGTTTTGGCATTATAGCTGATATCAGTTCCTGATGAAAACACTAAATCTAATTCCTAACTCTGAAGTTTAATCATAAATCTGAATTCTAATTTCTCACTAATCTATAACCCTAGTCATTAGATAGATGTTCCAAGATCATTTTGGTCCATAGATTACAGTCTCATCCAAAGGAAATAATCCTTCTAGAAATCTTCAAAAATTATTCCTCTATTTTAATGGAGTTTTGTTCTCTGAGCTGGATCGTTTGGTCATGAAGCTTTCATCGTTATTCTGAACAATATCCTCAACACAAACTTCAGGTAGAAGTGAAGCGTTCGAATTTCACAACTTGTGCTGTAGATCTTTGATGTGAACCACATGTATAGAAATTCGAACACTTCACTTCTACCTAACATTTGTACTGATGATTTCGTTCAGAAGAACAATGAAAGCTCCCACGATCAAATCATCCAGCTCAAAGGACAAAACTCTAACAGAAATCATCTAACTGAACTAAAAATCTTCTCCATTATCTCACTATCCCTCTGTTTCTATTTTTTTTTTTTACTATTCTACAGAGATTGTACTAAAATGAATGGTTATTCACATTCTCATAGTCCAATGATAAAGTAAGTTTTTCATTGTTTTAATCTAATAAATATATAGTCAATCACAAGATTATCATTCACAAGATCGTTTAACTCATTTAGAACATAGTGGTAATTATATTCCACGTCCATTTCGTTTACGATGGTCTAGTGGAAATTGTAATTCAACACGTTGTGCAAATTGTTCAGATATTGTTTATGCAAATGAAAGAATAGATGCAGTTGGTAAAGTATTTCATCGTTTATGCTTTAAATGTAATGATTGTCAACGTCTTCTTGATCGTGGTACTGCATGTGATCATAATCGTGAAGTATTTTGTCATAGTAAGTTAATAGATTGTTTTGTTTTCTTTTCATAACAATTATATGTTTGACGAGACTATAATTTATGAATGACCTTTGAATGAAACTTAAGTGACCTTGAGAAATCGGTTCATGAACTCGATCAAAAACTTAATGCTCACCAGTGACTAGATTCATGAGGGAATCCTCGGAGTTCTAGTTAGAAGCCGTGATCACTGGAACTAATCTGTGTTGCGTAGAGACAGGTATCTACCTCAGTACAGTGGTAGATGGTCGCGAAATTTCGTGAATTGGCATAAGGTAGACACTAACACCATTCAATACCAGCTCAGTGGTCTAGAGGTTAGGCGTTCGCGTGCGAGACTGAAGGCCCTGGGTTCGAGTCCCATGAGCGGGATCGTGGGCGCGCACTGCTGAGGAGTCCCACAATAAGACGAAACAGCCATTCAGTACTTCCAGGTTTTCAATGGTGGTCTAACATCAATCGATTTATGATCTCAATCAAAAACTTAACAATCTCCACAACGTTGAACCAATCTTTCTCATTCAAATATTAGCCAATCAGAAAACAGTCTTGAGATGGTGGAGAAGATTTGTAGCTCAGTTAGACGTAGAGGTGTACAGAACAAGCTGTGAAACGCATATGGAGAAATTCGAACACTTCACTTCTATTTGAAGTTTGTGCTGATGTTTTTAAGAAGAGCAATGAAAGCTCCACGACCAAATCATCCAGCTCAGAGAACAAAACTCCATCGGAAAACAGTTAGTATACAGTCAAAATATATTAAACAAAACCAAAGAAATAAAGTGAATACACTCCTTTCAAATGGTTCAAAAACTTGTCTAAAGTTGTAATGCATATGGTAGAGGAAATAATTTATATGGCTCCATATCAGTTGTTCTCTGGAGACATGATAAGATCTCGAAAACTCTTTCAACCTCGATCACATAGCTTTAATATTGTTTGTGTGCACTCCGGTTTTGAAGTCCACAAAATGTCATTTGTTGAGAACGATACAATGCACATAATCAAGTCTATGTAGGCATCTGTACTCTCTCCAATCATCCGTATATATTGTAGTACATGGTTGGAGCCAGTGTTACTGGTGCTTTCATTTCCAGTTCGCAATTTACCTTAGTTTCAATCTGGATCGAGTGAAAAAAATTTATTCTAACAAACTTCTTCCTCCAACATATATTACATCGAAAGACAACATCATCACGATAGTTTTCACAAGTCGTGTGATTAACAAAATTACAAGTAAAGGAACTTCTTAGTTATCACGTTTTTTCTAAAATCCGCTGTGAACCGATCGTACTTGAGCATCAGGTACTGAAATTGGCACTCTGATCTTGAAATCCATCAAACACTTCATAAATTATAGTCTCACCACTGTTCTAAAACTTTACCAAACATAAAAGAATCTATTCTAAGCTTACTTACTTACTTACTTGCTTATGTTTGTTACCCTTCGTGATGGAGTATAGGCCATCTATAAGCATTCTCCATCCAACTCTGTCCTGAACAATCTTTTACAGTTGTATCCAGTTGCTATTCATCCATTTGATGTTTGCTTCTAATTCCCAACGTAGTGTGTTCTTTGACCTTTCAATTTTCCGTTTCCCTTTAAGATTTCAAGTTAGGATTAGCCTCGTGATGTAGTTGGATGATTTCTTCAATGTGTATTCTATCCACCTTCATCATACTTTCTTAATTTAATCTTCACTTGGAAAGTGATTTGTTCTCTCCCACAATAGGCTAGTTGTGCACAGTAATTAAATTAATACAAACTGATTAAGAAAGAGTCTACATTTTCAGTATAAGATTTGATGATTGTTTAGGTTTGATTGAGATCATGAATCGTTGAATATTAGAGTTCCATTAAAAACCTGGAAGCACTAGATGTCTGTTTCGAATCATGTGTGCGGAATCGTGGATATACACTGCTGAGCAATCTCATACTAGGATGAGACGGCCATCCAGTGCTTCCAGGTTTTCAATAATGCTCTAACATTGATTGATTTATGATCTCAATCAATAATCTACATGTTAGAAAAGATGGAAACGTGTGATATATATCCATATTTGTAAAGTGTAGTATTAATTCCATTTACAGTAAATCATACAAACGTATACACATTTGCATTTTCATATCACGTACTGCAAATCTTATAGTTAAAATTATAAGGAGTGTAGGAATGAGCCAATCAGAATCGAGTAAAGTGCCTTGCGCGAAATTCAAAACGGAGTGACTTTTATTTCATATAATAGGAAGAGATGAGTTACTTACTTACGCATGTAACTCCCAATGGAGCATAGGTCGCCGACCACCATTCTCCAACCCACTCTATCCTGAATCTTCCTTTCTAATTCTATCCAATGTTTGTACATTCTTCTCATATCTGTCTCCACTTCTCAAAGTAATGTGTTCTTTAAAATTCATCTTCTCCATTGAACTTGAGGATTTCAAGTGAGCACTTGCATTGTCACGAAGTCGGGTATTTTCCTCAATGTATGTCCTATCTACTTTCAGCACTTCTTCCTGATTTCTTCCTCCGATGCAATCTGTTTTGTTCTCTTCCACAGTAGATTGTTGCTGATAGTATCTGTCCAACGGATCGGAAGTATTTTGCGTAGACAATTTGTAAGAAACACCTGTATCCTGTAGATGATAGCTTTTGTTGTTCTCCAAGTTTCCACCCCATAGAGTAGAACTGTTTTGATATTGTCATTGAAAATTCTGACCTTGATGTTGGTTGATAGAGAGTTGTTTTGAGTTCCAGATGTTCTTCACTTCTAGATATGCTGCTCTTGCTTTGCCGATCCATCTGGAGCCCTTCTAGGGTTACTGCCGGTCGCAAGTTCGAATAAAGGAGAAGGGTTGAGCATGGGGTCAGCAACCATAGTTCCTGTTTAACACTAACTCGCTCAAAAAACTTTAACCAGAAAAAAATAATTCAAACTATTTAGTGTAAACAGTTTCAAGCTTATTTACCCTTTTAACTATTTATTTAGTCTTCAGAAAATTGCTTATTTGTTGTTATTATGAACTCTAGAATAATAGTTCACGTTATACTCCTTTTGTAAATAATCAAATGATCATTACTACTATAAGAATGATAAGCAAAGATAGATGGTGGCTGGTAATGAAATCCAGGATATGTGTTCCATCCTATTTTGGACTTGTCAGCTGGATTTATCTGCATCCCAGAGTTGATATTCACTCCGGGGCTCGAACACAGTACTGTTCGCTTCAAACGCTATTACGTCATTCATTTATATATATGAATGTAATTGCACTAGTCATAGATTTGTTCTCTTACAAAATACTAAATTACAGTTCAATCAATAAAATTCGATCAACATTATAGACTAGACAAAGATTACATTAGTAAATATTCCACTCCTACCGGAGAATAGTCACGATCCGAATAGCTCATAGAAAACTTCTGAAACTGTAACACTGGCTAGTGTAGTTTAGAATCTCATAAGAAGCGCCAATTGCATCATTATTTCAAATACATCTCGTTAACGAGTGTTAACACGAAACGTAGATCATCTAGGGATTCCTACTGTCAATCAATCATATTCAGTTATAAGCGTTCTAGAACTTGATGATGATGTGTATCGATCCGATCTGCTTCTTAGGAGAATCTCAGCTACCATCTACCTCATTCTTGAAATCTTTTTCATCTCAAACATGTTCTTCATAAAACAACTCTACATATTGTTGTCTAGAGACAAAAGCTGACATTTGGATAAACATACTTATTGCATTTTCATCAGATTATTCACAATCAAATTGATTTATGCATAACCAGTTAACCAATGGCTGTCTACACTCGGATTAATCACCTTCGAGATGATGATATGCTACTAATTTTTCACAGAAATTTGACAAAATCCCAGCACGAGTGCAAAAAGCTCGTTTGGCTTTTGCCAACTTACGTCACCTATCGCGAAGGCGAGATGTCCGTCTATCAATAAAAAGACGAGTATACTATGCAGCACTTCGTTCTGTTTTACTTTATGGCTGAGAAACGTGGCTATTAAGAGTATAGGATATTCGTAAGCTACTAGTATTTGACCTTAGAAATATTTTTTGCAGCTGCTGGGATCATCAGTTAAGTAATAGTGAGGTTAAACGCAGAGTATTAGGGAATGAAGGTAAGCCAGTTGATGAGGTTGTGAATCATCATCGACTGAGATGGTCGGACCACGTGTTGCATATGCCTGAACACCGATTATCACGACGTGCAATGCTAACCGGTGTTGGAGATGGTTGGAAGAAGGTTAGGGGCGACCAACTGTGGCATCAGTGCTTAAAGACATCAACCTCTAGTCTGAGCCATGTTAGTAGATGCAGACTACTTGATTGGGGTCCACGTGACTATCGTAATCAATGGTTGGAGACTCTTGGTGACATGGCTCAGAATCGATCACAATGGTGTAGGTGTATACACTCTTTGTCTTCCATTAAACTATCAGATGAAAATCGTTTCATATCTTTCTTTCTAAGAACTGGTTCTTTCCTCCTGTATTATATCTTCATACACAATCTTCCTTTTATATATTACTTACTTACTTACGCCTGTTACTCCCAATGGAGCATAGGCCGCCGACCAGCATTCTCCAACCCGCCTGGAGTCCCTCTGGGGGCTACTGCCGGTCCCAAGCCCGGATAAAGGAGGAGGGTTGGGCACGGGGTTAGCGTCCCCATCCCGTAGAAAACTAACTCGCTAAAAAAACGCTAACCAGAAAGAATTGTTCAAACCTTTTAACCTCTGCCCTGGGAGTCAGAAGGTTTTCATTTAGAAGAACTATGACGCCTCATGATGAAAGCCGAATTCCTTTTATATATTACCATCAATGAATTAACCACTTCTATGTATTTGGTGTTCATCTTGTTGTGTTAATGAGGTGTGACAACTTGAACCGATGAATATATGTACCTGGTCCTTCGTTGTAGCTGACTGACTGACTAGCTCCAACTTTTTAAGTAACTAATTTATAAATTATG